TTTTATGTAAAGTACTTGCTCTACGAAATTGTGATTTTAAGAAAAGAGAAAGATTGACCATTGTTACTGTAGTAATATTTTGGTTTCCGCACATTCTAGACATTTCGTTTCGAAAGTTTGTAAAATAGTCCGTTATGTTATTTATTAAGTAATTAGATTCAAGGAACTAAAAAAAACATTTAAAATTATAAAATCTGTCTCAATTTTCCATAATTTATTGATATTAAATGTTGCTTGGAAACTCTTTCAAATGTATTTTAACAAATGGGAAATAGAAACCAAACTACTTCAATGGATGACAAATGAATTAATGACGAAATCATAATAATTTATAATCACACGTTGATATCGTTATTATTTTGACTACAATCATCAAAATAATAAAAACATTAGCCAATTACAAAATTATTTTAATCTAACAAAAAAGATCGTCAATATATTCTTAGCTGCTAAATGTACTAGATTTTAAAGAAATAGAATGAAAGGTTCACATGCTTCAGTAAAGCTTCGCATAAGATAGGCCAGCATCCCGTTACCTTGAAGATGTCAAGACGTAGGCGTATCTGAAAGGGCGCCCGCCTGTCTGCCGACTCACTTTAACCATGAACCAGGCCAATAGCTCCAGCGAAGTAGGTTAAGTACAGTCCTTTATTATCATGTGCCATTTTTGGTCAAATATTTTAATTACTTGATTCCATACACATTTATTTAAAATATTTTAAGATAAAGAATATTGAAAGAAATTTAAAACAAGTTTTCATTTGATTTAAATATTATGGGTCGTTGCCCTATAAATTATTTAAAAAAAAACATCTTATATAAGGCAAAGTACAAAAAACTATAGACGATTGTCCTTCGACAATCTACCAAAAATCTACCTCTACACACATATGTAAGCCTTCCTTGGTAGTACGAATTCATTGTATACATGCTTTAAATTTTTCAGATTGTTTAGTTAGTTAGTTACTAAAGTATTTGATTCTCTTAAAGATATCATATTCTTATACCTAAATAATTAATTTGAAAGTTTGTTAATCAGTTACCGCATACATTCAATGATAAGATTATTTGTCGATGGATTTATGGAATGAAAGAAAGAGCGGAATGAATTGAAAGACTTCTTTTTTATTTGACGGGTATGGTATAATCCCTTTTATTAATTATTATTCAATCTGCTTTAATTTTAGTTACTCTTTCTATCATATTGTGTATAACGCTGTGACAAAAAGAGAGATCAGCAAAATGTGTTGATCGATAAAATTTAAACGCCTTTGTAGCTTTCTTAATCTTAAGCTTATTTAAGAGCAATGAAAAATACACTTATGTTTTCGTGCAGAGTCCAGGACACAACGTCATACCGTTTTTAAGTAAAAATGTTCAGACAATTATTCCAAATACTTATGTATTTATTTTGACTAGACGTGGAGTTTGTGCATGCAAATTACGCTGGGACCGCTAATCGCCTACTTCAGTGCCTCGATTCTCCAAATTCGATAGAAGTGGACAGATGTGCCACTGGTTCCAGTGAAAAGAAGCGGTATATTCATGTTCGCTAACAATTATGTCAAACAACTTCTGCCTTTGCATGTAAGCGTATAACCCGAAAAGAAGCTGTATGTCCTAAGTTTTAAGAGGAAAGTTTTAAATGTAAATATTTAGAAATTGATGTCCATGATGATGATTGGAGCCAAAAAAAGGATCTACCCTATAAGAACTGTTCTATACCTACGCTAATTCCTCTCAGTTCCTGAGATAAGGGGTACCCCCATACATAATAAAGGGGGCCTATTCATAAGTCATACTTGTGTTTTTTTATAGCCATGCTACAAGCGTTGTTGTTTACATAACAAACACATGGTCGTTATAAAAAGCCGGGATTTCAAAGCGGCGCGGATGTAGTAAAGGCGCTAATTGTAGGGCTAGCGAGGGTACTCTATAAATAGACAGAACCCCGCGACGACTGTGTATGCAATTGGGATTAAAGGGTTTAGATTGTTGGTTTAATTTTTTTTATCATTGCTAAATTTGTGTATAAATTTTAACTGAAACCTTCATAAAACCATCAGTATTTATCTTGATTAATTATAAACATGTATATTTAGTAAATCACCCATTGGGTAATTATAAAAAAATCACAATAAAAAACATAAAAAAGAGCATTTTTATTTTATTTCTATAAAAAAAATTTGTTTAGCAATACAAATAAAAGTTAAAACATATTCCCAACAAGATTATCTATATCTAATCTTATCACCCTATTAAAGGTTGATGCCATCTAATTATCATTACAAAAAACCCTTCATGTAAATGAAAGATTAATTCAGTGAAATGAATAACAGACAATAAGACATTCAGCATAAGAATATAATCAACTTCCAACTTTGATATATAGTTAAAAGGGTTCATTATTCCATAAACACATTTGGGCAAGATATTACAGACGTTATTAGACTCAATTAGGAGTTACTGTTAAAAATAAAACCATACATGATATAATCAAGCCGGAAATAAAGGCCACTGATTCAAGAGTTATCAGACAATTATATATTCTACAAAATTATTCTTTCATTGAATTGAGTAAATAAATAAGGCAAAACTAATGAGTACCATGAAATTATTTTTTGGTTAAAATGTAGCTTGTTACAGAAATAAATATAAAATAACATAATTTATAAATAGAGAATAATTAATAAAAATCTAAACCATACTATTTTATTAAAAATGATAAGTATACATATTTTTAAATTTCTAAAAAAACTGTAGGAGGAGATTCTTAATTCACATGTATTTTTTTAAATACGAGAATATATTAAATTTAATTGGTTTTTATTAACTTATTTTACTATTTGTTAGAGAGATTTTTTTGCAAATAAATTAATCTAATGATTGATGGCATAAAGTATATTGTTTATTTATTGGAAACAATGATATTTATTAATTGAATGACATTATATTTTTTATTTAAGAAAGATGTATCACAGATAAATTTTCTATACAACTGTGATAAACCTTTATATTGTACTTCTGCTGTACCACAAAAAAATATTCAATATTCTGTTAATATAGTATTCTGTTAATATAAAGTATGATTGTCAAAGTAAATCCCGGCAATACCTTGTAATTATTTAGACTCTTACATGAGTCCAACAACAATAATTGTACACTTAAGCATTAAATTTGTTTTAAGCTATTACTTCAATGCTCATGAAGAGCATTGAAATTCTAAATTTCATTTCTAGTCATATATTAAACACTGTGTATTTAAGAATAAAATAGACTGACCAAAACCATGTTACGGCTGACTTAGATTATCTATTGGTTAAACTAAATTTAAGAAATTAAAAAAATACTTACCTTGATCAGATGCTAGGTAGACCACCAGAAACTTTCAGAATACTTAACACAACTATTTTTTATATAGAAGTAATACTGGAGCAAGTTAACAAGTATTCTTAATTGTTGAAACAAGATGCCAAATCAAATTTATGTATAAAATCAGAGAGGTTTAAAAGAAAATCTATGTTTACACACCCTACAGTTTTTCAATTTTCAATTTCTCTATTTCCAATCAGTATAGAAGATATACAACAGCAGTCAACAGTCAACACTCAACAAAATGACGTACAACAGATGACGTTTGACTACACTAACATATTTTGGCAATTTAAGTGCGTTTTCCAATTACAGCACTAGAGCGCATTTTGTGGCATAATGCTCAACGTTGAGTGTTCCAACTACAGCAACGCTTCGCACAATTGAGCACTCTCAAAACGAATGCTCTCGCAAACAATACCAACACAGTGACAGAAAATTGACCAGTATTTTTGTTTAAGTTGGCATTTATCGAAATTTTCGTTAGTAAATATTATTTATTGTTGAAAAATTTGTAAGGCTTTCGTTTTGAAAATAATTAAAGTTATTTCAAACTGCTAAGAAAATAAATATTAGTATGGATGAAGGTATAAATAGTTACTTTTTTTATATTCCACATTTAAAATATGAATACAATTTTATTTTAAAATTCGGATCTGTAAACAAATTTACTTTACAGGATTATACTTTAGAAAAAATTGCAATGGTTTTGAAAAAGTATATATTTTTTTAGAAATCATTAAAAAATATTACTCAAAACGTAAATGATGTAAACTTCTTACATGAAACTAAATATTTTACTATTAATTTAGCTTGTTAAAACCTTATATTCTTTAAAGGTTTTCTCTTATTTCAGTAAAAAAAATTTAATGAAATAATTTGATTATTAAATTAAGCGTAAAAAGTTTTCAACCAATTATTATTGTTTACCACATTATTTATACATTAATGAGGTTGCTAACTCTATTCAGACCATTTTTTTGTCAACACTGACTTAGCGCACTCTGCTAATGCATTTGAAAACTAATTCACGTTCCAATTAAGCTTCAGCATTATGCGGCATTGTGCGGCACTGAGTCGAAAAATGCTCTGTAATTGGAAAACGCACTAAAGTTCTAAGTTCAGATAACATTGCATTTAACTTATGACAAAATTTTGCGCCTTTCAATGGTTTGTTTTTAATTCATACTGCTATGAGCAACGAAAGCAGAGAATATAGATTTCCTGCTTCGATCATAACTGTGGTTGATAAATAATTAAAAATTGCTTAACTTATAACAAGATATTTGTTTTTAAAGATTTGATCAAGAATAAGCATCTCTCCATTTTGAAGACTTTTGTACGCTTTATGTCAATAATAAATCAAAGTTGCTATGACTTCTTTGTCATAGGACTTCAATGTCAAATCATTGTCAAATTAAGTACGTCATTCTGTTACGTTCGATGTATGGTTTCTTTCGTGATTTCGCATAGAAATATTCGTAATCATAAAAAGTGGCTTCATTTATAGTCAGATTGAAATTTCTGAGATGCTAATCAATAATGTATTACTATTATAAATTTGTGTTGCCGTTGTTTAGTTTCTTGGTGCAAACTTAGGAAAGAAAATATAATTATATTAGCTCATAATGAACTGTCATCAAGTTCTTAGTGGTGCCTGTAATTCAGGGGATCAATGTTTTGCTGTTGGTTCCGTAGAGGGAATTCCTTTTACAGTAAGTGATTATTGTTTACTGTACTATTATATTTATTCAAGACCATTAAGTATCTTTTGTGGGATTTTTTTAAAATGACTACAGTAACATAAGGAAAATTAGGAATAAACACTATATTTGATCATTTGATTTTAAACTGATCATAAGTTGAAATGATTTGACACAGTTATATACTATAGAGATCCTTAAACAAATAAATATTAATGTATTTTGACATGTGGTGTGAATTGTTTAGCAGGTCTTTGATATTTAAATTATGATATTATCATAAGTTAAAGGAGATATAGTATAGCCTCAGTTGCTACACTACTTATAATTAATTCTTTGGTTTATTCTTATAGTTATTTTTATGTAGATCATGACCAATGATTTTTATGGAAATAAGCTTAAATATACTATTTTATGTATAAAGTTTGGTCAGCTAACTTAAAACTAAGAATGTATTATTATTATGCCTTAGCAATGTGTATCTATTGTCATAGTTCACATCACACAGTGGTATTGTAAATACTGATAAATATTTGATATGTTTTTCATTTTTAAAATAATTTAATCTTGACCTTGTATATTTCTATACAATTTCTATAAAAAAATATTATGTTTAAGGCATATGCAGCGGGATGTAACATAGTAATTCTTGCATCAAATTTTGAGCGTGTTCAAATAATACCTGGTGCCATACATGGTTACATTCGCATAAGTTCTCTGGACTGCAGTACCGATACAGGAAAGATTGCTGCTGCATATGGTGCTGAAGTGTGCATTTTTGAACCAACACCATTGATTCACACAGCATCCACTACTCATGTAAGTAGTCAAAGTAATATTATGTACATGGTTCTACAGTTATTTAAACACAGTAATTCAATAATTATTGTAACTTTTCTAAATTATATAAGATTACTACATATATGTAAATGAGATGTCTAACAATTGAGATCTTGTTTTCATTATTACTGATGTACATGTTAGATATCTAAAATTTTTAACAACAATGATTTCTATTATTAGATTAACTATTTTATGTGTTAATATGTATGTGGCACAAAATAAAGGTACTTCCAAAAATTTTACTGATAAGATATAAGATGCAACCTATCTTTGTTTACCTCCTTATCTGACATTTATTGATATAGTCCAGATATAGGGTAAAGAAAGCTAACCTTTATTTTTTATCTATTAATATAGTAGATAAAATCTTCTTAATAGTAGCTACTATGTTAAACTTTTCCCCAAAATGAATAAAATATATGTATTTATATATATAATATTCTTAAAACATTTTTAGTATGAAATAATTTTATAAATATAAATGAATCTGCACCATATAGTAATTTACATATACTTTTTTGTTGTTGCTTTCACAACAATATAGAAAACTCAGGTTTAATTAATTTATATTAGTTAGGTGTTTTCATGGAATTTCTCCCAATTGTAACGAGCTGCGTGGCCTTGATATATACTATACAATTTATTTTCACTTTAATTACATTTTCACCGCGCGAAGCGTCTGAAACAGGAATCAAAAATTAGGTTAATGATTAAAACTTCCAGACAAACGCAAGCAAAACGTAAACTATTTTTACAATTGCACCAATTGCGCTGTTGTATTATGGTTTGGATAGATGTTAATCGTATTAAATGGAAAATCCGAAATTTGCGGTAGTTCGGAGATATGTTTTTTGTGAGAAGTTTAATCTTTGGCGATCTATGGCTACTACCTCTCAGTTAAATATTTTTATAATACATATGTATTTTATATCTATTTCTCGTCCAAAACGGTCAAATTGTACTGGACATTTACCTTATATCCAATCCAAATTTCTGTATAAAAATCTCTTTCGATTTGCAAATTAAACATTTAATCTTCAAAAGTTATGTAATTTTTGCGTATTGATTTTATTTCTGCTCTCGATTCACTGCATACAGAATGTAATATGATGCGGCATACACGTTCATGACTACTATTATTAATGATTTCATTAAGATTCATTCTTTTATTTTTATGCTACAAAATTTCACGAATTCTATTTGATTTAAAAATAAACAAACATGTTTTGAAGGATAAAATTATTTAGCAATTACTATGCCTAATATTAACGTTTCGCTAATATTTGTTGATCGATAACGGTTGACTAGGTGTGCTCATTTCTATTGATAATTCTATACTTGTTGTCTATCCGACCTAAACGGATGCGTTAAAAATCTAAACGGGTTTACAGGAATCAATTGTTCAGTTTGCGTCGGTCACATGACCAATTGTATATTAAATTGCTCTTCATAATAATGCAGTACCGCTAACTTGCTTATTACGTCACCTTATCGAAAAATCGCGTTTACGTGTATGCGTTAACTAGTTTTTACCTCACTGTCCTAGAAAACAAGTGATGTTTATTAAGTACTTGGTCACCAATTGCAATATAAGTATTAATTCTAATTTTTTATTTATTTATTTGCTCAACAGTATTCATACAGCTACTCACTAAACAATATCCAAACAATAACATTGTACACAAAAGCCAAAAACGGAATACACATTCAAACATAAATATAAAGCACAGGTTAACAATTTTTACCTATTTATACAAAAACAAAATATATATTTATAATAAATTCTACATTCTAAGTTTAAAAATTCATTGATCATTATAATATATATTTAATGTAAACGAAGAATAACACAGCCATTATTAATAAATTTACTTGGTTTATGTACAGTCGAAAGAATTATCTCTCACAAATCATCGTATTTATCGGTTAAAGCAAGACCTTTCTTTCTTTTATATTTGAGTCCAGTATAAAGACACTAGTCTGCTCTGTAAACTTCTAAGCTTTGGAGGTGGGCATGACACCTAATAAGATTGAATTATGTTCTACCGACTGAGCGGAGGTCAAGCGGCAAGAGGGTGCTAGGATTTTAATCCGTATTCGAGGCCTCAAATGATAAGATCTAGATTCTAGACCGAGCCAATAACCTGAACAGACGTCTTAGCAGTCGTATAATTTTCTTTCAATATAATACAATTAAATACTTCACTTTGAAATCTTACAAACTAGAGAAATTACGGATAGGCTCATTAGCGTATTGTGAATTTGTTTTTAATACAATTATAACATAGGTTAACATATAATATAATAACAATAGGTATAACATATTTATATCTACTCTCATTTGACAGTTTCGCTTTGAAACCCGTAGTTAAAATTTAAAGGTTCTAAATAACTGTCGGAGCTTAGTTAGTAGTCCTAAGTTAAATACTCGGTAAAATAGCAACTTATTCGGTAGGCATAAGCTAATCTTGGTTTTAATGAATAATTAATGTTCCTTTATAACATTATAGTCGTAAGTCTATATATGAAAACATGAACCGTATTTGCGAATTCAAGCGAGGCGTAGATTTGTTGACCCTCTTGTTCGACAATACAAATACTGAATTATTTGTTCGCTGTTGTTCTTGTCGCTTACTTATACTTAGTTCAGTTTATAGATATAGTTTATTAGAACGTAAAAGGAAATAGAATTGTTATAATTAAATTGTATTTGGTTTTAATGGCCGTGCTATGGTGACCAAGGTCCTCTCTTACTGAGAGCACGAGATACGTTAAGATGTTATTAATATATAAATTTAAAAAATAATACCTTAAAAAGTTAACTAACTTTTTTAGTAAAAGTATTGTGAAAAAAACATTATCGCGGACCATATGTTAAATCGAATAGATATCGTTATCGATAAGTTCGTGTAAAGGCCTCACTGATTTAGATTATACAATTACATTGTGAAACTGATTTAATTTGAAGACTGTCTGGGAATATGATTTTTATTCGAGTGCAAATTTTACCTTATACTCTAAGTATTGTAGTTTTAATCTGGCTGTAAAAAAATATTATTTATCACTTCGCATAACATGCACACAACTTCAAAGTTATCAAACGTTACTTGATTTCTCTAGAAAACTGTTTTGGACTTTGATATATTCAAATATAAATATCTTGAACTTTGTTTCATTATTGAATTGTAGGGGCTGGAATACAGATGGGTCCAAACAGGGAAATTGGTGGCAGACGGCCCTATAACCGCTCTATCATGGAACCTGGAAGGCACGCGTCTGCTCACTGGTGGTAGGATTTTACAACTGTGGCATCAGGCATCGCTTTATCAAGATGATAGTCAACGTAAGTTCCTATAAAAATATTGACCAAATTATCGTAAACATTTTAAGTGATCTGCAAGCTTGTGTTATGTCAAATAGGACCTAAATAAAAAAAGTTTTCATCTATTTTTTATGAATTATGAATATGATATAATAATTTCGTTCATAATTATGAGCACACCTTTGTTGCGTGACTGGTCCATATAGGTACAAAAATAATGCTTAATTACTAAAACGAAGAAATATTTAAGTATTAACTAAATTACATATTATCTTATACCTATATATAATTCTCGTGCCACAATGTTCGTTCCCATGCTCCTCCGAAACGGCTCGACCTATTCTTATGAATATTCAGTAAGTCTGAGAATCGGCTATTATCTATCTTTCAAACCCCTAAGTGATAAGAGGTGAAAGAAATTGATATTATTTTTTATGATACAGCATACAAAAATACAACCCCTAATTTTTATTATTGTAGATATGTAGTTATTTTTATTGAACTAAAAAAATGTTTCCTAGGAAAAATATAAATGGCAAAACAAGCTAGTATATATATAAACACCTAGCAGCAGGGTGTTATCGTCATACAAACTATATAATGTTTTGTCCTAATCGATCAAGTGCCATCTTAAAAATAAATAGGATGACAATTCATTCTGGAAGTGTTATAGACGAACCCACTAGGGTAAAAACATGTTGGATTTAGTTTCGACTCTGAACCTTTCCCTAAGAAACTGACAAGAATTGAACCTAAAATCTTAGGACGTTGAACATTTTTTTACTTTCTTTACTTTCTAGTCTATTCGTTATTCAGATTCTTTAGTCTTTATAATAATCCTTATCATTTGATTTACGTTTTGAAAAGATATGTACATACTTAGAGAAGCACCATTTACGCGTGTTTTGCGCACCCTAAACACTATTGCTTGTGAGACGGAAACCTATATTTAGTTGCACACTGGCTGAATTCACAAGAATTTCATTATTTATAATTAGTTATATAATGGTTTAGGTTTTTAAGTTTTTACTTGTTATGTTTATATTATGTTTTACGTTAGTTTTCTATTGTATTAGTATTAAGTTACTGTAAAAATAGGAAATAAGGAAATAAATAAAAACAAATAAATGTCAGAAATTCAACCCTGATAATATTGAACTTGCACAGACTATTTCAGAAGTAAACGACCTTCCTGGCAAATTTCCAGTTACAAATCTCTAGTTTCTGTTTTATCGATTTCTCTATTTTAGGTCAGATTATTTAATTTCAAGACACGAACTTAGCACTGTCGAACTTTGTCGTTTTACCGATAAAAATTGTATAAAACGCGCTCTTGACATATTGAATAGTCGAGCCGAACTATTGTTTTCAGACCGTGTCACAGGCACACTATAGAATGTTTATAATTCTATTTTCAAATGGCGTTTCAGAAACAGCAATGAAATAAAAGTAATTTAAGTTCAAGGTAAACTGTTTCTTGTTCCTTAAATAAAAGAAATAAATAAATCAGTCTTGAAATCTATTAGTTTAAATCCAAACAATATCTGCTTCCTGCTTGATCTGCTATTTTAAAAGAGTACCGAGAGTTTTTTACGCCTGCTTTTTCTCTCGGCCTACACCCTCTGTCTTCTTTGCCGATGAGTAGGGATGCCTACAAATTCAAATTTAATGACTTGGAATAAGTGATACATGTATCTTATGTTCCATAATAAACATATTTTTTTTATTTTTTTTTAAGGTAAATATATATAACAGTCTATTCTGTAAAATGAATGAGAAAAAGAAATCGATGCGAGATTGCTATATCGACTAAATATATATATATATCTGCGCTCACAGTACGGAACGCTTGGTTAGCGTACTTTTGTTATGCCCGCCATTACATATTCTATTGTTTATATTTATATCTATGGTAAATGTTTCAGCTAGCTCCGGCGTAACGTTTCAAATCGGCGGCGACAAAGATGACAAGCCAAAGCAAGCTGAAGAGGATGAACCGGTGAGAAATGATTTGTTAGCGCTGATAAGAAACTGATATCATTGTGAGACGTATCACGCGTTTGATTTACTATTGATAAAATTATCGTGAAGGCATGCAAATGTTTCGTTATTCGTGTATGTATTGTGTGTAATTATATAAATGAGTTATTTTTCTGGTCGTGATGTGACGTAAAACATGTCCGTTAATTGTATCTACACAACATTACCATTTTATTACAGTTGGAACTAAACCTATTAGCTAAAGCGAGAAAGTCTAATTAGTAATTATATATTGACCCAATAAAACATGTACTGAATTAATGTTGAAATTCCAACCTGATATTTTGTAAAAGGGTCGTTTTGTTGACTGTGATGATTGGCCAGGTTGTCAAAATCACTACAAATCTACTCCATGCATTTAAAATATATACTTTACAGATTTAAACGTTTAGTATAAAATTGTGTTAATTAATTGCGTGCTCATCCAGCCGAGTGTTAATCGGAATGGCCATAGAACGAATAAGGATATCAATGACATTAAAATAAATTAGAGACAATTAGAGGAAGTAATAGATCATGTCAAACAAAATATTACTCCCGGGTAAGATATAGTTGATGAGGGAAAACGCATTGGACTGTCTTACATTCTTTAATCACAGCAATTATAACAAATATTTCAACTGCAGGAAATAGATAACGGGAAATAATTTTCCTGTTTGTACGACGTATTCAGTTGTTTTATTGACAAATATGTAAGTTTTTTAAAGTAACAGTATAAGGCTAATTTGAAATCGATAAACATTATAATCTCATGTTATCACGTGACTGACCTGTTCGTTAATGATCTTTTAATCGTTTCATACAATTACAGTTGACTAGAAAAATAAATCTAGGTTACATATTATGATGTAAGTCTATGTTCTAGGCTGCAAAACTTATTGCTCTATCGAGACTTGTTTAATGTTTTGTGATAATATACTTATTTATTTATTTGCTCAACGGTATTCCTACAGCTACTTACTAAACAATATTCAAACAATTACACTGTACACAAAAGCCAAAAACGGAATACACATTTAAACATACACAAAGCACAGTTTCACCTATACAAATACAAAAAATATACAAAGAATATATGTATATATAATAAATTCTCAGTTCTAAGATTCATTGTTCATTATAATATATATTTAATACATAGAAAGAATTTTTAAATTATTTAAGTTTTTTAAATTATTGCAAGTCTGTATTTTTTTTTTAAATCAATCACGCTCATTTTTAAGAAGCGATTGGTAGTGGGAGTAATATTTATTATTATCTTGCACATAACGACGCTTCAGGAAGCAGCGTGTAAAAACAATTTTTAATTCATCCCTATATGACATAAAAAAATAAAAAAGTGTATCGTGTCACGTGTCACATGTCTATGAGTAGACTGAATATGTCTATTGTCCAATTACAATGCGTTTTATTGCATTTTTTACTATATTATATGATATACCCCAGATGTGAATAGTTAAGGATTTTTTTCTCTTTGTTCATGATTTAAATTTCTTATTTGTTACAGGGATGGTTGTGTGTTTGGCAATGCCACACGGCAACACCGGCTCATCACCTTGCGTTTTCACCAGACGGAGTACTTTTCGCGACCTCCGGGATAAATGATAGACTCGTAAAGATATGGTATCAGAACAAAGGTATGTTAAAGGAGATTAATTTAATGTTAAAATTTTTGATATACAGTCAAAACCGTTTACGACATCGTTAAGAACAACATACCGATTATATTAACCAAAATCAAAGGTCCCAGCTGAATTATATTGTGGTACTTAATAACAACGTCATCGGCTGTTACGACTGTCGGTTATTACGACCAAATATGAGTAGTCCCTTCGATGTCGTGATAACAGATTTTGACTGTATATTGAGATCAGAATGCAATAGCCCATGGCCTTACAAGTTTGACGTTAAATAATTAGTAAAAACCTTTTCACTGGATTTGAGAGTTTGACACATCTCTACCAATATTATAAAGAGATATGATTTGATTTTGTTTATTTTTTTTCATTATTATGGCTCTAAAACTACAGGACTGATTTGAAAAATTCTTTACCAATTAGAAACCAACGTTATCTTTGATAAACTAGGATATAGAATATATTCCAAAAAGTTATGCTTCTGTATGAAATTACGATATTTAGATAATTCACCCAAGGTATGAAAAAGACCAAAGACAATTCCTTAATCGCGTATGCTGCGAAAACTTTTGACAATAGAGCGAATTTATGTACTAGAGTTTTATAGAAGACATCAATATCTACAAAAAGGGCCGCGGCACCATATGTCTAAAAAATATATTTTTGCATTTAAAAGTCTATTTAGGCTATAGAACATTCTGCTACGACCGAATTCATGCGGGTGGAACCGCAAAGCACAGCTAGTTACTTTTAATATGGTATACCCCGTAAGCTATCCCCAAACTCTAGTATGTATCTTTGTGTCACATATATCGGGTAATTAATATAAACGTAAGTTATATACCATAATTTTTAGTATTGGTTCAAACGCAAGGGGAACACTCGCCGCCGGAACTCAACTACACCTTCATCTACGTCGCACATCCGAGGGCTGTCACTCACCTCTCGTGGAGGAAGACTAGCAAATACATGCCTAAGTGAGTATTTAAAAACTATTCTTATTCTAAAAATATTTAAAATTATAGTATGGTACGTTTAAGTAAATAAAATTTTATATCCTTCAAGTACAGAGTAGATTTTCGGCCAAATGATGCCGTTAAATAATGTTATAAGAGACGCAGTACGTACGTAATACATATGAAGAAACCAATTATTAATTCCATATTAATTGTTTCAGAGGCAGCGTGGGCAACGTACTAGTAACGTCATGCGTTGACAATATCTGCCGCGTGTGGGCGGAAACGCTATTGCCAGAAGACGAATGGGGCGGATGTGTGACCCCCCATTCTCGTTCCCCACCTCGGAGACAACGCGCCACACACCGGCATAAACATCGATTCATGCAACGTTTGAAGCATATGAAGTGAGTTTTTTTCTCGTGAAGACAAAATGATTAATTTCTACAGTGTTGTAAGCTTGATAGTCCGGCTCGAAGGACCACAATGTACCGTCTGTATATAAATACAATAAATAACAATTATACGTAACATATAGCCAAAGATGGAATACTAATATTTGTAATCTATCTCGCGAGATTACTGCTTACAATTTAACTTATTATTATTCGGTAGATTGTAATCTATCGAAGTGAAACCGAACCGTAGCTGAAGATGAGTGGTGTGAAGTCTCTATTGGTATAAGTCAAAATCCTAAATTTGCAGAACGTGTTTTCACATCAGACGTACGGCCCAGTCTTCGAAGCAGCCAGGCGCTCCAATCCCCACGCTTCCTTCCACGTACAGCGCTCACGACTTCCACAACTCCTACCACGCTACGTCCTATACTGCTGGTTCGTAATTTTCTTCAAAGTAATGGAAGTACTCACGATTATTTTTAATAATGAATTACAGTAACTACTTAATAGAACAGGATATTTTCTAATGAATATATTTTTAATGCTCAAGAGATTATTATTGATATTTTCTTTTCAACAAAACAGGAAATCTCAAACATTTTGTTGGTACTATTTTGACATTGCATTTAAGCTTTTAGCTGTTGACTATGAATTTTACAAATAATTTATCATTAAATGCTTATAGCAGTATTTGTTTATCTAACACTTCGTTTTAAAGCTATTAAATAAAAAATGTATAAACTGTATGTGTTTTCTACAAAGTATTAGTATTATATATGGTGAGTGTTCTGAAGAATTGTTTGGGTTGATCCCTCATTTCAACACCGTACGAGCCAAACCGTATCAATTCAAAATTTCATCAGCAAAATCTTGATTGCTTGTGGAAGTCTTCCACAGTCCGCTTCACAAGACACTTTCTTTTGAGAACTAGCGAACTGTAGAATCGAGATACGACCTTCAACTGGTTAAAGTAAGAGTGATCTCCTCCTTCAAAGGCCGGCAACGCGTCCACTAAAAATGGTCCTGTAGGCTCGTTTGCCCTCCTAATCTATTTTTTTTTTAAAAAAAAAATTCTGTTCTGCCAAATAATGACTCTATCTTACGAATGGCCTAAGCCAGTTTATTAAATGTTGTAACAAACACTACGGCTCAACATCTTTCAGGCCGCTAGTTAAACGGCTAGGCTGTTAATTGAACGGCTAATTAAGCTAGTTGGCTGCGACATATACATTGCAACACAAGTTAGCTCCGAGGGCGTAAGGATAAGGTTTTTTGTAAAAACAAGCTAATTGTATGAAATTGTATTTAGGTCTCCACTTCCATCTAGCAGCGTCAATAAATGCGGAAACAGACATACCACTAGTGCCATCTCTTTCTGGCGGTGGAAGGTTCATCCTACACTGGCTTCATAATAAGGAAATGCACTTCACGAGTCAAGCTGAAGCGATCTTACACGATTTAACTAAAAAAGTTAGTAGCTATTATACTAATTTATTTTAAATATGTATTGAAGAATTGTACGATATTTCACAGACATAATATTGATTGGTAAGATCATTAAAAAATCGAATGGCCAAGTACCTGTTTATTGCATACAATTGTAGATTAATTACATTTAAAAAAATAACATAAAAATTCGGTTTTAACAGTGTGTTAGAATAACCAAGCGGTTACTTATTTAACTTGTGAGTTTCATATATAAACTTGCAAATTACAGATATTAGACAAAGAAGAAACTGAAGAAGGTGGTTCCGCATCAGATCAAACACAGCCGGATGGAGAAAATCACGAAAGTATGGCCCAAATTATTATTAACACACACACCATCAACATCGCATACAGATCCTATGAGTTTTTTCGTGTACACAAATTCAAATACACAAAGAAATAAATGAAAAAAACAAGAAATATACTTCTATAGTCGACGCATTTTAAACCGAGTCGTCGGGCAATAAATGTCACTGAAAGTAGGGATGTGCACGCAATGCAACCCGTTATCGATACTTAGCTACCTGCTCACGCAGGGTCGATGCGTCATCGTGAACTTCATTAGCACTCTGCCTCCTAATTGGTCGTTACGAGTAAGGGTTGTTGTTTTTCTTATTAATATAAGATTTTATGTTGACACACATTACATTATTTACGCTTCGTTACGCAATACGCACTATGGAGAATTTATTTTCTAACGTGGTTTTGAATAAATCACGCGTGATCCTGTTTTTAAAAGACTTGAAAACTGACCCCGAAAAAAATATTGCCTCAATTTCAATTATCCACGAGCACCTCTATAATTCTTACGCACATTTTTTTTTATTTAAACCACATAATTAGGACAAAAACATGATATTAATTGACATACATACGAAATTATAAAAGCGGTGCCGTCCCTTGTGGACACGACCAGCGAAATCAAGTTGATACAATAAACAGTGTTAATACAATACAAACAACCATAAAATAAAAATACAAACTATAAAAGATTTAAACTATTTGAACCAAGAAAATAAATTATCGGTACTGTGTCCTCATTCTACTCTTAGTTGAGGCCAGAGAACCATGAAAAATGTCAAAACTCTGTGCAAAACATCTTCGATTGTATAAACGGCTCCCGCACATCACTACACCTCTCCATAAGACCTGTAAGTGCGAGCGAGACAGACAGATAAATATGCCCGAAGTATCAGTTCATAATGCGTCGATTATAGTGTATTTCTTATAGGATCTATAAAGTAGATACGCAGTAGGGGAAGCTTTCAGTCTGCGTCAAAGTACAAAGACAAAATCTTAATTTTATCAAAACTGGTTAGCTGTTAGCGTAAAAGCGTAGTAATGGAATTTATGTAATAGAATTGTGCTTCGATTTGAATGCTTATTTCATGCTGCTAAGTAGGACATAGGCGACCCAGTCAACATTTGACTAAAGGACTGTCTGAAGATAACAGCAATAGTGATGAACAAGCAGGTAACTATGCTTCAACGCTTTAGTAATAGGCAGGAATCATCTCACTAGGACCTTAAACAAATTTGTATCAAGAATCTATTGTTTTATTTTAATACCAAAAAAAATAATTTAATAATTAGTAAGTAATATATTATTTATTTAAAAACTCGTGGAAAATTTAAATAGTCAGAATTTTTTTCCTTACTCCTTTTTGGCTATAGATAAACGTTAAAAGGAATGTTTGTTGTCCAAATTATGAAATGAGTTCAAGGGGTTTCTTTCAAAGAAATCTTTATATTAATAATTAAGTATACCTAAGATATTGAGCAGTGTTGGCCTAGTGGCTTCAGCGTGCGACTCTCATCCCTGAGGTCGTAGATTTGATCCCCGTCTGTGCACCATAGGACTTTCTTTCTATGCACGCATAACGCATTTAACATTCTCTCAAACGGTAAAGGAAAACATCGTAAGGAAACCGGCTTGTCTTAGACCCAAAAAGTCGACGGCGTGTGTCCGGTAACAGGTTGCCTATTAGACTGACAAATGATCATGAAATACATACAGAAATCTGAGGCCCAGACCTAAAAAGCTTGTAATTGGCGCTATTTTATTATTTATACCTAATATATTAACGTATATTTTGCTTTTGATAACCTTTGGAAAATTAAACAATTTTTAATTACAGGAAATGGCAACAGTCACCCAAGCCTTTCTAATACGACGTCCATCAACTCGATAGCGACGGATGTGACGTGTACACATTTACCGGACTCCCTGGACGCCAAAATAGAGGCATTGTTACGAGATTGGCATCAAAGCCCCGATCTACTGTTCTCGATACACCCTGTGGATGGTAGTTTTCTTATATGGTGAGTTTTTTATTCTTACTCCAAATCCACCATAATTTTTGTATCATATCTTACTCTCTATACATGTTCTTTCTTTGAATGAAATGAAGATTTTATTACATGACATTATTTATTTTATTAATTTCATGCCCTTGCGTGGTATGTTTATAGTGTTGCAATGTTCTATTGAAATCAAAGAGACAGCTTAGAAATATCACTATTTTCTTATCTAGTAAAACTACACATTAAACGTTCTTATAAAAAATATACTTGAGGCAGAAATGATAATCCAGTAGCGCTTCTTCCCTCTATGCCTCAGATTGCATCCGTTTGATCATTTTTATTTCATAGACGGTAGGTGATCAGCCTTCTGTCTAACACATGTTATCGATTTTTGTATTCAAGATATGCAACCTTCCTCACGATGTTTGTCTTCACCGTACGTGCGAATGTTAGGTGCGCAAATAGGCAGAAAGTGCATTTGTGTACAGCCGGGGATCAAACCTATGACCTCAGGGATGAGAGTCGCCTGCTGAAACCACTAAGAAAACAGTGATAGCACTGTTTTTCTAGTGGTTTCAGATCTGGGACAGCCTGAAAGTTAAAACTTTATTATTAATATTTTAAAATAATACATTACTTTGTACGCCTAAGATCATTTGCGTTTAACAAAACTTCCAGTAGCACTTCAAAATTCGTAACATGAATTCTTTTTTAAAATCGTGTAAAATTATAATTAACCCTTTCAGGGTATGTGAGTGGCTAGATGAGTTACAAGCGGGTGCAATACGGCAAGCCCAAGTGTCCTTTTCGGCACGAATACCTTCCGCGTTTCCTCTCGGAGACGCTACTACCATGTGTACGCCGGCCGCACTTTACCACGCGGCGGCCCAACCACTCTACGTGCGACATAGGACAAAACCGGTTAATACTGGTAAGATTCCAGAATATTTTTATTTCCAGAATGTTCTTGGTTTTATCAAATATTCAGCAATTATTCTGCCTTCTAGAGCTCATCATATAGTATCGAATCTCGGTGTATTTTTTATATATATCAAGAAGAAGATTAAATATATTAATTCTGAAATATTTAGAAATGTACGTACTGTGAATTTTGTTTGTAACCTCGTTAAGTATCTTTCTGCACCCTCTCGAATTATCACACCTAAATATATTAAGCGCAACAAAACAACTAAACAGTATGATAATAATTATTTATATTATAACTCCACTAATTCGTAGTGTTCAAATATTATGACGTTCTTTGTTGGAATTCCCGAATAAAAAGAAATAAAATCAAAATAATGTTAATGTGCCTCTAATCTATTGCTTTTGTCATCAAAATGCGGAATAATCAAGAAAATGGTAAGTTTATAAAAAACTGCACCGTAATTAAGTTTAAATTAAAAATAATTTATATCTTAGTTTAATATAAAAAATACTGGTTTTTTCTTATTATAGAATTATTATAATTTTAAATATCAAAATTGAGAGAGCAAAAACTTTTCCATGTAAAAAAATTAACGTAACGTTAAATATAAAATTGCATTATTTTCTTTGATTGTGATGATTTAAAATCCATCCTCCCATATAAATAAATTTATTAGTTATTTAATAACTATTTTAGGAGCAAGAGAAGAGAATAACAACGATATGAAAAGGAAAACAAGTGTCGCAACCGAAGTTATAGAGAATCAAGACAGTGATGTTTTAGAGTCGGCTCCTGTGATATCTATGGTCACTAACCACACAAATGGGACACTCAATCTATGGCAGTTGACTTTCGACGATAAATCTAAATTTTCTCAAGTAAGGACTTCTAACTTCCATACTTTTAGGTCTAGGTATTTATCTGGGATCGAGCTAGTCTATTGGTCCGGAGCAACGAAATTGTGTAACGCCTAATCTCCCTGCTACGATAAACAATTTTTTCCCCCCCCCGGGGTTTTTAAAAAAAAAAAAAAAAAAAAAAAAAAAAAAAAAAAGAGAGGGCACAGCAATACATTTAAATGCAACCAAATTATCACATCGACGTCTCTGCCCTGTTCGGGGTACTAACCACTAGACCAAATGAGTCGTAACTTCACAGAAACACATGCCAAAACACCCCTGTCTTTTTTTTATTTTCTATGTTTATTTGAAAATTGCCTGCAAGATATAAATTAACCTATTTTAGGTACTGTCAATTGGTCACGCTTCGAGAGCATCAGGTCACAGGTTTAGAGTGAATGACATCACGTGCCATCCAGTATTACCTTTGTTGCTCACTACGAGTCACCACAACATATCTGGTAAGTCATAAAAATCAACTGAAGGTGGCGCTCACCCTGTATCCTTTACATTATCCTCAGAAAAACTACACGTTAAACAACAGAGATTTTGTAGACGATAATTTGACATTGCTAAAGTGTAATAAAACTTTTGTAGCGTACCTTGAAAACTTTAGCCGTTACGAGTTGTGTTTAACCCAGCACCTGATATCAGGTATACCATCATCCCATTTTGGCCAAAACTCACCGATAGCCATATTGAGTATTCTGATAAGCAAGCTAGATCTGGATATCCATAGTTGCTCCCCTGCACTTTGAAATCGATTTTCCCTTTCCTTTGAACAAAATTATTGATTATACGTAAATAGGAATAAGAAATAAAGTAAAAATAGAATATGTGAAGTTCGTATGATTTAATAATAATGACATTTGTCATTTACCTTTTAAAAATTGAGGTTAATATCCTTGTATTATTATTATTATCGAGTAATTTTTTGTTTAAAACACATTGTTTAATAAAACATGTAATTTTCCTGATTTTATCTAGCAAATATAAGGAAAAGAGAAAAAACAATTGATGAATCAGTGTAACTGCCTAAATTGAATACAAAAAAGTTTTCATCTTATCGCTGTGAAACATCAAAAACTGGAGGTGGAACAAAGCCAAATATTTTTAATATTGCCAAAGAAGTATAACTTCTTACGCGTACATAAGTACACGGACCCTTTTTTTTTTGTTTGGGTGTTTAAGTGCATGTCACATTAAATATTGTATTTTATTTTTCTTGTACAATGTATCAGAGTGCCGAGCGTTGGCAAGATTTTATAAATAAATATCGTGACAGTAAAAATCTCACTGTACACCTATCGAATTTGGCTCTATGGTATATTATACCAATATTATGATCCCTCAATTAACGTTATTAACACCAGTCTTTCCTTTCTTTCTAACTCTCTATTATTGTTCTAACTTCTCTTTTTTAATCGTACGAAGTGCCTTGATCTTGGCCGAGGAAATTTTTTACTTACCTCACCATCTGTCAAGATTGCGAAGTTGGAGGCGATGGTAAAATATTAATAAAATTCACAGATGAAGCGAGAGACGTAGCTCCGACGGACGATCAATTTGCAGCGGGTGGTCTTTGTTCAGAACTAATAATGTGGCGCGTGGAATGCGTGGGACCGTTGGGCAAGTCTGGTGGTGTGTCTGAATTGGCGCGTGTTAATTCACCACATTTGTCCGCATTTAGTAATGTTGCCTGGCTGCCTACGTTGCTCCCGAGGTGAGTTTTTAGAATATAAACAAGAACAAAGTTAATTTGAATGAATTGATTTGTCCTCGAGGTTCTTTTGAGGTTTTTGTTATAAATTTGTAAAAAAATATCATTTATATATGTGTGTTCTAATATAAACCAAAGACAATTGTAATTACAGTCAAAATCTATCATAACGACATTGAAGGGACTACTTATATTTGGTCGTAGAAACCGATAGTTGTAACAGTCGATGGCGTTGTTATTAAGTATAGTAGTTGTTGATTTTGGTCAATATAACTGATATGTTTTGTCTGTATATGGATTTGATGTTCTTTTAGTTTTGTGCCATATGTATCAAAATAAGTGAGCTGCAGTCCAGGTCTTTAGCACATTTGGCAACTTAGATATTTATAACATTCTTATTGCAGTATTTTTTAATATCACGCCCCAAGTATTATTTCGAGGATTTTTATTATTTAATTCCTGGAGGTGGTTTTGATTGTCAGTGGAACATAAGTCGGTTTGGTTTGGAATTTTATTTTAATTATGCTCTCAAACATCACACATGTTAAAATGAGGAAAATTAAATACGTATATATATTTTAAAAAAGGATATACACGTGAGAAAATGACAGAACTTAATAACCAGATCCATGCTACTTCTTCACAATCGAGTAGCCTACAATATCGCAGCACTATATGCCCTATGGGATTTTTGTATCGAGAAAGTTAAATGTCAAGGTTATACTTATTTCCAGCACTACACTAGGAAATCTTTCGAATTCGCCATCTGCATGTTTCGTGGCGAGTGACGGAGAGAGTCTGCGTTTGTTCCAAGCCGTTATTGATGCTCGGACTCTGTTAGCTGAAATAGCTTCGTCTGAACGCCGCCATAAAGATGTAATGGTAATTAGTTTTTAAGTATATTCCTTTTAATTTCAAAAATCAAATTTCCCAAAAAAATTGCGTATCGATTCTTTGTAGCCCGGCAACGTGATGGGGAGCCTTACGGCGTGATTGTCCATGGGCGCCGGCCGGTATTACTAAACGTCAGATGAGCCTCCTGCCCGTATGCCCCTGTTGTATATTAAAAAATAGTGAATTTTTTAAATAAAACATTTTTTAATATAATAGCTAGCTGACCCGGCAAACAAAAAAATAAAAATAACTAATTACTTTAATAAAAAATAGGGTTTGATCCTAGAGGGGTGAAAATGAAGGGTTGCTGTATGCTGTATCATAAAAAAATAAAAACAAAATAATTTTGGTGTGGACACCCCTTATCACTTAGGGGGTTAAAAGATAAATAGTAGTCGATTCTCAGACTTACTGAATATGCTTAAAAACTTTCATAAGAATCGGTCGAGCCGTTTTGGAGGAGTATGGGAACGAACATTGTGACACGAGAATTTTATATATTAGATAATATTTGACACCCTTTAAGGATTAGGTACCCAATCTTAATGCAAACATTAAAATTTCTGATCATATTTCAGCACGATACAATGTCGATATCATCAGAATCAACTATCGAGGAAGGGGGTGTTCCTCTTCACGATAGATTCAAGATAGTCTCCCAGCAATCTACGGCAAGGCCAGGGGCAATAATACAATTACACGCTATTGCTGATGCAACACACGATTGGCATAACACACAACTATTACACGTCTTTCAAGAACAGCTAATTACAGGTAAATTATATATTTTTTTATATTTAGTAAATACATATACATAGTAAAATTTCTGATAGACAAAATTCATCCACCTAGAACTCATAACGAAGACGTCGTTATCTATATTTCCTATTAGCATCAATATCATATTACAACGATCCGAGGTCTTGAGAAAACATTCCTTTTTAATTTTTATTATTTATTACTTTTTTAACCTAGCTTAACAATGTAACAATAACAACATAATTCCCTCTTTAAGAAAAACAACAGAATCTTCATAATTAATAAAATAATCAAAATGTATGATACTTGCATTCGTTCAAATAGGAGAAAGGACATCGAGTGATACAGAAAGTTCAGATTCTGGTGTGGAAGGTGACGTGAATACGATAACGGAAGCTGGAATGGAGGCAATAGTGGATTTGAGGAAAGCCGCAGTTTTTAATGAGCCCTTCTACATCGTTGTTCTTGAGAGAACAGACGGTGGTTCTACTGTACACATGTGGAGGCTAACTGTATCTTCGCAGGGTGATATTAATGGTAATTAAAAGTATTTCATGACATCACAAAATAAAATATGAATGCAGCTAGAAATGTCCTTTTTTTTGGAATTTTCTTCTTTCCTTCCTTGTCATTAAATTTTAATTTTGTAACGATAAATTATACGATAATTAACGATAGTATCTGTATACAGAATTTTCTTATTTATTTTTTTATGGTGTTCCGTCTTTCCCAAGGAAGACTTCCACCTGTGCCTTCTAAATATAATAGTCGCTTTAAATGAATTAACCATAAACATTATTTTTAGATGACATGACGAATAGTATGATGTACGTTCCTGATAGTGCTTTAGTGCAAGAAGATGAGGGCGAGTCCCGAAAGAATTCCGTGTCAGTAGATATCGACCAAGCTGCACCCGCACATCAAATTCACTCACATCTATCTATTTCTACGAAAAAGGTATTTTTCATTTGTTATACATGATTTTCATCATCGTTTATTATTTTGGATTAAAATTGACTCACAGAATACAGTAAATATAATTGTTGGTTTACCGTACACATTTTTCCGAAAAACAAAAATTATGAATGAACCGATACGATCGTGGTTTTTTGGTGTTTTTATTTAATGTTAATAGATTTTTGTTAGTCCCTTCTTCAAATATTTACGTATGAAGTATTCAAGAATTGATTAAGAATTCCAATTGCAGCAACTAGAATTTAGCAACTCAATGGAAGAAGCTATGTATAACAAATTATTGTTCTACAGGTTTGTGAATGCCCGTTATCACTCCCAGAAGGCGTAGATGTGATTCACGCGACACCAGCAGCTGGCCATCTTAGCTCAGCTTCCATTTATCCCGCCTGCCTTGCTCCGTATATACTTGCAACTGCCTGCTCTGACAGTACACTCAGGTAATACACTTCCACTTGTATGTTTGTGTAGTTATGTTTTGAATAGTTCCAAAATAATGCATGATTTATGCCTGTTGATTGATCACTGCTGCTTGTTGGTACAATTTTCAAACAATGCATCTAGTATGTGCATGGTATTTTGGAAAACTTTTTTGGTCCTTCGAACCAGAAAGTATATATTTTTGTTTGTATCACCAGATTTTGGAAGTGTGACGTGACTAAAAAAGATGATGATTTTGAATATTCGTGGAAGGAATGGGAAATGATGAATAAAGATCAAGAATCTACTATTGATATACCAGGTAAATTGGGTTTTCTGTTTCAAGTTCAAAGAAAAACTGGTAGTATAAGATCCCCTATTACACCCCCTTTCCCCAGGGGTTTTTTTTTTTTATTTTTTTTTTTTTTTATATGTTTCATATGATAATATAATAAAGAAAATTATATTTTATATATAAAAAATTTTTATAATTTATTATAAATTTTGATTTTTTTATTTTTAGGTAGTATTATATATTATTATATTTTTATATAAATTATATATATTTATGTAAATATAATATATTAATTATTAAAAAATAAGTTTGATATTCTATGGGTTATAGTTGATTGGTATAGAATTTATCTAATAACATACCGGTGAAATGTTTAAAAAATATTTTTTTAAAATTAATTAAACATATCTGGATGAAATTTGCTAGGCAACCCTATATTATATTTATTGAATATTAAATTATATATAAGGAACCTGGTTATCTGTAAATTCACAATTATACACTATTTTAGGTCAACCCTTACACATAAGCGCAGCGTACTCGGGTCGAATTGCGTGCGCGTACAAATGCGGACGTTCCTTTACGAGACCTAAAGGCCTGTCCACAACGAATTTGAACAACCCAGACGCACGTTACGTGAACTTATGCGTTTGCGTATACGAATGTGAGAGTACCGGTGGCGCGGAGTGGTTGTTAGAAGATACGATACCATTGCGAAATGTCAGCTTACCACGGGTTGGAGTCTGTACTGATACCCAGATAGATCTCTCTTACTTGCATGATACAACATTTATGCAGAAGAAACAGAGGATTAACCAGGTTAGTGCACGCTCTAAAATTAATCTATTCTATTATTAATAATGCGGAATTAAGTCATATAATTTTAGATGATTTATGTGACCTTTTTTTGAAGTTTTACTGCTTTTGGCCCGTTAGGGAAATATGATGAGAGTAAATTTTTACGATGCGCGCGCACACCGTCACAAAAAATCGATGCCCCGAAGTTAGCATAGTCAACATTTAAAAAAAAAAATGTCCATTTCTTTAATTATGTTATTAATTATAAAGATTTTACCTTTTGAATACATCATTGAATAAAACAAACATACATCACAAACTAAAAAAATAACTCGGTGGACACTTTCAGCAACTCCATAGATAGAGACCTTTCGCCGAGTCGTAGAAACCTTGCTGTGTTAATTATTTGCTATTATTGAAGAAAAATTTAGTGTAACATTTTTTCGTTACGCGTCACATTTTTCGGTTACGCGCCATGTTGCTTTTTGAAGTCAAACTTCTTTATCGGCGTTGGAATGAAACTTCTTTATCGACGTATGGGAGAAATTTTGTAGCAAATCGTCACGTTTTTCAATGATAGTAATAATTCTATTACAATTAATGAAATTCTATAATAATCTTCGTAGTAATAAGGTAAAATGAAATATTTGTATTCATGTCTATGATAATAAAAGCCTTTTGTTAAACTTTATCTAATTTAACGAATTTCTGTAAAGTTGCATATAGTAGATCATTTTTCGAAAAATAAGATCATAAAGAAGTTTCACTTCTTACGTGTTACACCTAGTACACGCACAATTTATTATTATTTTCTTTATTCCTATACTCTGATTTCAGTCCGTAGAATTCTGATATTTTATACGTGTTGCTACTAAAAACGTTCTCCACAGAAAAAGAGACATATTTGACGGAAAAAAAAATGTTATCTTTAATTGTGCGTTTTTTACTGTTTGTAATGAAAACGTAATTATCACTCCCCGTAAAACCACTTTCTATGTGGAGCACCGCGCTTAATAAAATGGATACATTCACTAACAAATAAAAAATATGTATTGACCTCAGATGTTCATACTCGTATTAAAATTGAAAAATGTGCCCGGCCAAAAAGGGTTGTATCCTCTGACATTTTGTCAAAAAATTATAGCTGTCAGAATTCTACGGAATTAAAAATCAAAGTATACATTGTTATGTATTTACATCGTATATTCGGGGATGCTTGGCGGACCCATACGACTTCTTCTTCGATATTGCGGGCTACTCGATTGTGAGGAAGTTGCATGGCAGATACATTCCGCCGTCTTAAGTTCTCATTACATTTTCACACATCTATATCTTAATAACGCAATTAGATAAGCATAATCAATCGGGAAAAGGGCCGACAACGCCTCGCGTGCCCTCTGACATTGATAGTGTCCATGGGCGGCGGTATCACTTAACATCAGGTGAGCCACCTGCCCGTTTGCCCCTGTTCTATAATTTTTTTTTAATGAAAAAAGTAAGTTATATTTTTTCGTATATTACCGTTAAAGAATGTTATTGTACTTAGGTCCTACAAACGCTATCATCAGACGAAAGCCGTAATAACCGTAATGGCGAGGCTGACACGGGCAAATCGGCCGGTCTTCTCGCCGTCCCGTCATTCAGTACTTTACAATCGCTGCGCAGGAGCATTATGGAGAATGGCAATACTTGTCCACTCACACAGAAGCATTTGGTGCAGCTCGACTGGGTTTCTAAGGAGGATGGTTCTCATATATTGACAGTGGCCGTCGGTTCCAGGGTTTTGCTGTTTACGCCTGTCTCGAGTGATCTAGCGCAGGCAAATATAAAGGTATGATTCTTTAGAGATTGTCGTGGAGGTTCGATCAAATATAATTTATTCCCAAATATTATATACTAGTAATTTTTTCGTAACAGTGCGACCTCAAATCACACGACATTTTCTCTCTGCGCACATATATTAAACGAGTTTAAACGAGGGCCGCAAAAACTAAAAAAAAAAAAAAAAAAAAGACATCGTCATTTAGTTCATGTTCGAATATTGGAACACGTCCTGTATTCGAATGAGAGTTCTCGTCAAGAACAGGTTTCTTGCATTGGCTAACTGAGGAGCGACAATGTTTCGATTGGTTTATTTGATGGTTTAATGGTGGAAATGTTGTATTGTATAGTATGTCACTGGCCTAGGTGTGTAATAAGTTAATTATTTAAATATGTTCCACGACCTGGTGGACAGAAAAACTGTGTCCAGTTTGTGTTTCCACCTCACCAACTTCTTTCTATTTAGGATCATGTATATAATAAATAAATAAATAAAATAATTAACTAATTTGGGGGCAGAATAAAGTAATATATGATATGAATTACTCACATTAATCTAGATACAATTGTTTATATTTTGAAGGAAGAGAATAAACTGAAATTGATTAAATAAGTTATACACAAGTGGAGAATTTAATTACTGTTTGTTATATAACATTAACACACACACAGTCTACCATTGAGTTGGGTATAAGTATTGCTTAAAAAAGACCCACACATTGTATATTTTTTTATTTACTATGTATATTACTAATTAGCGGGATTAAAATAAAATACATTCAACAAAAACTATTAAGTAAAGAAACCGATGAATAAAGCGCGTTCTACTGATTCAAAATATATGAACATCTTTCAGGCAATGAAGGAATCTATTAACAACAATCGTCCGATACTTCGCAAAGCCTCGTCTCTAGCGGCGCCATTATTCGTTGAAGAGATAAGGTGGATGCAATTACGTCGTATAGAATTGAAGACCGCTGATGGTCTACCGCCGTTACCTATGCAGATATCGTGGGTCAGAGATGGTATATTGGTTGTGGGTATGGACTCGGAGATGCATGTATATTCACAATGGAAGCCAGAGAACTCACAGATTACGTCTGGACAGCAGAATGGACAGGTATTTTTTTGCTTAGCAGATTATAAAAATATTTAAATAAATATTAATGTAGATAAGTTATTGTACGACTAAGAAAATTGTAATCACTGAAAAATGTATATTTAATGCAAGTTCTCGTATCAATTACCTAGACGGACGAGAAAAGCTGGCAAGGAACTCGCCACTTTACTTTTCATTAAGTATTTAATTATTCTTATTTGTTATTTTTTATATCATTAATCGCGAGACTTCTGCGTGAAAAACAATTAAATAAAATTTGAAAGAATGGTTCATAATAAAATTTAAGGTAGGCGTATTTCAAAAATTCGCCAAAACGCATTTTTACTATTTGAGATTTGAACATTGTTATTGGTCATTTGTTAAAAAATAAAAAAAATCAGTGACGCTATAACCTTTAGGTCTGGGCCCAGATTTATGTATCTGTTTCACGATCATTTATCAATCTAATAGGCAAGTGGTAGGTTAATTGAATATACTAAAGTATGTGAGAAAACAAATTAAACAGGAAGTCGAAGAAGGCGGAGAATCCCGCGCTCTGAGAGACTCTGATTTACGCGTCTCGGCGCCACACTTGCAACGTGTGTCCTCTATCAACTTACAATTATTGGAGAGAGACGCAAGACGTAAAAACAAAACACAACCGGATCAACCGCAGGTAAACAAAATGCTTGAATGTGTGATTATGGAGGTAATGTATCCTCTAAATCTCAACTAATAAAACTTTTCAAAATCGATAATTCTTTTTACTTAAATTTTAAATTGTTGATATTTGTTTTACATTTAATTATTAAACTAAATTTCTAAGGTAACTTAGCAATATGTATGACCACGGCAAAAACTAATTTTGACTTTGACAGATGCGAGTCCACTCGCAAAGTCTCAACATCTTAACCTTACTATGATGACTATATACAAGCTTAAATACAAAAAAAAGCAATTTATAAACTACTTTTTACGGTTTATTTTCAGCCATTATTAAACTACATGCCTGACTTTGGTCTATTTGAGGCATCGCAAATGGCTTGCCCGGTTCTACCGCAATATCATCCTAAACAGTTAATGGAATTGCTTAATAGTGGCAAGATTCGATGGGTGAAAGCTATATTGGCACATTTAGTAAGGTAGGAATGTTCAATGCCGATTAGTCTATAGTGCGGTGCTCACATTAAAAGTCGTTTTACGGCGAGTGACAATTGCGTCCCTTTTCATCACAAACAGTAAAAAACGCACAAGTAAAGATAACAATAATTTTTTTTAAAGGTTTACTAAACCTAGAATTAGTAGGCAGTGATGCCAGCTAAATAATAAAATAAAGTAATTTAAGTTAATTCGATATATTGTTCGTGATATTGAAATAATTGTTATTTTTGTATTAGATCACTTGAGTGAATATTAAGATTTTTCTTTTTGTAGGTAAAACATAAAAAATACGTAGCATTTTATTTTTATTGCCCTCAAATGAGTCAAATTTGTCCCTTTTTCTCTTGAACTTTGTAAGTAGCAACATTTATGAAATGTCAGAATTCTACGGAATGAAAAATCAGACTATATAATATGTGAAAAAATCACAACGATTTTATTATACTTCTTTTTTTTATTAAATGACTACAAAATAGACTAAAATGTATTGAATAGCGATAATTCTATTGATTGTTCTAGTTAAGTAAAATAGATCTAGTAATAGTTAATTAAATGTTAAATCAGTCTTTAGGAATTGATCATCCAAATAGGTCCGGAGAACCTATGCTTTCCTTCGGTCTTTAAGTCGGTTAAAAATAACAAATTTCTTGCAGATGTATAGGTGGAACATACACCAGTAGAAGCTCCCAAGGCGATGAGGATAGTATATCTCGACAGGTAAATATTATATGTAAACTACTTGATTGTATGTGTCACTGTGATTTGGTTGTAGTTTGTATAGATGTTCGATCGTTAAAAATGTTCAATTTCACAGGGTGTATGTTTCACCATTTTTGATTTACAGTATTCATACTCATCGCTGTACCTAAGAGTATCCGATATATGGCTGAATACTCAAACATGAAACTTGTTCAAATTCAAATTCAAAAATCATTTATTCACGTAGGTAACACAATGTACACTTGTGATTCGTCATTAAAGAAATACATATTAATGCTTCTAATTTTACATTTACTGCCAGTTCTCAAATCAAGGGTGTAGAACGGAAGAGAAGAACTGGCAATAAACTCTCCGCCACTCTTTTTAATCGCCATGTTTTTTTTTACACAACGTTTGTAAGGAGCTGCAACCAGTTCAGTTATCTCATTGCAAAAATATTCCTCTTTATATTAGGTTTCGTTTATTAAATACCACAAAGAATACCTGCATTGCATGATATTTGATTATAAAGTAATACGTCACCTTATGTCCTAAAAGAAGAATTAAGCACGATTGCACATAATTTTTAAGCTAAAAATGATCAAATACTTATCTTAAATAATCTACTATTATCTAGCAATGATCCACCCATGATAGCACTCCATTGACCAAACATTTTTACTGACCATATATGAACTCATTGCCATTTTAGTAGGTTTGTAGAAAAACAAATCTACAATGTACATAGGTTATGTGGCACCTCTTAGCCCGGCTTATGCATGTTGCACGTTGTTGCAGCGTGGCTGGTCGCGTTCGCGTACGCTGTCCGTTTCATTCGCTGCGGGCGCTGCATCGCCTCTTGACGGCGTCGCACAGGTAACACATAGATCCGGGATATTGGGAAATTCAGATTAGGCAACTCCGTATTGTTCGTAAACGTACTAAGAATACATTCATTTAGTTTTTTACAGGAACATAACAGCGATATATCTTTAAATTAGGTTCACATATGTGTTGTTCAAGTTAAATTTATATCAGTGTGTGTACATAAATCATATAGTACCTACTTTTATGAATATTGCCCAATATGTGTGTTATGGCCTTTTGTACGATGTTCCTTATATTTTCGATATATTTAAATTAATTCTGTTATCAAACTTATTATTCCGGATCTTATTTTAATTCGATTCAAGCATCTCCCAATTCTAACTAAATTTATTCACGCAATCAATACAATTTTAGCACAACCCTATAAGCACTTGTACTTTCATATCATTATCAATCTTTCACATTGGGTTTTGTGTATCTTATGAACAAAAGTCTTTAGAACAGAAAATTGTTCATAAGGGTTGTGTAGACGTCAAGGCTAGCCAAACTGTCAATACTGTATAATATACCTCAAATATTAAATTGTCCCAATTATATGTTATAACTAGATAACAGAAGATGTGCAGCTGGATTATGCAGAATTAACATCGGTCCCACCTTTACCGCTGTGGACATTACTTGTTGCTGACAAGGAATCTGCACACCATCCCTCTACTATTCAGGAAGCTAAGGTAATCCCAAAAATTCTACTTAAATTTCTGAACTATTTTTTCCCTAGACGTACATTCACATTTCTAGTATAAAGTCGTGTCATGTTGTCTTAAAAAATCGTTCCTATAATGTTGCTCGTCGGATAATATGGAACATAATAGTAAAACAGGTTGATATGTAGCCAATGTTAGGAGTGTCTGTATATTATATGTAGTGTATGTTAGCAAGCTGCACTAGATAACTAATTATATGAACGGTTTAGACCTTTTTTTTTATTGAACAGGGGCAAACGAACAGGAGGCTCACCTGTTGTTAAGTGATACTGCCCCCCATGGACACTCTCCGGTCGCGAGTGCGTTGCCGCCCTTTTAAAATTATTAGTGACCTTTAAACCATTGCAGGACTATAATGAACTATTCGAAGGAACAATTGAGGTGGAAGAAGATCTAGACGCTTTACTCTTAGAAGACGGAGATGTCGTAGATAGGAGACCTTCAATGCCGGAAAGACAACCTTTATCACATTTTGGGCCACGACAAGGTACTTTATATTACTAAAAAAACTATTTAAATATAAACATAAAAAGGTGAAAATAGTAGGTACTAATAGATATTAAAATTATATTTACACTAACACTTCCCCATGGGTATACTCTCTATTCTACAAAATATTTTTTTCTATTTGATCTAGTAAGTCCTGAAATAATCGCGTGCAGTTTTTATAACGTTAGTTGATATATCCGAAGCTGTAACGCAAGTTCGGCTTAGTACTTCGACAGCACAACTATAGGTCGGTTATCGAAAGCTGGCGGGTTCACAGTACTCACACTAATGCAATTTCACATACAGTATGTTTCAAAATATGATTTTTTTGCCATGCTATACATTTTAGTCCACTCATACACGACGGACAGTCTATTCATGATGTATTTATGATTGTATTTCAGTTTGACATTACGTCTCGCGCTTATTCACAGACACTACACAAGCACAAAGTGTAAATGTGTTGAAGCCGCCAGCTTTAGTTAACATACCTATACCTATGGTGAGAGAATGTTCCACAACTGAGCGTTTTTTAAGACAATTTTTGCCGCGCACCACTATGTGGAACCAGCTGCCCACTGAAATATTTCCGAACCAATTCGACTTAGGGTCCTTCAAGAGCGTACCATTTCATTAAAGGCCGGCATCACACTTGCGAGCTGTTACATTAAAAAAAAGTATCTGCTACTCCGGCCAATAATGACTACCCGGTCAGTTATTTTTATATGCATTTGTCGCGCTAACAAGACTGCTATTGTTACATAAATTTACATAACAAATTTAATATGCCATGATTTAGATTGTATTATAAAAAAAGTGTGTGTGTGTCAGCTACGACGCACGATTGGAGTTTACTCCTTACGAACGATAAAATGGCGATAATGTTCTGTGGCTGTCGACCATATTTTCATACTAAAGGTGGTAAGAATATATGTTTTTATAATATAAATGTTTGTAGTAGTAATAAAACGTACCTACATCATCTATGCCCAAATAGGATTTTCTTTCTGTGACCAAAGTTACCTTTATAGTAAGAGAAGAATAAGAATGAACAATCTTTTTAGTTTTAATTTCACTGACCATTACTATTGACAAAACTCTATGGCACGCTAGACAATCTACTTTTATTTTTTACACCTGTCAACACTGACAATGTTGTAACGTGGCTGTCAAAACGTGAATTCAAAATAGAAAAGTCTGTGTTATGTATTCCATCTCATTCTTTTACACGTTCAATCCATTTGTCTCTTTCTACATAACGCCTCAACTTTTCGTGTTACACTTGATTTTACTCCTCATAAAATTTCCGTACCGGGCCTTATAACTCAAATCGTTTCTTAAGGAGTAAACTCCAAAAATCTAATTAAAATGTATTTTTGAATCTCCAAACAAATATCTGTTCTAAATAAATTTATTTTCAGGTCGTATCCTCTCGCGTCTGTTAACCCACACTCATTTGCCGGGTCTCAGTTCGCTCGACCAAATGCATCTTCTTGCCTTGGCTGATACTGTATCCACTTGCGATGCAGATTTCACAGAACGATTGACAACCAATACTAGAATGGATGTCGCTCAAGGTGGCGGACAGGAAGTCATGCCTGGTAGGTAAAACTCTAGTCAATATAAGCTTCTACCATAATGTACCATTAGCTCTAATAAATAAATCTATGGGGGTCCAATTTTAAACCTTAGATAAAATATAATACACTATTTAAAACTAAAGACTTTTTCTATACTGAAGAGAAAGTATTAGTGTTTTTGGTCATAATTCTCCCATCTTAATCACATCGTACAATACATATAATACACCACGTCAGAGAGTAACAGAAGCTTTTTTTTAATATTGAGTATAAAAATTTATTTATTTATTTATTACAGAAATACATACATTATCCTTACAGACTATGGCAATATGATAATGTCGAGAAACATTAAATAAAATATAATAAAGTACCTATATAATATTAAACACATAATATACACAATATCGCTACTGTGAATTCACTCTGCGAACATATAATATCGCAAATAACCTAGGGCTTCGCCGTCGAACATATCTCATAAGTTATTACCTATGAGATATGTTATGTGAGAAACCCAGAAGAATCTTCTATTTTTCAATCTACTAATTGTGTAAAAAAAATACGCTAAATCAAGCACATGATGGGTTTTAGAATTCGCTTCATTCGCATTGTAACACTACACACAAATTTTGTGATACATTTCCACACAACACTTGGTTATGTAGCATTTACACATTTTTAACAGATTCCCTCGATGACTGCGGACTTCGGTTCCTATTAGCAATGAAGCACTACGGATATCTTCTCCGATGTCTGCCACTGGCCCAACGTGCCTCCCTACAAAGAACTGGCGTTGGCACCTGCAATCTTGTATGGGCGTTCCATTCAGAGTCACACGAACAGTTGCTGGCTTTAATACCAGGGTACACCAAAGGACAAGCTAAATGGAGTACTATGAGAGAATTAGGTGAGAAAATTCAACGTTTGTATTTTATTATTTTTGAATTCGCTTACTTATTTTCCAAACTTCACAAAACATATACATGTTTTGGTGGCTCCAAAAACCGTATGGGTCATATATGGGCCACCGGGGTGGCTCATGTTTATTTTGTCGTCGTGCCAATTATAGGAGCTGTACAGACTGGACTACTCTAACACCATCCGTGCGGTTACAATTAGCAAATTAAATTTAAACAAAACTCTTATAGAAAAACACTGAAACTTCTATTTGAAAATACGCTAGCTACTTCTGGAAATAAAACAGGTTCGCACCCGAAATATACCGCCATATACCGACCTATATATCGCCAAATGCGATTATTTTCAGGAACAAAGTTCTGACAAAGATAAAAAATTAAATTAACAAAAATGAAATCCAAACCGATTTTAATTGTACGATAATAATAGTAATCAAATTTATTTGTTTTATCTGTAACATAAATTAGGTATCTATACAAAATTTTAATAAATTGAAGTGTTGAAAAATTCCTCCCATTATTATAAATTCTTCTAAATAAGTGCTTTTTAACTATTTCGAATTGTATATAATGAATAAATAAAAAAACCAAGTTCCATATATGACATATTATTACATTCGTAGGTGTCGGCTGGTGGGTGCGTGGCGATCTCCTCCGTACTTGTGTGGAGAAGTTAGCCCGTGCCGCTTATATGTCTAAGCAGGATCCGATGGATGCCGCCTTATATTACTTGGCTATGAAAAAGAAAACTCTGCTCTGGGGTCTCTTCAGATCTAACCAGCATGATAAAATGACTGCAGTAAGTTTTAACTTATATAGATTTTGCTGTATGAATTTTTTTTTGAACACACCGTTTCCTTCATAGTCATGTTTTTTTTTAGTTTGTGATCAATTTTGTTGGTACATTCTTCTAAAGGGGACTTCTGGAGATACCTTAAGATAATATGTCTAATGTCTATCTTCTGATATATAAAATTCTCGTGTTACAATGTTCGTTCCCATACTCCTCCGAAACGGCTCGACCGATTCTTATGAATTTTTTTATGCATATTTAGTAAGTATAAGAATCGGCTATTATCTATCTTTCAAACCCCTTAATGATAAGGGGTGTCCACCCCAAAATTTTATTTTTTATTCTTTAGACAAAAATTTTAGTTTTTATTTTTTTATGATACAGCTTACAAAAATACATACAACCCTTAATTTTCATCTACCCTCTACGATCAACCCCCATTTTTTATTTGTTAGTAAGAACTTATAACTTGAACTCTGAGGTTTATATATAAAAAAATCACAGAAATCCCTAAAAAGTTTTCATTCCGGAAAACCGAACAGTCTCTGGCGTAGTATAGCAAAATGTTCCATGTTGGTATGTATTTATTACAGGTAGGCTAGGCATTAAGGAGAAACGAAGTTCGCGGGGGCAGCTAGTCTACTATATAAAATTCTCGTGTCACAATGTTCGTTCCCATACTCCTTCGAAACGGCTCGACCCATTCTTATGAATGTTTTTATGCATTCAAACCCCTAAGTGATAAGGGGTGACCACCCCAAAAAAATTGTTTTTTTGTTTTTATTTTTTATGATCGCGTAAAACGAAAGAGCAAAAAAAAAGAGCGTACAAAAATACATACAACCCCTAATTGTCACCTCTCTACAATCAAACCTTTTTTTATTATTATTTTAGATAGTTATTTTTATTGAACTAAAAAATGTTTCCTAGAAATAATATACAAGGCAAAACAAACGTTTGCCGGGTCAGCTAGTATTATATAATTTTTTATCCTTTTCTTAAATAAACAAGTTCCGTTGAAATTATTTCAGTTCTTCTCGAATGACTTTTCGGAAGATCGGTGGCGAAAGGCAGCCTTGAAAAATGCTTTCGTCTTATTGGGAAGACAGAGATTCGAGCACGCAGCTGCCTTTTTCCTTCTTGGCGGTGCTTTAAAGGACGCCTTAGAGGTAAGTTGTTATTTTATTGTACGTATATATATGCTCTCAAACATCAGACATGTTAAAACCATCAGTGGCGCTACAACCTCTTTAGGTCTGGGCCTCAGACTTCTGAACATGTTTTCATGATCAATTTTCAATCTAATAGGCAAGTAGGTGATCAGCCTCCTGTGCCTGACACACGCCGTCGACTTTTTGGGTCTAAGACATGTCGGTTTCCTCACGATGTTTTCCTTCACCGTTCGAGCGATTGTTAAATGCGCACATAGAAAGAAAGTCCATTGGTGCACCAGTACGCTTAGGTACGCAGAGTAAACTTGTATGAGAATTGCAAAAAATTAATTACTGTATTACAAGCACAGGTAAGCAAGCCCTGAATATAATTTTAAATTTACGCATGGTAACTTTTGTTTTGTGTTAAGGTTTTAACGCACAATCATTAGTTTTCATTAACAACTCTTTCCTTCCTATAACAACGATAGAATTGTTTTAATAAGCCTGTAAAATTCACCAGTCGAGTGTGACTCCAGAAGATGTTTTAAGGGCAGAGAAATGAAAGGATAGAGGATGCTAATATAACCAGTCAACTATTTGTTATAGGTGCTGATAACTCGTTTGGGAGATTTGCAACTGGCCATGGTGATAGCGAGATTGTATGAATCTGAAACTACTCTACCGCCCAGTTTGAAGAAGTTAATAATGGATGAAATATTGGGGTTTGTATTTCAATATCATTAAACCGGACCTGTTTTACTAACATTATAGCAAGTTATTTAACCAGGATTATTTGTGAGCTAGTTAGTATTTTTCTAGGCTAACTAGCTGTACCCTGCCACGCTTCGTGGCACATGTGATTGAATGGTCGAGAAATGAGAAACAAAAGAAAGAATAAATTTTATATAAGTTTAATTTTGCAATACATGTGGGATATCCAATATTTGCCGAGTTGGGAACACGCAACATACAGTTGTCCATGTGAAAAGTATTCCGAAGATTAACCTTGAACTTTATTAATTGTGATTGCAAATGCCAATTAAATTGGGAATTGCAATCTTTTAAATTGAAATGGTGCATCGGTCGGGATCATGATCATGCTAGTGTTTTCCTCGCTTCCGGCAGATGGCGCGGTCACTGCTACATAGCTGATTGTTAAAAAAGCAGATTTTTCGCGGTCGCGGATATGAGATGATGCAAAAATTGATAAAAACAATCCTTGATGCGGATTATATATCATGCTAAAATTTCAGCTCGATCGATGCAGAACTTTTTGACTTTTTGAAGCGTACACAAACCAACATAATTTTTTTATAAATATAGATTTCACAAAAATACTCCCATGTATCATTGATTCAGCTATAGAATATGATTATTTAACACTTCCTAATTTATTTATTTTTATTAAATGTAACGAAATGTTACCGGTTACTATTTTAAAACAATAAATTAAAGTCTTATATTTTTTATATTAGTAAATTAAATTTGTTGTTTACAATATTTGAACTGTATTATGAATTCAGCGGTGACTCAGAAAACGGCGACGTGGACTTAGAACGCGCACACGCAGATCCATTCATCCGTTCCATGGCGTTGTGGGAACTAAAGCGACATGGGGAGGCGTTAGACACACTTTTGAGTCCAGCCGGACGGTTACACGCCGCCACAGATAATAACGACCCACAACCGAGCGTGTTCAACTTTTACGTATACTTACGTACACATCCCAGATTGAAGCGGCATAATATGCCAAGTCAGGTGCGTACTAAATACTATCAATAATTAGAAAACTACAGTTTAAAAAATCTGTTTCCCGACTTAAGTTCGGTGGAGATTGTGGGAGGGATTGTTCAAATCAACATCACGTTCTATCTCTAATCGTTTAAAACAGAATCTTACAACTAACATACAATTAGGACTTACAAAAAAATGCAACTTAGTTGTTAATGGGTTCTTAAAACTAGGTGACACATTTGTTACCTATAACGAGTATAAGTGATGTTGACCTATTGTACACTCCGGAAACCAGAATATTATATTATTATATATGATGTATGAAAATCTAAAGGGCTCATTCATTATAGGTCGGTTATCGAAAGCTGGCGCGTTCACAGTACTCACACTAATGCAATTTCACTATACAGTATGTTTAAAAATATTACTTTATTGCCAAGCTATATATTTTAGTCTACTCTGGTTTTAGCAACATAAACAGTAGCAAAAGCAAAACAATAACTGTCTCTTTTATACTCATAAGCTTGACCGAGCGCGAGAGAGACGGACAGTCTTTTCATGATGCATATTCAGTTTGACATAACGCCTCGCGCTTATTCACAGACACTACACAAGCACAAAGTGTAAATGTGTTGAAGCCGCCAGCTTTAGATAACATACCAATACTACCAAAACGAACAATTAAGAATTTATTGGATACAAGTGTAAGATGATTGTTAAAATTTGGTATGCACTTTTAAATTATTAACTAAATTATATCTGTACCTTCACATTACATAACTCACGACTAGTTTTGTTATTTGCCTAGTAGGTGCCTTTTGTGCCTGACAAACGCCTTAGCCATTTTTGGTTCTCGTTACGATATTTCCCATCACCGATCGAGCAAGTGTAAATTACGTACGTAAAAACCTTGAAAAGTCTATTGGTGTACGTGATCTGAACGCACGACCTCGATGGTCGAAGGGTCCCCCTGATATCAGTGTTAGCGTTGAATATATTGCCGAACTCATGCATGTGCAGAATGCATCATGCAGTGTCCAGTTTATGTACCATTTATTACTATACAATAATAATTGTTTCAAGTTTTTTAGGAATAAAAACAAACTCAGACTGTTCTTTCTAGAAGTCTTATTTGAATAAGCATAAAGTATTATTAATTTTAGGGTGCGACACTGGCTTTACTAAACCAAGAGTCAGATGAAGGCATCACTCGTCTGGAACGCCGTTTGTACTTCCAAACGGCCCATGGGCACTTCAAGGCAGGATGCCCTGCGCTAGCTTTAGAAGTTCTTTCGAAGCTACCATCACGAATAAGAGATGATAAACCGAAAGCAGCTGTGCCTGTAGTTGATCATGCTGTTATTCATACAGGACAGTTGAGCGAAGATAATTCTAAGAGTATGTTTTTTAAAGATATTTTTTAACTTTAAAAAGTTTTTGATGTCAATCTATGTATCTGTGGTTTTTCAATAGCACCTCGACTTTAACTGTTCTTTGATTTTATACAAATAGTATTTGTTCGACTATAGAGAATTTTAAATTGTTATATTATTATTAATTAATAGACTCTTTCGGAGTTTTAGTATTTTTGAGTTCGTTCTTATAAAATAATTGTTATAATAAGATTATATCTAAGATTTGGACGACTTAATATATATATTTTTATAAATTTAAGATTTCGACTAATTCTGTATTTGTAGTGCGTATATGATTATTTCATACACGTTACATGTCTGCTGTAAAACAAACATTACATGCCTGATTATAGAAGAAGAGACTACCGTGGACTGGGGTGCATCATCTGTAGATTGGAGTGCTCCAGTCACTTCACCCAAGACTGATGAGCTTGAGTTAGATTGGGGAGCTCCCGTTACTTCTACGAAGGATGAAGAACTAGTCCTTAGTTGGGATAATGATGACAATAAGTAAGAGCTTGCATCTGCTTGTAATGTCCATTTATACTCAGATTTTTAATTCCGTACAATTCTGTCAGCTATTATTTTTTGACATGTCAGAGATGACAAACCTTTTTGGCCGGGCAGATTTTTCAATTTCAATATGAGTCTGAACAGAGACTAAATATACATTTATTTGTTAGTAAATACGTATATCCATTTTATTAAGTGCGGTGCTCCACTTCAAAAGTGGTTTTAGAGATATTCATAATTACGTCCCTTTTCATCACAAACCGTTAAAAACACACAGGTTAAAATAACATTTTTTTTTTTTAAAAGGTTTACTAAACCTGGAATTAGTAGGTAGTGATGCCAGCTAAAGAATAAAATAAATTTATTTTAATTAAAGTTAATTCGATATATTGTTCGTGATATTGAAAAATTTGTTATTTGTAAATATTTAGATTTACCTTTTTGCATAAAAATACGTAGCACTTGATTATTTATTGCCATCTTATGGGTCAAATTTGTTTTAGTCCCTTTCGGTGGAGCACTTTTTTAGTAGTAACGTTTATGAAATGTCAGAATTCTACGAAATGAAGAGTCAAAGTATAATTTAAAAGTTACGTTGATTTCAGAAGATTTTGTAGATAAATGTGTATTGTATTTCTAAAAGATTTGATAAGTTTTTTTTTAATTTTATGTAACCTTTTTATTAAAATAATTCTTACATGATTCAGCTTCATACAATTTGTTTAGTTAGTGACAGATAAATAATATTTATTGTTTCCTAAGAAAGAATTTCAAACAACGTCAAAACATATTAGGCCAGTCATTATAGACATTCGAAATCGAAAATTTGATAATAATTCCAAAAGTTTTCAAACTTCGGTCAAGTGAATGGTACATTGGGACGACAATAAATCTCATTTTGCAACCTTGTCCGCAGTCCGGAACATTGTTAAAATTGCAATTAAATTAATTTTATGTCTGTATGGTCGTGAAAAAAAATCCAAAAGTTCTGCAAACTTGGGGAAGTTTTCGATATAATATTTCATATCACGTATAAAATTTGCAACCAACCTAAGTGTACGGAACATTTTTTGTTATTTATTTTATTTTCGATATATCTGTCAAATTTGCAGAACTTTTGGAACGTTTTCCTTCAGTTTAATAAAGAACAACATTAATTAAATAATGTTCCGTACACTTAAATTGGTTGCAAATTTGACACGTGATGTAAAATAATATATTTAACACCACTCCAACTTTGCAGAACTTTTGGAATTTTGGTCTCAAGAACTAAGCAAATTATCATTTATTGCATTTTTAACAATGTTCCGGACCGCAGAGCAGGTTGCAAAATTTTATAGTTTGTTTTAATACCACTCCCGACCTTACATCAAAATTTGAAAACTTTTGGAATTATTATGAATTAATTGTCTTGACTGACTGGTCTATATTTGCTACATTGTACTTGAGTGTCAATAACAAATAACATTCATTAATATTTCCAGATCTGAAGCATCCGGAACATCGACTCCGCCTCTAGAGATGAAGTTTGGTAAAACAGAAGAAGAACCTACTAATGAAACACCCGAGAAAGAGAAAGATGAACCGCCTGCGGTGGATATTATGGCACAGCAGTTGAAATTCGTAGCTTGTCTCAAAATACTTATGGAAGAACTTAGCACGCTCGCTACTGGATTTGAAGTGGATGGTATGTATTCTAAGGGTGGAATCAGAAACAAGACTAAGTTTACTAAAAGCGTCTACACACGGCCCTAAAATCAGAGGCAATATCGGGGAAGTGGTAGTGTTGTGATCGCTCTCTAGATCGCCTCATGTGTAGGCAAATAGACCCTAATTTTATTATCAACCCTACTGCTACTGCCGATTCGAACTACCACTCGATTTCATCCCCACCACCATTGTCCCGATAGCACCACTTCGCTTCGCTTTTAGCGAATATTGTCTCCCGTTTGTCAAATTCGAATAAATTATTGACGTGCGGCAAATGGCAATTAACTTGCTATGCTTCGTTTCTGAATTTTACCCTTAGAATTTTTTTTAGTAATGATAAACCAAAGTGCTTTGAAGTGATAAAACAAATGTCAAAATTTATACAACCTTGGGACCGATTGACGGATCGGACAGATCGTCAATAAAACTCAAAAACTGTCAAGACATTTTTTCTGTATTAGTTTGACAGATTTGCAGCGCTCATGAGAGTTTATGATCAGTTGTGTAGTATTATTTGTTAAAATATGATTGAATGTATGTCTGAATGGATATCTGAGACAGTTATTGAATTTATTATCAGAGAGCATTTTTTATTGGAGTATGTATATTTTTAAAAACACAAGATTAATTTAAATGACTTACAACCGAAATCCTTACTCTGAATCTTAATTATTTCTGAAGAAAGATAGGATAACAAGAAGTTCAGAATAATCTAATAATTTCATTAGATTCAATACCATTTTTACAGAAACCATAACAAATTATTTTTAGAAGAATTTTTTTATTCTCGACATCAAGACCCAATAGCTTGCTAGACCATCTAATGAGTACGACTGTGACCTTATAGGTGGTCATCTCCGCTACCAACTATACATTTGGCTGGAGCGTGAAGTTGAAGCGCTTCGTCGCCTTTGCGGATACGTGGCCACGCCCCCAGCGGGTGAACTTCTGTGCGCAGACGCAGAACAAGCTCCTTTACCGGATAAACCAACATTACACCAGCTATTGGTTCGGGAGAAAGCAGACTTTGAAGCTAAAGTACAAAGAGCAGTTCGACGGAAGAAGTGGCTCAAAGGTAACGAACGAAAATAATTACTTACCCTGCGTCAAAGTTGGCAAATATTATTGAAACATTGGTCACATTATAAAACGCGAATTATTTTTTAATATATTTATATTTTTTAAATAACGACAATTATATCGAATTGTTTTTTGTTTTTTTTTGAGAAAATCTTACAAATTATTCTTTTATAAATAAGCCCTAATTGTCGATCGAAAATCAAACCCGTATGCATTCTTTAATTAAAATATTTTAATCGCACAGCGCTATAAAGTTTCTTTCAAAAACCAATGTCCAGTATTCAATATATTACAGGCGCGCTAATTTAAATTAAAATAAAATATTCTTTTGTTAATCCTTTAATTACGTATGGTATTTTTAGCCAACGAAACACTCCTACGCACGCTCCTTTCATACTGTTCCCTCCACGGCGCGGGTGGCGGTGGCTTGGCCTCTGTTCGTATGGAGTTAGTTCTATTACTTCAAGAATTGGGACAGGACAAGCAACACCAACAATTGCTGTCACCGTTGCCATTCCCGACAACATTGCCTTTGCTGGCTGCTGCCGTTGCTGCGAATAACACGGTCGTTGCGGATCCTGTTAGGCATTTGCAGGTAAGCTTTTGGAGGGTTTGTACCGTCTTTCGAACTTACTCTACGTCCAATGTATACGAAAAATCACCTTTAATTGTTTATAATATTATATTATCTACAACATAAAGCGTACTTAAAGGTCGGCAACACAACTGCTAGCTTTCGGGCGTTTTAGGTGTCCATCGGCGTCGGTTAGAACTTTTATTTTTTTATTTAATTTAAACACGAAGTAACCCAAATTTAAACCCAATCATGTTTTGTGATTTTTAAATATTTTTTTAAATTTAATTTATCATGGACAAGAACCTTTAACCTTTTCATCTATAGCGTAACCACAATTTGACAGAAACGAGATGAACGAGTACTTTCGCTAAATGCAGACTTTTTATTAATAAGTTTGCAAACGTTATTTATGAAATAATAAACACCTGTTCAGGCGGTAGCTCACGACATGTTGGGCACGATCGGAGAGTTGGGTGTACCAGGAGGGTCAGCGACGCGAATACTTCACACTTTAAGAGAATTGGCCGTAGCTCTCTCTGCCTGCATATATCAGAGTTTGTGCGATTCTGACACATTTAGCTTGAAGCATCCACAGCATCATGAGGGGTGAGTAAACTTTGTTTGCGTACACCTTATCAGACAGTGGACTGTGAAATTTGTATTTAAATTTATATGTAACAAATGTCGGGAGTATCTGTATAGTATATGTCGTGTATGTATTAGCAAGCTGCACTAAATATAAGAGGCTGACACCTAAGAACCTAAAAACTCTACGGATCCCTAAGCCCTAGATGTACCCCAAGGTATAAATAGTGATTATATAAATAAGTACGGGATATCTGACGGAGCCCTACGGGTAGGATTAGAGGTTCAAGTTGGTGTGATTTTATCAAACCTATCGGGCAGACTCACCACGATAATTAAGAGCTTGAAGGAGGCTTCGTCATTTTGAGAGGAAGCGAGAAATGAGTAAAACACAGCCATATTCAAATTTCAAATACTGTTTTAAAACAACATCTTAAATACTACTACTCATATTCACACATACTCACGTGAGCTACTAGTTTACCTGTTATTAAAATTTGGACCAATCACGTGAGCCGTGTCAGTTGGCACAAGTTCACGTGAAATCTGAACAACCTGTGTAAAGAGTTTAAATTGAATTCTTCAAGCAACATTTTTATTGCTATAAATTATTGCTAAAATTATTTAACAAATGCTTTTCTGTCAAGTTCATGAATAAATTAAATGAATATGAAACCTGATTTTTTTCAAGTATTTCCCTTGTTCTTCGTGAATATAAATATTTTTAATCATTCACAGAATTATTGCTGAAACACCGGGAACTGCGAATCTCCTTGTGAGATCAAGACGCTACTCGACTGAAGAGTTAGCTGTCACTACTCCGTCCAATAAGTGGCCTGGTAATCATTTTCATACGATTTCAATAAAATAAAATATATTTTTACGCAATTACTTCAGTTAATTGAAGATTATCGTTGGATTATGTTTTAATTCATTTTATCCATGATTGCACTGTAATTGAAAGAGATAGAATGCGGGCGAATCGACTCGTTACTTCTATTAATGTGAGACAATATAACAAGACCTACATACTTTGAAAACTTAATCTATTTATTTATTAAACTTTACCACATCATACATGGTACTAAATCTACGGTATGTTACAATGTCATTTATATAAATGCTCCGGATTATTACTATTTAATCTGTTAAAGTCGCGAAGAATCCGAAAGAGTGGTGCCTGAACTCCTAGGTTGGTTTTTGCAAAAGGAATTTGGAAAATTTAGCTGACTTTAGACCTAGGGCATGAGTAAGGGACGACAATTTTAATATCCTGTAAGGGGTCGCTGTATTTGATTATTTAGCAATTTATACGACAACGTAACACCGGCTAAAGATCTTCGATTGTACAGTGATATCATATTAAATTTCTTAAGTCGCTGATGGTACGGTGCCTATGTGAAAATCCTCTACTAATGAAAGCTAGGTGTCGAGTAAAAGATATTTGAATGCTTTCAACGCGTATTATCAGAATTTCAATCTCCAGCTCCCGCTTTGTTGAATTTTAATTTTCTTGGCATTAGTGTGTGGTACACTCTCTCTCTTCCCCTTTTTTCTCAGGGCCCCAGGAATGCGTTTTTATAACTGTGTTAGTTTGTTTATATCGTCTTTTTTATTTATAGTAGAACTATTTTGCAGCTCTTAAAAAGTGTTAATTACATACTGTACGTGTAACGTGGCGGCATGATTAGTTTTTTTTACACGCTTTATATTAGCTTCACCTGTATGTATGTATGTATGTAACCGACTCCTTCGGACTCGATTTAGACCCACTTTAAACGGACAGATTTAATTCAAATTTTGCGCACCTGTCAAAGATCGATGACAATGCAATAATCCGAAAAAAAAATTAAAAAAAAATAAACTAAAAAATAAAAAATAAATAATAGTTAAAAAAAACTAAAAAACACGCTTTGGCAGCTAAGGCCCGTATCGGCCCGGCGGTTGCTCGACAGGCACAGAGCGCCCCACGCTTTTTCACAATAATACCAGTATTTTTTGTTCATTACCATTTTCAGCCTAAATGAGGAATTATTTTTCACTTTTTAGTTTGATGTGCTTTAAAAGCGTGTTTTATAGTTTTTTTTTAAACTATTATTTATTTACATAACGAGGCAAACGGGCCTGATGTTAAGTGATACCGCCGCTCAAAGACACAATTCCAGATTGCTCGCCAGTGCGTTGTCGGCAAAAATTAATATGTGTAGTTTATTTAAATTTAATCTACTAAGGGAAATCTTATAGGTGTATCAGCCCTCCGTGGACTGGCATTACGGGCTGCGGAAGAGGAAGACGCGCCACGCCTTCCTGTGTTACTCGCAGAGGCTTTCTGCGCTGTATACCTTGCTTTATTGGGTTGGGCCTTAGCTGCCAGAGATGCCCATCTCTTATATAGATTATCTGCACTTAATATGGAGACGAAAATACACTCAAGGCTATTTGGTGGTGGTGTAAGAAGACTGCTTACGACTGCACCAGCACCGCCACAAGTGAGTTGTTTATTCCTAGACGATTAAATTTATTTATTGCTTTGATTTAGTTTATACTAGTTTATATATATTCTTTATGGTTAAATAAAAAAATCAGAGGCGCTACAACCTCTTTAGGTCTTGGCCTCAGATTTCTGAATCTGTTTCATGATCATATTTAAATCTAATAGGCAAGTAGGGGATCAGCCTCCAGTGCCTAACACACGCCGTCGACTTTTTGGGTCTAAGACGTCGGTTTCCTCACGATGTTTTCCTTCACCGTTCGAGCGATTGTTAAATGCGCACATAGAAAGAAAGTCCATTGGTTCACAGCCGGAGATCGAACCTACGACCTCAGGTATGAGAGTCGCACGCTGAAGTCACTAGGCCAATACTGCTTTCTATTTACATTATCGTACTTTATTTTCAACTTCAAAAAGACACAACTAAACATTTAAGATTAATTTATGAATGGGATAGTAAAGATCTGGCAAAGACGCACATAGATTTGCGTTTCTTAAAGACTGTATATTTTAAATAACACTTATAATTTTCCTCTAAAAACTATTATATATTTACAGCCAAAGATAATAGAACGAACAGAAGGTACGTCTGTCTGGTCGTCACTTCGGGAGAAACGGGCGTTATTGCATATGCGCCTTCTAGGGTTGGGACCTACCGCGCCCCACACTAATATACAAGAAGGCAGGCCCACGTACAGAGAACAGTTTGTGTCACCACAATGCAGTATTCTCACCTATTTACTTACGAAGGTAAATATTAGTAACCAAGTACACTTATCGTCAACGGAAAAGATGGTAAATTGATTCTAAATTTACATTTACTACCAAGTTCGCCACTCTCCGCCATTCATTTTAATCGCTAAGTTTTGGGTCATACAAATTGTTTGTAAGGCATAGCAGCCATTAGATTCTGTAAGATTCGGAATTCGTCAAAAATTTATTAGATTTTGTCATACATTTGGGCTAAGGCTTGTTAATGAATATCACTTAGTTAGCCTGAGCATCAAAGAGCTACCTAATGTTATGTCTTTATTAAGCTTGTGTTACTTTTCAAATAAATAGACGTCAATAAAATTTACTGTGAGCTTTGTTAATAAGACTGATAATTTTTCATTGTTTCCTGTAAAAAAATGTGGTTTTTCATGATATAAGCGATGGTATGCAGATGTCCAAATCATTTGCATAATAGAATTTTAAGGAATATGTACCTTAAACATAACTTAACATAAACTGAACCTTTTTACTGACTTCAGTAAGTCTCGACTGTCGAATTTGCCTATGAACTCATTTCAGCTAGCGTAGCGTTTAAGAATTCATATATATTTTTTTAATTTTGCAGCCGTCACCCGAACAAGATCCAGATAACAATGACTATGATTCAGCAGAATCAGGAGTAGAAGATGAGCATGAGAGTGAGAGTGAAGCAGAAGACGACATCTTTGATACTACCGCCCCTAAGTAAGTTTTTTAACGTTACAGGTTTTTGGGAAAGCAAAAAACCTAATTCCTTTTGATTCTGATCTGTATAAACAAACGACCTTAACAATTTAAAGTAAAAGACTTGGTTCTTATAAATCAAAGTGCATTTAAGAAACATTTAACCCCCACGGGGAAAGGTTTCTTATTTACATAACTTTAACTTAACAAAAATTCAATTGCTCTGAAAATTATAACGTGCCCCTATCATCTGTTTGAATATCTCATTGAATACTATGAAAAAATCTAAAATTCATTATACAAATTAGTAAACAAAGATGGAATCAATTATTTTCAATCATTGCTTTTTCAATAGGTCAACGAAATCTCGAAGCAACATCGAACATTCAGACCCAGAATCGTACTCTTGGTACGTGATGCGTGTCGGTGTGTTAAGACTCGCGCAAAGCAAACTACAAAGTTTCCTACAGCTGTGTGGCATCGAGATGTCTGGTAATGTATTTCTTTAACTCATAACATGTATGACATTTACATTTTACAGGCATATTGAATAATGACCGCGACCTTTGCGAACGTAACCTTGGAGTAACTAGCTCACGATCTTTCTCAAGGCAATATATACTGGGGAAATCCAAAAAGCCTAATGATTACAAAATCGGGGGATACAATTTGACGTTATACTTTCGAATCTACCCTCTATACAAAAAATTATAGCTAAAGGATCAAACAATTACAATAAGCTAGAACCGGGACACCACGCGCGCGGTGTAGGGCCGCCATTTTGAGTTTATTGAAGTGAAACTGCTTTATAGAGGTTGGAAAAAAATTTAGTGTAACATTTTTTCGTTACGCGTCACATTTTTTGGTTACGCGCCATGTTGCTTTTTGAAGTCAAACTACTTTATCGGCGTTGGAATAAAACTTCTTTATCGACGTATGGGAGAAATTTTGTAGCAAATCGTCACGTTGTTTTTCAATGATAGTAATAATTCTATTACAATTAATGAAATACTATAATAATTAATCTTCGTAGTAATAAGGTAAAATGAAATATTTGTATTCATGTCTATGATAATAAAAGCCTTTTGTTAAACTTTATCTAATTTAACGAATTTCTGTAAAGTTGCATATAGTAGATCATTTTTCGAAAAATAAGATCATAAAGAAGTTTCACTTCTTACGTGTGTACACCTAGTACACGCACAATTTATTTTTCTGCGTACCGAGATTTGCAATTAGTATAACTTTCAACTCGGAGAAGTAACGATGTTCGTAAGTTTTAATAATAATAATAATTTATTTGCAAGAATATGGTCCAAAAATTGTATGGTGGTACAATCGAAAGTTCGCATATTCTGCCACACATAATGGCGTGTAAATTTGTCTTAAAAGGAAAATTTACATAGAAGTTATATACATTATGAGTTATATCATTTAGCCAATTCATAAATTATTTGTAGTGATAAAATATCACATTATTAAAAGATAAAGTTAGTCATCAGCTGACGTCAAAATTTTACCGTTACGTATTCTATTCACGTATAACACGGCCGTGTCCATGACATAGCCCAACCCTATTTTTACTACATTATTTATTAAATGTTGCCTGTACTTAATGGAAGATATAGATTAACAGGCTAAAATGATATGCCTGGGCAATAAATTTCTCTTTGCTCTTTTACAATCGAAATATTTTTAAGCTAACAACTTACGTTACTAACACGCTATGAACATTCACTTATAGAATTAGCGACAACCAGTCCCACAGTCCATGCCGCTTTACGCCGCGTGGAGCAATGGCAGCAACAATTGACTGAAACTTTGGAGACCCGTCCGTCCCCAATCGATTATATCCCGGGTTGCTTCCCCGATAGAACAACCAGCGGACCACCTATAAACAAATACAGGTAACTGTTGGCCGAATAAAATTATGTTATTCCATTCGTCTATTTTTAATTTAGAGAGCCGGCAGTTGAAAAGTACTTTGGAAATATTATTAAAACCCCACAAATAAACACTATTCCCGAGTAAGACTCAAAAGACGTTTAGATTTTTTAATATACTAGAAATAAATAAACGTAAAGCTTAGGTTTCCTAGAAAAGCGGTGCCGTTATTTAACGGCCGTAATGTAACGTTGAGTGACGTCACCCATACGTTGTCTATAAATAACATCGGAGTAGGTTTTCTAGAGAACGTTGAGTGTCACCGTAACGTCAAATAGCGGTGCTGTCATTTGCATGACGGCCGTCATAGCGGTGATAAAAATTAGTTCAACGTTTTTCGTGTGTAGCGGTGCTCATATTTAATTAATACAATAAGTGGAAACGTGACTTGGACGAGCGAAAATGATTGTTTTTTTGCATTATGTTATAAACGAGCGAATTAAAGACGGCCGTTATTAATAACCGTAAAATGACGGCCGTTAGTTATCGGCGCCGCTTTTCTAGGAAACCTAAGCTTAAGGAAACTTTGTTATATTTCAGATGTCTCCTGGAAAAGCACAATACGCCCTTCAACTCGTCCATCTACAGTTCGGCGTCCGCACGTCGACTGTGGAGCTATCTCGTTAGACAGGAACAAATTCAGGTATACAATTATATAAATTAGCTTTTCAAATTGTTATTTGTTTATCCTCCTCTCCTCTTCCTCCATTTTTAGTTAAATTGACCATGTTATGCATAATTTTTAAAAATCTTTTATATCATTTGTAGAAAAAAAAAAAATATTTGTGTTAAATGGAATGTGTCAGCATATAAAAAAGATTGAATTATTGTTGAATTTGATACCAAAAACTGTATAGTGAAGCAAATTTAAAAGTAAAAACCAATAAATAGTTGAGCTTTTTGGTAAGCGTCGTAAGGTTTTTTTTAAATTGTAATATTTGAATAAAACTTCTTTAACGAGTTTATTATCGAAGAATAAAAATTTCGTAAGACAGCGTGTTATATTATACACACAATTAATACCATATACGTAAATACATGTGTTGAAAAATTTTCAGGATGTATTCATCCGTGCTGTGTTCTCGCGTAGACGCACTCAATCGATGTCTGGCGAGACAGCGCCCTCTACAGACAGGCCTGTGACGAAACAGGATGATGATCTTCACAGTCCAGTGCGAATCATTCATAAGGAACAGGACTCCATAGCTGCGTTTTGTCTTAATAAGGTGAGTGGAATGAAAAGACATCATACATCAAAGGAACTGTATTGCCTGTAACAATACATGCAATAGGTTCACCTTATTTAACTCGCGTTTCGAGGAGTGAGTGAGATTCCCAAAGCCCCTCCCCCTAAGAAATATTAAGGTGCAGAAGAAACAGAGACTACCCCAGGAAGGTTGTGGTACCTCTCGGTGGACAAATCCCTTTTGGGCGTGGCCCCACTGGCTGCCCTTCGTATTCTGGAGGGGCTGACAATGCACTTGCGAGCATCACTTAATATCCTCCGGAGGTGAGTCTCCTGCCTGTTTGCCCCCCGTTATATATAAAAAAACATATAGTCTAACTCTATATAGCGACGCTGAAATGAGTATTTTAAATTATTATTACTTATAGTTTCGACGTTTTAGACATTACACTGTACTTATTATGGTAAGAATTAATCGATTCTCAAGTTTACATTTTTGTATTTTTAATCTTTACTTAATTACATTTATGCTTAGATTGAAAAATGTTAAATAAAACGCATTAAGCATTTATTAGATTATTTTACACTCAAATTTAACTTGTTAACATCAGATAATTTGAACTATTTCTATAAAGATACATATTCTTATCGACAAGTTGTGTTTATGTATCCCAAAAATTATTTGTTGTTTATCAGGCGGTATTTTGGACCATACCTTATCGTTCACCGATTGTTATAGCTATGCATTATTTACACAGGTGGGAGGTGGTCTTCTGGCAGTAGCAACAGCACGCGAAGTGCAAGAGATGGACGTGTCACTCTTATTACGCGGAGGTGCTTGTTGGGCTGAAGATGAATGCGAAGTAGATCTACTCGCGTTGGCCTCTGACCCTGCAGCTCTACCCGATACCGGCTTCCTGCTGATACAGCATCATGACAAGTCAGTCTTAATCGTTTTATAATTGTGGAATTTCGATTTTGAATGAATGTTTGTGTTATTTTGAATAATTAACAGCGATTCGGCTTGCTTTAGTTTTTATTGGCAGTTTTAATATTTTAAGGGGTCATAATGGAACTATTAGTGTAATGAAAGTTACTCCAGCTAACTTTTGAAAGTGTTGGTGTTAGATAAGGTTTTAGATCCAGGCTAAAAATATATGTCATTTTAATTATTAATAACTTTGACATAAGTAAAAGTTTCCCGTGTCAAGTATTTCATATATATATAAACTGTAAAAAAAATCTTACTAGGTCAATGCCACTGTTTTTTTTAAATTTAAAGCCAGTTTTCAATTACTCGGATTCCAATGAAGGGCTAACTTGACTTTCCGTTTAGGGGCAATGGTGGTTCTGTGCCTGGAACAGGAAATACTTCTCCATTGAATCCCAACGCACCACAAGCGCCTGTCGGAATGGCCGGACAGACCGGAAGGGGAGCTAGCGTGGTTAGTTTTTAAACGTATAATTATTGACATTCCCTTAATTGTAGCATAATATTCCTTGTCTGGTTTGGATTTCTTCCAATACAGTTCAAATATATATGTATACACTTATACACTGCGTTGGATTACTGACTTTAGCAAAACAACTGAAGTTCTTTGACAGCAAGTCTACTTTTACAGGATTTACGTATTTAATTTAATGCGGTGTTAACAGGTGAGAAACTAGTTGCTTATAATTTTTATTTCAGAAGTAATTAACACGAGCTTTTATAACTTATTGAGCGTTCAAGTATTGCGTCACGCAAGTTTTGGAGATTATTGACAAACCCCCCCATGTAACGCGCCGTAACGTTTTTCTGTACCCAAGTTTAGTAAAACTTTTCGTTACCACCTAGTGACTCTTTATACCTAAAAGTTACCATTATGTGGTGTAAAGTACTGGAAAGTCGAAAATAATATTTACAATAACGCGTAATTAAATCCCCGCCCCGTATCGTAACGTTTTACAAAAGGACCCCCCCAAATTCGTTACGCAATACTTGAACGCTCCCTTAGTTCCTTTATTCATTTATTTATCCACGATACTAATTTAATGGTATTAACTTTTAACATGACTAATAGTGTAAATAACAAAGGATAAGCGCTTGCTAACAAGTATGAACTCCACAGCACGAGCGACGGGCAAGCCTTATCGCCACAAAGCCAAGTGGGCATGAAGCGTACATTGTCACAGTACGTGAACGGTATATTAACTAACAACATTCAATTGTTGCTAATGGGATTGAGTGAATTAATGTACAAAGTATTATTCCCAAAAAATCTTGAACGATAGTACAATACTAATCTATACTCTGATTTTTCATTCCTCCCATTATGTTTTACCTACAAAAAGGTAAATCTAAATATTTACTTACTCAAGTGACCTAATACAAAAATAACAAATATTTCAATATCACGAATAATATATCTAATTAACTTTAATTACTTTATTTTATCCTTTAGCTAGCATCACTGCCTACTAATTCCAGGTTTAGTAACGCTTTAAAAAAAAATTTATCTTTACTTGTGCCTTTTTTACTGTTTGTGATGAAAAGGGACGTTATCATATCATATATTATCAATATGTATGTAATAATGTGGAGCACCGCACTAAATAAAGTAGATACATTCACTAACAAATAAAATGTATGTAGTTTAAACTCAGATGTTGACTCGTATTGAAATTGAAAAATGTGCCCGGCCAAAAATGTTTGTCATCTCTGACATGTCAAAAAATGATAGCTGCCAGAATTCTACGGAATTAAAAATCAGAGTATACCATAACTTTAAGGCGTGTTTTAAGAATTAAGTTTATTTCGCAATTGAATAAGTTAAAGTTAAGTAAGCATAGGTAATAATTATTTCACAATTTTTATTTATAAACGATTACAGTACTTATAAAGCCGTGACCGATTTATATCCATTAATTCACTCAATTATTATTCGCTGGGTTTATGGTTTGGTGTGGGCAAATTGTAACGTTTTGCGTGTCGCCTGCGCGCTTCGCTTATACGTAGTTGAACTTCAAATGAAGAGAAGTTCCAATATCCCAAATGGTAAAAAAATGAGGTGTGCGAACTGTTTCCGTTGAAAGTATCAAGTGTTGACCACAGGTGAAAGGATTGCAGTTCCCGGGTTGCCACGACGCGAAATACTGTCGTCTGGTGCTACATCGCTCCAAGCTTCTCATGAAACCGGTCAGTGACTACCGAATGTCCCCTTTTTCTTTAATGAAAACTCCCGTCTCCCGATTTCCCTTTGTCCATACAACCCCCCCGTCCCGCACTTGGCCAGATGCTTTCATTAGAAGTCGTCTTTTCTTTTTTCATCGTGATCATTTTTAAATTGATTTGACATTTTTGAAATTTTGGTTTCACCGTGTCGTTTGGTTTTAGCTCCAGATATTTCATTCAGTGTTCTTTTATTTTTCTCACGTCATTTTAGATATTGGAACTTTTTTATTTTGGCATTTGATTTCGTCTGCTGGCTGCACAGCAATTTGCTAACATTTGTTGTTTTATACGTGCTCGTATTAAGTTTTTATTGTGTATTTTATTTATACTAATGATTAAACATTATTGTAATCTATATTATTGCTATTACGTAAACACCTATAAATTTTATATGTGTTAATAAAATGAAGAGGTGTTGGCTGCTTTGTCAATTTCCCTTGTTCGTCACTTTAAACGTACATTTTTATTTAGGTGTTGAAGCATAAAATTGACAACATTAAGCGTATGGCAGCGCACCCTTCACAACCATTATGTAAGTAGTATTTATTTTATAGTAGTAGTAGTTTATTAATTTATATAAGAGGGGACCCGACAGACGTTGTCCTCCATGATATTTCAAGCTACTAGGATATTAAACAAAGTATAAAAGTACCAAATGCAGCGCCATCTGCCGGGCTGATTTGTGAATCTACAACTTCCAGGGCTCCACCCGAACGCATACAAAAAAATCATTCAAATCGGTCCAGCCGTTTAAGAGGAGTTCAGTGACATACACACGTACACTAGTACACGTATATACATATGTGTGTGTAAGCTATCTATCCTATCTTTTAAGTTAGATCAAACTGCACACGGTGTGCAAATTTGATTGAAATCGGCTAAGTAGTTTAGGGAGTCCGTAGCGGACAAACAACGTGACGCGTAATTTATGTTGCTTTAGTTGCTAGCTTAATATAGAGGGAGTAACTAATCATTAAAGATTAAATGAATTTATGAAAAAACAATCTTTTTATTCATGTAGGCTACGTACCTCTTAGAAAAAGAGTTATGCAGTTTGCCAAATTACGTACCTCTGCACTCGGCACTCTGATTAAATATTATCTATTTTAGACTTGACGGGAGGCGCAGACGGCTCAGTCCAACTATGGGAGTGGGGCCATCCCTATTGTGTATGGTCTCCACGCGCACCTGGCGCTTTTGCAAAAGTAACCCGGGTACGATTCTCGGACTACGGCAATAAGTTCGCGGCATCAGATGCGGATGGCAATCTCGCAATGTGGCAATTGCAGCCGTCCTCCAAAAATGGAACCAGCCAGCCGCAAACCCCACCAAGGCCATTCTTTGTAAGGAATCCGTTTTAAATATTAACATCTTTATTCGATATTAACGGTCTCACCGACCACAGGACTGCTTTAAAGCGCTCGAATATTAACTTTTCTAACAAACAAACAACATGTTTTGTTCAGTAATAAAATTTTATTTAACAGCACATAAGGCATTGAAATAAGCTCAGAATTCTTTATGTCTTTTGTATAAATGATAAATGTTTTATGTCCAGTGAGTTTAAAGCTAGTAATAGTACTCGTATCTGATGTAAACCATATTATGTTCCCACACCGGTTTTGGGGATGGATCTATCGTCTCAAATTTTATATATGTATATAAAATTGTATATCATAAAATAATGGTAGTCAGCGTCCAGAGATTTCTTGAGTAATGTTCTATAAAATAATTTACGAAAATAATTTAAAAAAATACCTCATTTTCAGACTCACCAGTGTCATAGCAAAGGAATTAGTGACTTTGTTTTCTTGGGTTCCTGTAGTTTAGTAGCCACAGGTGAGAAAAATTAATATGCCTTTAAGATATAAAATATAAAAATATATACAATTCCACCTTTATGATACGTTATTAAAAATATGAACTTTCTTTACAGCCGGTCACAGTTCGGAAAGTAAAAACGTGGCTATTTGGGATACTTTGATGCCGATTAAGAAGGCTTTAGTTGTTTGTGAGTATATTTTAAGATTATACTAAATAAAAATAATTCAAATCCTAATTCATTAATTTAGATGATGATATGTTGCCATGAAATTGACTTGTAACCGATTTTATTTTACAATAAAAAATTACACTATTTCGTAGTAACGATCTTGAATTTCAGTTCTTTATTTCTAAGACTTGTACAGACTCCCTGGAAAAAATATAATAGTTCCTTTAACACATTTCCTTTAAGTCATTCTCGTACACGTGATATTTTTAGCGTGGACGTGCCACGAAGGTGGTGCCTCGTGTGTCGCATGGGCAGGCGGCACTGGCGCATTGGTCTCATGCGGGCGTCGCGGCGACGTACTCGTTTGGGACTTACGTGCACGTGCACCAAGACACAAGTTGCACGCTCATCACGCGCCCATTAAGTGCGTGGCGCTCTCACCCAAAGAGGATTATTATGCTATTGGCGCCGCCGATGGGGACATAAAGGTACGCAAACTCTAGAAAATAAATTAGTTAAAACAATTTCTAGAAAATTTTGAACATGGTTTATACAGTGATATTTATTTGGCAATATTTTAAAGTAAGACTAAAACTTTATAAAATTAGCAAGAAACAATGAAATTTTATTTATTCGGTTTATTTATTAAATACATTAGCAGGAGGTCCTGATCTTTAATTAAAATAGATTTTCTTACGGCTGAAGATGTATTAAATTTTTTTTCGATCAAATTGTATTTTAAAATATCCAACTAAAAAATGTACAACATGTTAAGTAGTAAGGATATAAATTTCCTTCCAATCAATAACTGTAAAGATACAGGGCTCTGAACAAATCGCTGAAAATATAAATATCATTTATTCATACCGGAATCACAATGGGCACATATAAACGTCATTAAGAAAAAAATGTTCTTAGAAATTTACTTTTACTTCCACTTCTGAAAGGGCGTATATGGATGAGAAGAACTGGAAATAAATTCTTCATCACTCTTTAAATCGCCGAGGAGCACCCTCATCACATCTTAAAGCAAAATATTTAACAAAAACTAACATTTTCAGGTGTATTCGCTCGCGACGCATCAATTGTTGCATACGTTCGCGGGTGAACACGCAAGAAGTTCCTTCTTCAAACATATTGGACAAGGGGTCACACAAATACATATTGGTAAGGAATAATTTTTAACAGACTTAATTTTGCCTCATAGTAAACTTTAAACGGTAAGTCCGTTTAAAGTTTAATAAATGTCAATTTATTTCTTTATTATTGATATATATCAATTCCTCTACAGCAGTCGTGGTCAGCAAACCACAAGCACACAGTTACGGCGGAATTATTATACGAGTTTTTGGGACCATATTTCAAATGTTATATCAAATACAATACGCGTTAATTTTTTTTTACTGGTGGTATCAAAAATTTCGGTTCAAGCGGCGAACGATGTTTCAAAGGCATTGAAAGTGTATATTGATATTATTTTCAGATAATGGTGGCCGTTTGTTCTCGTGTGGCGCAGATGGAACAATGAAAGTGCGCAAGTTGCCGGAACGAGATGCGCCATTGCATCACGCGCACTACACTACTTAGTGAGGACATTAGTAAACCTTTTCTTCTTACATTGCGATGTTTTCGAATATGAGTTGAGACTTGGAATAATGTGTTGACGAAATGCTTGTATAATTCAAGGTTTAGTTCCAGCAGCCAAACATACCTCGTTTCCTTACCTGTATTCTTAAAACTTACTCAATTATTTATTTATATCGACACTTCTCGAATATATCACATTCTTCGCTAGATAGCCACAATATGAAATTATAAAATTATTGGCCTACCTATATGGGGGTAGAAATATTACATATTCAGCATGTTTCTTTGTTATAGTTATATTTTTATAATTTTCAGGTGAACGGTAGGAAAATAGAGGGTAGATAGGAAAAAGGAACGAGCTCGGCCGGAGTGATCGTGTTGTTGTTGTTCGTGTTACAAGTACCCTAGACTAGTCACCGAGTAGCCCATAATTTAGTCTTATATGAATCTTTAGTTCAATTGTATAATTTAACCTCTCCTAGACGAGGTCTATTTATCCCGTATGAATGTCGGCCTAAGGGAAACAGTCCTGTGTGCAATCCCTCGCTGTCTTATGATTCCGACTTAGTCGAGCCTTCTATGAGATGTTAGCTCGCATTTAATGTAATCTTGTTGACGCATAATAAATATTTTAATATTTCTAATTGTCGTCGTGGCTTAGTATGTGTATTTAAATAATTATTCTTATAATCTCTATCAAATATTGTTCAGTCTATCTCATTGGCATTCTACATTTAATAACCTTAGGTGTAAGTGTTGCTCCCCCTTTAATCTATTGAGTGTTGTTCAATGGTCCATTTTTCTCAGAGGTATATTTCGCGAGCAATAACAGAAGCCTCGGAAAACAGTATTAAGACATGTGTGGAGGCTGCGAAATATGTTTTTAAATTATATGTTGTGATGTGATAGTTGACGGTAATATAGCATTTTATTCCGATTAACTCGGATATTAATCAAACATATTTTGTCTGTCTTATTTCCATTTGCAGTTCTGTTACAATATTTCCAATGTTTAGCTAAAAGACAATTTCTTAGATATTGTTTTTATTTAATTGTATTTTAGGATAATTATTATTTAGTAACCAAAGTATATGCGTACGTAATATTCACATTGAAACAAGTTACCAAACGTTAGAAAGTATTTTTTTAAAACCGCACAATATTTTTTGTACACTCGCGTGTGCATGGCCGTGTTTTCTTTATTTGCAATGTGCTACACAAAGAAGTAAATATACAGATTAAAAATATAAATAACAATTCAAATCAATTCTTTTTACATATTATCAACAAATGGTGATCAAGTTTATTGTTACATATTATTTTATCTTGGTAAATCTTTTTTTATTTATTACCAATCTTGTTAATATTTTTACATACAAGGTTGTTGCATCACTTATTTAAATTATTATATTATGTGAAAGATAGTTCAATTTTATTATGAAGCCACACTATATCTGTGTTATTATTATTAAATTGTGAACATTGTATTTAAATGCTTATCAATTTGTTTTATTTATGAAAGGACGTTAAAATAAAGGTTAAATCAAAACAATGCGTTTTTTTCAAATAAAACTATTTTATATATAAGCAACTATTACTATAATTGTAAAATATAAAAAATAAAAGACCTCATGAAATAATTTAATATATTTGTACCAAGACAACAATAACAGATAAAACACGCGTTTAAGACTTCAAAGTAGAACTAAATTAATAAAATATATGTATATAAATGATGATACTGAACAATAATGTTTTACTTAAAAACACTTGTTCAAAGGGATTGAGTCCAAAGTAATCTGACAAAAATTATAATGCTTGTTAGTTCGTGGCTGTTAATTTACCTCTTGGATTTTCCAAAAACTTTGTTGCAGTTTTCGTTCCATTCGCAATATTAACAAATTTACAATATGGTATATTTTCAGCATCTACACTTTTTGGTTTCATTGGAGAAGCAACTATTACTTTAGTATTCAATTCAACTGTATTCTTAACTTCACATCCATCACACCATAAATAAAACTTCATACCATATAAACCAAACAAAATTTCAATTTCCTTGTAAAGCTTGTCTATGTTTAAATATTTGTTATCCTTGTCTTTAAGAAGAACACTACCGTAACTTGTTTCAGCACCAAGTCTTGGCGATATGTTTTGAAGAATGACATTTGCCCAAGGATTTGCTGGCATTTCCACATCTTTTCTCCAAGTGATAACCAATTGTAATTGAGAGCCTTTTAATTCTTGAGTTTCTTGGATTACAATGGGCTTAGATGGTGACAAATCTTCAATTGTTTTTAATGGTGCCTTCACAGTGGTTTCTATCAACTCTCGATGGCTTTTAATGATTCTCAATATATCACTATTTTTGTTAACTGAAAAATAAACATCTACTTCATCGGTAGGCACAAGATGAGCTTTCTTCCTTAATTTTTGGACTCTGTTAATTATTTCTCTTGCAAAGCCCTCATCAAGCATATCTTGATCTGGTGTTACATTAAGCAAAATTAATACATCATTATCACTATGGGCCTCATATTGTTCATTGCCCTTAGCTTGAAATATTATTCTTACTTCTGATACATCAATATGCTGACCAACAAGTTCAACATATCCATTTGCAATTAGCTTTTCACAATCTTCATTGTTGAGATCTTTTAATGCTTGAGTGACTGCTTTAAAATCTCCTTTCAATCGAGCACCCAGAATCTTGTGATCGGGTTCAGCCCTGAGTGTGATACCATACTTTTCTTTATCACTTGATAAAACAACTCTCTTTACATTCATTTCTTCCAAGACAAATTTTAATAAAGAGTTAATATCATCTAAGTATGTCTGATCTTGATGAATTATGACCATTTCTGGCAAAGGATACTTGATTGGAATAGTTTTTCTGTCCCTTACTACTCTGCCTAACTCTATAACAGCTTGCATTCTTTCCACAGCCCTTTCAATATCAGAATCTACTAAATCCAGTTTTGGTTCTGGTATCATGTTGAAATGTACACTTTCCAAGGAATCACCAGGCAGCAGCTGTCTTAGTGTCTTATACATGAATTCAGTCAGGAAAGGAGTGAATGGTGCCATTACACGGACCATGTCATATAAGACACCAAACAAAGTATCTAGGGCTACTTGGCAGTCTTTCACACCATTCTCACCCTTTAGTCTTTTTCTATTCATTCTTACATACCAGTTGGTCAAGTTGTCAATAAATTTGGTTAGTCTTGGTACAACAGTATATAAGTGATATGCAGCCATTTCTTTAGACACAAATTGGATAAGAGATTGTGTAAATGAAGTTATCCATTTATCCATGACGTTTACCCTTTCTGCTTTTTCATTGAATTTATATATTATTTTATCTTCCTGAATAATTCTTTCAACATTTTGCATCAAAAATCTAAATGCATTATACCAAGGTAGAAACACATCTTTGATAACATCTCTTACCCCATCCTCTTTGAATCTTAAGTTCTCTGCCTTGACTACGGGGGAATTAATAAGGTATAACCTTAATGCATCTGCACCATATTTTCTTACTACATCAAGAGGATCAGGATAATTCTTTTTACGCTTAGACATTTTCTGCCCATCAGAAGCGAGAATTAAGCCATTTGCAATCAAGTTTTTAAACGGTGGCTTATTGAATAATGCAGTAGACAGTACAATCAATGTATAAAACCACCCTCTTGTCTGATCAATTCCTTCAGCAATAAAATTAGCAGGGAAAACTTCTTCAAACTCCTTTTTATTTTCAAAGGGATAATGACACTGGGCATATGGCATAGAACCCGACTCAAACCAACAGTCAAAAACTTCTGAAACTCTCTTCAAAGGTGGTTGACCTGGACGAGAAGATGGAATTTCCAGGTGATCGATGCTCTCCCTATGTAGGTCTGTGATTTCTTTTCCTGTTAGTTCACTTAACTCAGCAATACTGCCAACACATATTACTTCCTGTTTATCACTCGAAATCCAGAGGGGAATCGGTGTACCCCAGTAACGGTTTCGGCTAATCGCCCAATCTCTAGCTTCTCTTAACCAGTTACCAAATCTTTTATCTTTTACAGATTCTGGAACCCAATATGTGGCTTCACTTGATTTCAAAAGGTCTTGACTCATTTGTTCAACTCTAACAAACCAAGAAGGTACTGCCTTGTATAGAAGAGGTGTTTCTGACCTCCAACAGAATGGATAGCTATGTTTCACTTGTCCTGAATGCACTAATCTATTACGAGCCTTCAAATTTGCAATTATATGTTTATCTGCATCTTTAACATATTGACCTATAAAATCTTTGACTGGGTCTATAAATCGCCCACTTGAATCTACAGGACAAATGATTTCTTGATCTCTAGTAATGATACCATTTGCTAAACAAACTCTAAAATCATCCTCACCAAAATATGGAGCTTGATGAACAATACCTGTTCCTGAATCATCAGTAACATACCCATCTGTTAACACTTGGTAGGCATTAGGGCACTTCCCAATAAAATAGTCAAATATAGGAGTATATTTTAGCCCTTTTAACTTTTCACCTGGGAATTCCTCAACTATTTCAAAATCATCAACATTTTTAAAGATAACTGGAAATCTACTTTCTTGCAACACATACAATGTTCCTGTAGCTTTTTCTTTTACTTTGAGGTAAGTTAATTTAGGATTGACACAAAGACTCAAGTTACTAGGAAGTGTCCAAGGTGTGGTAGTCCATGCTAATAAAGAAAATCCTTCAGCCGTAGGAAAAGTTATTACAACAGTGGGATCAACAACATCTTTGTAATTTTGTCCAGACTCAAAATTTGAGAGTGGAGTAGAACATGCTGTGGAGAATGGCATTACTTTCACACCTTGATAGACTAGACCCTTGTTATATAGCTCCTTAAAAACCCACCATACAGATTCCATAAATGATGGGTATAGAGTTTTGTAGTCATTTTTAAAATCTGAAACATTTTAATGGGTGTAAATTAAACAAATTTAAATAAAATTATAGCAGGGCTTCATAAGTTATTCAAATATAATTACACTATAAAAAATTTATCTTACCTATCCACCGACCCATTCTTGTTATGATCATTTCCCACTCAGTGGCATATTTCATGACGATTTTACGACACTCTGCATTGTACTTATCAATTCCCATTTTAGCTACATCTTCAGGTCCCTTTATTCCCAATGACTTATCAATTTCAAATTCTACTGGTAGGCCATGGCAATCCCATCCAAATCTTCTTTCAACATGGTAGCCCTACAACACATCCCAGAATTTTAGGTAAATAGTTTTGAAATTGCCCCTAAAAAATATTAAAGTCAGTTAACTCTACCTTTTGATGAGCATATCTTGTGACTACATCTTTGATGGTGCCTGCAAGAATATGTCCGTAGTGGGGAAGGCCTGTAGCAAAGGGTGGACCATCATAAAACGAGTACCTGTAATTTTAATTAAAATTTATAGTGAATATTATAGCTTTATATCTCATTGCAGTCAGACTCTTGCACCAATAGGTTACCTCTGTTTATTTTTTGATTGCTTCAAACATGTTTGAAAAGCATCTATGTCTTTCCAGAATTTCAATACGTTTTCCTCTTCCTTTGGAAAATCGATGTTCTCAGGAACTCTAATTATTTGACTTGGTAAAGACATGATGCAAGAGTAGTTTTCTCATGCCGGATCTTGCCACGCCAATGCCAAAAATCAACATGCAAATCACTTAACATTAAGCGCAAATGCTAATGTCAAAATTGGTTGTTTGTCAGCCATGACAATAAGTCAATGTCATTCCTAAATCGTAATCTATAGATTTTACTAAATTACAGTCACAGACCACAGTTACTAGTTATTTAAATAGTAATAGTTCTTTGATAATGGAAACGAAGAACATTGACCCTTCGTATTTTTTTAAACAGTTTGTAATTAGGGGCATGAGACAAATTTGCGTTCGTGAGTCACCTCTGTTGAAAAGTTATTGTCTCAAGCACCAGATGTACCTGATTAGTTTTCTTATTGTAGCCATTTGATAAAAAGAATTGTATTATAATGGTTTTATTAAATTTTGTAAAAACAAATAGCAATAGATAAAACATACCTATTATTATTTGCCCTTTTAAAGAAATGTTATTTAAGTAGTAATATTACAGCTTATTGTAGTAGGCATTTGTAACCAAATCAAAACCTTTTCAGACAACCAGTTTTCAATTGCATTTAGGTGAAATAGTTTTTGTATAAAGTAAGAAAACTTTGCTTGTTGAAAAGATACTTTAATTTTCATTTACATATTAATATTGAAGGCACTCTACCTAATAGACATTTATAATACCTTATTAAATTTTCAATTACACCTAATTTTAAGGTAGTATTAAATTATCTAATTCATTTTGTATCGATTCAATTTGAAGAAATATTGATTGAAGTTCGGGGTGTGTTAACTCAACCTCCAAGTCATTCCTGGCTCCATTTATTTTTAAGTAAGCTTTTGGCACTTTACATTTTTTATGATAAATAGAGCTTATTTCTGCATTTAATTTCCAAGAAAAATCAGGATCATCATCAAACTGGTCACCTTTATTAGTCAACTCAGTGAGAGTGTTATTTGTTTCTGCTGACCATATTTTTACAAATATATCTGCTTTCTCTCCTTTTAAACCAATATTTGTCAAATCAATTTTTAAATTACATGGCATAAATATATATTTGAAAATCTTTTTAAACATGTAAATAATAGTTTTTATTGCTAATAAAAGTTGATCTGTTTCAACTTTAAAGATTTTTTCTAACTTTTTTCTCTCATCTTCACTAAAAATATTATCTGTTTCTTGGGCTTTTAATTTCATAACAATTCGTTTAAGAAATTGTTCAAACCTTGTTTCTTCTAACGCATTTACGACTGTTAGACCATTGCTTAAACTGTAAAATAAAACACATTCAACAACTTGGAAAAAAGGTACAAAGAATTTAAAAGTGCACAGCAAAAGAGAATTTTAGATTAATCATTTTATTTATACCTTGGTGACACCTTGATCCAATTAGACTCCATAACCATAATGAGGTCCTAGTTATAGGATATTCATATATTAAATTGAAATCAAAATGTATGTGTACCACAATTCTTAGGTGTTAAAAGTAATTAGATACTTGATGAAACATGAAATAAATGTCAATTTTGGACATATCACTCATGATAATTCAAATGCTGTTAGTGTATAAAATCTATCTGGACTACAAAGCTAATGGTAATTATTAAAATTAGTGAAATAAAAATAGTTTTCAAGTTTAATTCCTATTCGCAGAAGTTAATAAGTTTAAGTGTCCTGTGTCTGTCAAATGTCACTGATATTTCAATAACGACAGTCAAAAGTATATGGAGCTAATACAAAGGTAGAATAAGGTAATATTTAAAACAGCACTCAATAAAAAATTCGTAGACTGATCTCTTCTATCTACTTCAAAGCATAGAATAAAATAGTCTAGTAAACGTCATACGTCATAGAGATTAGACGCCCTTAAGTTATTTATATTTTCTGTGCACCTCATTAACAAAGACAAACTAGTTACTAGTGCCTACTTTCGTATTGTACGTCAGAGATTTTGGCAGTCCGTGGGTGAACTATTTTCTTCATTGTTGACCTTTCCTAAATCTTAGGTGTAATTATTTCAACATTAGAAGTTATAACCAATACCTTTATTGTCTAGTGTATAATTAATTTTTATTTACGATGGATTCTGAGGACGACACAAAGGATGATGTTGATTCTGGTAACGAGTCCAGTGGAGACGATGTCGACTTTGTCATGGACGAGACTCACAGTACAAGAGAACGACAAACGGAACTTGAAGAATATCCATACGAAGTGCTTTCCACAGAGGAAATTGTTCAACACATGGTCGATTGCATCAAAGACGTTAATACAGTTGTCGAGGTCAGTATGTTAATGGTAAACAATGGTGGGATTCATCATCTGATAAGATTTTTTTTTTAAGTCCAGTCAGAAATATATTATTATGAACTAACTTGCTTTAATTTTTCTTTCCTTTGTTTATTTTTTAGAAAGATCTTTGTTTTAGATTCATTGTTTGAATGTTTTTTATGGGGTATAACTAAAACTAGATGAAAAAAATATTTACCTTAATGACTCATTCCACACAAAAGGAATTATTACATACATATATCTTTTGTCTTATAAACTGGAAATACCATACTAGTAATTGTGTACCTTATATAATTCATGAAAAGTGAAATTTCTAAGTTTAATATTTGACCTACTCAATAATAAACTTTCTCACTTAGGATTATTAAAGGGTGGAATACAGTTCAGTTTTGTGGTAATTACTATTTTGTGGTAATTACTATTTTGCTTGGTTGTCCCAAATAGTGTATTTGAAGATATTTTAACTTATTTTCAACTAAATTTATTAAACTTATTGTATATTTGAATACTTGTACTGTTACAAAACCTGTAAATTATCACAATTTTAAGATATGTATATTCTCGAAATATAAAAAAAATATATTGCAGATACCAGCAACAACAACTCGCATACTTCTGAATCACTTTAAATGGGACAAAGAAAAGTTGATGGAACGGTTTTACGATGGTGACCAGGATCAGCTGTTTGCAGAGGCTAGAGTTATAAATCCATTTAGAAAACCAGTCATACAGAGGCCAAAGGTGAATGAAAGTGGATTATTTATGGATGTAAGGCATTGCAGGGTTTCAAATTGTGTACTCATAGATATTTTAAATACTATATTTCAGTTTATTTGTGTAGTTGTTTGTTTCTTACTATGTCATAATATTAGCTATTCTATTAGAGGTGTATGTGTATAGATTAGCAAATAGTAATAATATGTATAATATATATAATTGTATGGATAACTTCTTTATTGATTCTACCTTATTGATTGATGATCGATATTTGAGTTTCAGTGAAAGTAATAAATTCTACAAAGGCATTCTTAAAATAAGTAATAAGGACCTTTTCCTTACATTTATTGATTATTTACCCTACTATTAACTTACTACTCTACTAGTGTAGAGATACAAATTATCATGTATTCAGAAATATAAGTAAATATGTCTGTTGTGTCCCTTATTGCACATTTTGAAAAATGTTATTGTTTAAAACATTGAGATGAGTCATAATTTTATTAACACTGTAAATTAGAAAATTTTAGTATGAAATAAATAATTTTCCTTAATTATCTCACATCAGCGGGATTTCACAATCCTATGTCATGTTTTACATAACAAAATATAGTGTTTTATAATTATTAACTTTATCAGCATGAGTCATATTGTACAATTTAGGTCAGGTCAAAATGTTGATTAATTTATGATGTGTTAATCTTACGTAATATTTATTTCAGCAACCTAGACGAATATCCAGTTCGGGAGCCGAAGAATGTGAAATTTGCTTTTCTATTTTACCCAATTCAGTATGTATATTTGAAAACTATTTAATATGTTTAGTTCTTTCATAACTATTTGCAATCTGTGACATCATTAAATATCAGTTGAGGATAAGAATGATCAGTTATTGTTGCTATGCCTAATACGTAACTAGGAAATCACAGATTCCTAAATTACACTCCAGGAGCTAGGGATATGTTATTATTAAAATTTTTGTCTATATCATCATCATCTAGCTGTACAGTTAGGAATAGAGAATGTTTCCAGTATAAAACTTTTATGTGTATTTTTTTATATACAAGAGTATAATTAAAAAATGCATTTTTTTTAAGATGATGACTGGGCTGGAATGTGGGCACCGATTTTGTACTCAGTGCTGGTGTGAATATCTAACAACTAAGATTATGGAAGAAGGTTTGGTAAGTATAGTATTTTCAGTCTATTCCATAATATTTGTTCATACAATATTTGTTGATTTGAATTCGATTCCTCGGGAAACTTTTCAAAATCTAACCGACTTTATTAAGTAGCTGATGTTTCTTCATGCTTGATTTCTTCGTAGGGTCAAACAATCGCGTGCGCAGCTCACGCGTGCGAAATTTTAGTGGACGACGCGACCGTTATGCGGCTGGTCCGTGACGCGCGCGTCAAGCTTAAGTACCAGCACATCATCACCAACAGCTTTGTTGAGGTAAGTTTTGTTTTGGAATTCCATGTTTTATGATAAATTAATACCGCAATACTCTAGAGTATCATACCTATTAAAAAAAATAAAACAAAACTAAAACTGCGGCGCTACTACCTTTTAGGTCGGGGCCTCAGATAAAAATGTTTCGTGATCAGTTTATTTTGTTATAGGCGAGTAGGTGGCACCTTCTGTGCCTGACACACGCCGTCGATTTTTTTGTAAGGCATACTGATATCACGACATTTTCCTTCACCATAGGAGCAAGTATTAAATGCGCACATAGACAGAAAATCTATTTGTATATAGCTGGGGTTCGAACCTACAACCTCAGAGATAAGAGTCGCACGCTGAAGTTGACCAACACATTAGGGCTCTATCATAAATATAATCCATTAGTTATAAACTGAATTGGTCTTATGTCTTGACTGAAGTCTTCTGTAACTAGTATTAGTTTAGTAGGAAATACTCTATTCTGTGTTGGAAAGAGAGGGCACTAATTACATAAACCCTTTCATTCAGACATTTTCATTTCCCTCTTACTTTCTTTCTGAGCTATTTGTCATTGTTGCTTTTATCTAAAAAACATAGTTTATAGTTATCATTACTGTTATGTTTTAAAGCCTGCCAGGCTTAACTATTCTTTGTGCAACTAAAGTTAAATAATTTAACCAAATGTTTATGTAAGGCGAGTAACAAAGGACTTAGGTGTGATTTGGGGAAATACATGTTTCGGTTTAAAAGTAGTGTGCCTTGCCTGTGGCACCTCCTAATAATATTTTAACGGAAATTCCCGTAATCTATTAATCTCTTATCATAAGACGCATTTATTTTAAATTTTTTTATTTAATTTCTGTAATGCTCGTTCCCATTACTCCTCCGAAACGGCTCGACCGATTCTTATGAATGGCAGTAAGTCTGAGAATCGGCTACTATCTTTCAAACCCCTAAGTGATAAGGGCTGTCCACCGCAAATTTTAATTTTTTACTTTTCCAAAAAAAATTTTTGGTTTTATTTTTTCATGATACAGCATACAAAACCCTTTTTTCTCCCCCCCCCCCCCCCCCCTTTTTTTTTTTTTTTTTTTTTTTTTTTCCCCCCCCTTCTTTTTTTGCCCGCTTTCCTTTTTTTTTTGTGGGGTTTTTTTTTTTTTTTTTTTTTTTCCCCGGGGGGGGGTTCCCTTTTTTTTTTTCCCCTTTTTTTTTTTTTTTTCCCCCCTTTTCTTCCCTCCCTTTTTTTTTTCCCCCCCCTTTTTTTTTTTTTACTCCCAGTGACTCTTTACCATTATGTGGTGTAAAGTACTGGAAATTCGGAAAAATACTAACAATAACGCCCACAAACGTAATTCAATCCCCGCCCGCATCGTAACGTTTTACAAAAGGACAAAATTCGTTACGTAATACTTGAACGCTCCCTAGCTTAAGCCGAATTGGGCCCATTTTTTATTAAAGTGATTGTGTTTGTATTTCTGTTACATATATATATGGGTGTGTACTCTAATCAAATAAACGCTTTTCTATATTAATTAATTGTTTTTAGTGTAACCGGCTTCTCCGCTGGTGTCCATCACCAGATTGCAGCAACGCAATCAAAGTGGCGTACGTGGAGGCAGCACCCGTCACGTGCCGTTGTGGACACATTTCTGCTTCGCGTGCGGAGAGAATTGGCACGACCCCGTACGATGCTGTCTGCTCAGGAAGTGGATTAAGGTATGTCTATTAATAATTATATGATAAAAAATTAGGCCATTTTTTCCGACTTCGAATATCTGTCAACATTAAACAATAACTAGCAAACCGATTTTGATGAAACTTGAAAGGTTCTCTAACTTAGAATCTGATTCAATTGAAAACCTTTGATATTAATTTATAGACTAATATATAAACATACATACTTCGAAATATAAAATTTCAACAAATCAAGGTGATAAAAGCCAAGCTTTATTTTGCTCGCTCAGGCTTTCTTAGTTTTATAAGCTTGGCGATTACCTAAATCATTGCATTGCAACATTGCATTCATTAGTTACATAGCAATTAACATTTAATCATTTCGCATATATTATATTGTTGTACGCGAGTGGTTCATATAGAGTAACAATAATAATAATTAAACCATTTATTCCAAAACTTGCTTATGTTTTACAATGTTGTTAGTACTACTTAGTTGCTTAAATTTAAAATGGTTACTTATAATTACCGTTAGTATTATTATTTATGTACAAGGTTTGGATCCCTTTGGTAAAGGCCTCCTCATCCTTTCCATGACTCCCTGTCTCTCCTATTTGTATCAGTCGTTTCCTGCGACGTGTGTTATATCATCAGCCACCGTCTTAATTGTCGACCAACATTTCTCTTCCCCATGGGTCCTTTCCATCGTGTGGTTTCAATGGTCATCTTCTGTCTCGGTATCGTGAGATGTGTCAGCCATCTCCATTTGAGTAAAGTCTGCCTGAGACATCAGTTAATTTGGTTTTTTGACGAATTTCTTCGCTCCTAATTTTGTGTATTTTCCTAATTTCAATACTCCTTTCCATGCTGTTTGGTTACTTTTAATTTTTTGTTTTATTTTATTTGTAAAGGTCCAAGTTTGGCAGCCATACACAACAAGGTAACAGGCATGTTCAATTTGTCCTTTTCATTGTGAGCTGTAATTGCCTTTTAAATTTCTTTTAGTGCCCAGAATTTCTTCAAGTTGTGTTGATTCTCCTTGTCACTTCTTCTTCGTTATTTGAAGTTTTGAAGGAAATTTGTTTGCCCAAGTATATGTATTGCCTGACGTATTCTATATTATTACCTTTTATCACTATCTGGCGCTCCCGATTGTTCGTTAGTATCTTCGTTTTATTTAATTCATTTCAAGGCGATTTTGGAACTTTCGCAGTCCAGTGATCTCATATTTCGTCTAAGTCTTTTGCAGTTCACATAAGAATATATCTGCAACTCAGATTGTTTAAGTATTGTCCGTTTATGTACACTCCGCTGTTCTTCAGTCTAGTTTTTGGAAGATAGTTTCAAGATCTAAAACATTGGGAAAGAGGATCACCTTGTCTAACTCCCGTTCTATGTTTATTTCGTCGCCTCTAGTTTCTAATTTAACTCTGCCGTGCTTTTTGTATAGATATATCAAAAATTGATGTATTTCTGTTGATATTTGAATATTGTAAAGCGTTCCAGATTGCACAGTGACTAATGCTATCAAAAGCTTTGCTATAGTCAATGAACGCCACAACAGAGGTCTATTGTGTTCTCTGTATTTTTCTATGACTTGCTCTAATGTCTGTATTGGTCCATTGTGCTGAAGCTTGATCTGAATCCTGCTGTTCTTTTGGTTGCTGCTTATCAATTCGTCAGATATTCTCTTTAAGAATGGATGAAAATAGTTTATAAATACTTGCCGCAATATGGGCTGTAATTCCCTATATCTAAGGGATTTCCTTTCTTGAAGAGAAGGATTATCCGATGTACACCACTGTTTTGGTACCTTTTCTCTCTAGTATTTATTGAAAATCGCGTAAAATGATTGTTAAAATGGGTGCTCCTATTTTAAGTGCCTCATTCATATTCCTCTGGTCGGGACTCTTCTCGGCTTTCAGCTTTTCATATGATCATAAACTTCGGAGTATTCAATTTGTCTGATGTGATCTGTCGTGTTCGTATGGGTTGTTTGCGATATGATTTCGGGGTTATTTTGTTTACTATATAAGTTTTGTAGAAGTTAGTAGCGTGATTTATTACATCTTTTCTGGATTTTGTTTTAGTGAGTTATTTTCAAGTTTTCGAATCCAGGACTTGTGTGTAGTTAATTCTTTTATGCTCTCTTGGCACTTCTAAAATTTTAATGTTCCTTGTAATAATCTCGTATCTGTGGTTGTTGTAGTCCTTACGGATTGATCTATTAGTCTCTTTGTATATTCTGCTTAGTTCTGTTTTCATATCTTTAGTTTTGTTCTTTGTGTGTAGTAGTTCCGTGCGCCTTTTTAAAAGTTCCATTGTGTCTTTTGAGAAGAATTGTGTTGGTGGGGATAATATTGGTTTTGTATTTTAAGTCTCTTATGCCTTTTTCCAGGATATTGTAGTATGTTTGAATATAATCTGTCTGTTTTTATGTTTTCTGTATGTTTTTGTAGATTTCCGATGTAGACTTTATTTCTGTTTCTTCTTGGGATATTATGGTGTTGTATAGGTTTTTCTGCTCTTTACTGGACTACTCAAAAGTAATGTTGCTCTCACTAATCTATGATCGGAAGAGAATTCAACTTTGTTAAGTACCTCAATATTAGTTATAAGTTTGTTGTGGGTTATCATAATAAAATCTATTTCATTTTTAGTTTTGTGGTCGGGTGATAACCATGTCCATCTAGAGCTTGCTTTCTTTTTGAAAAATGAGTTCATTATGGATAGTTTGTATTGATGAGATAAATTAAGAGCCGTTCCCCTCTATCATCGACTCCTAAATATTTTCCCATACTGGATAGTAGTTTGTTTTTGGACATCCTATTTTCGGTTGAAATCTCCCATGACAATGACCTTCCCTTCTGTCTTTGTGTGAGCAAATTCAATGTCTTTGTAAAAATTTTCAATTTCTTCTTCTGTTGATCTCTCTGTCGGTCATATGCTTGGATTATTGAAAAAGAGAAGCAATCAAACTTCATTTGTAGAAGTGCTACTCTTCAGAGATTCCTATAAAGTTGATGATGTTATTTTTATACATTTTCTTGATAAGGAATCCCACTCCATATAGTCCTTTAGTTTCGCCAATATAGCAAATAAGGTCGCTGTGCTCTTCTATCTTATCCATTTTTCGGACTTCTGCAAGGCCTATAATGTCCCAGTTAATATTTTTTAGAGCATTAGTCAATTCAAGGAATCGTTCTATTGATCCTAGCGATTTTACATTATAATTGCAGATTTTGAGTGTTCGTTTCATACCATGATCTATTTCTCTATTGGTGGAGGGTTGTAGTCTGATTCCCCACGATGACAAGTCGGATTGGGGAATGTTTTGTTTCTTTTATCTATTAGTTCTCGTCTGTTTAATGTTTTGTTCCGGTGGCTGATGGCAATTCCTATAGATTCTGAACGGTTGGCACATTGGCAGAAGGTAAGGAATTACTTCTATTCCTCATATGTCGAATGCATTTAACCGAGCTGCTTTTGTTGACAGTTGTTGTTTTGAGGTGCTCTATTGCGTTAGGCGAGGTTGATGTTTCCCTTTGCTGTTTTTCGTTACCTGGTTTGCCCTGTTTAATAATTAGCTTGTCGTAGTTATGTATGCATAATTGCCCTTCTTCCTTTCCTCTTCCAATTTTGGCTGTAGTTTCCTTCTCATGTCCAATATTTCTTTCGGGTAGTCTTCAGATAAATCAAGTTTTTCAATTTCTTTTTAATTTACCACTATCTCGTTTTTCTTCCAGGCGTTCACGAATGTTAGGAGGATAGGCCTTTCTTTTCCGTTTTTTGTGTTATTTTTGCCATTATAGATCGTGTTCACATCCTATCTTCAAAAGTAATGTTTAAATCATGTTCAAATTTCTTTTTGATTATTTCGATTAGGTCGATAGTCGATGTTTCGGTTTCTTTTACTCCATATAAAATTAGGTTGTTGTATCTTCTAAATTTTTTCAAGATTGTTTATTTTTTTCCTTTAATTTCTCATTTTCTGATTTTAATTCCTGCATTTCAAGTCTAAAAGGAACTAGTTTTTCATCAATCCGTGCCATAATGTCATCGGTTTGTTTTGACATTTCTATTTTCATTTGTTCAAAAAAAGATTGAAGGTTATCCATTTTTGCCGTTCGCTTACGTGAAATGAAACGTTTTTGTGAACGCAGCTTAATAGGACTATTATGTTGGTAGTACTGACCCGCCTTAGTTTTGTTGAAATTGTGTCTGAGTGGTTCATATTGAGTAACAATAAAATCCCCTATTATTTAAAGCACTCTGATGACCCAGGAACCATACAACCTTCTTTATTAAAGTCAGGTAAAATGGAAATCATAGTCATAATAATGGTCACAAAGACAAAAATTATGTAAGAAGTAATTTAAATAAGTATATTTACGTATTTCGGTCAAGGACCTCGAAACAATAGGGGTTCGCAATTGGACGCGGGAAGCACTAGATAGATTGCGATGGCCAAGTGTAATTAAGGAAAGGCCCACAAGGGGCTGTACAACCATTGATGATGATGATGACTTACGTATTTGGACTTTCCCAATAAATTAATAATATTGATCCCTGAGCCCAGGGATAAGTTTAAAAACAAACTATGTCCTTGTTCAAATGATAATAATCTTCGCTCCTTGTTTTTGCATTTGTGACAATATTCACAGTTAAAAACATGTTGTATTCGACATAATTAATGGTACACTTAGCGCTAAGTGTACCATTAAACTATAAACAGTCTTCGAAATTTAAAGATTATATTACATTTAAAATGTAGAAATGCGATGACGACTCTGAGACGTCCAACTGGATAGCGGCGAACACAAAAGAGTGTCCGAAATGTAACGTGACGATAGAGAAGGATGGTGGTTGCAACCACATGGTATGCAAGAACCAGAATTGTAAGGCCGACTTCTGCTGGGTCTGCCTCGGGCCCTGGGAGCCTCATGGCAGCAGCTGGTACAACTGTAACCGGTATGTTAATTGAAATAAATACATAATATACTATATGTTTGAATAATAAATTATATAAAATTAGTGTTAGTGGGCTGTTTGTGCCCCTAATCTTACTAATCCTGAAACTACCCGTTCAAATTTATGTTTAAGAGTTTATATGGCAAATTGAGTTTCTTAACTATCGCTTTTTGTTTTATGAAGTTGTATATACAGTTAACCCCCCTATAACGAGTTTTCGTATAACGCTATTTCCGTCCAATAAAACGCAGTGTTTTACCCCTATAACGCAGAGATTTCTCAAGTAATCTGTGGTGTGAAATTTATAATGATTTGTTAAGTCCATAATTTGTTTTGCGTACCTTTGCACCAGTTTTAATTGTGTTGTTATTAATTTAAACTAAAAAAACTTTATTAAGTTCTTATTCCTAGTTTTTAAATTTTTCGAAAAAAAAACTGTTTTTACGAAATTACATCTATAACACGGTCCGCATCTACCATACTATAGAGGGATTACTGTAAAAATGCTAATATTTTTTAAAAACAAACCCTCTGAATAGTTCAAAAATCTTAGTTATTACAATTGAGTACCAAAACCATATCTTATTTTGCAATAATGGCCCTTAACTTTTATTAAATTTGATTATCCCTTTCAGATATGATGAGGATGAAGCCAAAGCGGCTCGTGACGCCCAAGAACGTTCCAGGGCGGCCCTCCAACGATATCTGTTCTACTGCAACCGGTACATGAATCACATGCAGTCACTGCGTTTCGAGTCCAAGCTGTACGCCTCCGTTAAGGAGAAGATGGAAGAGATGCAACAGCATAACATGAGCTGGATCGAGGTTAGTATGACTTAAGAGGTACGGTATACGCCGGACCGTGTCTTATAGGATTTTGATATACAATCGCCTTAGAAACATTTCTGTCTGATTAAAAAAGTTGCTCTTGAGGACTGGGTCGTCAAACTAATTTAGCCATATTTACTTATTGATAAGCAGTCTGTTAGTTGAATATATTTATTTTATTTTTATTTATTTATTTAAAACAACTAACAAAAATTATTAGGGCTGCAACGGGCGGCCTTAACGTTACATTAAGATATCTTATATCGATATATCTTACAGGCAGCCCTTGTAAGGAAAATAACTATAAAAAAGAGATACTAAGGGTAATAGAAGTGCAAAATCAAATCAACAAAAATAAAATTATTAGTGTAATATAATATAATACACAATACAAAACAATGTAATATAATATAAATCCGAGTTAATTGTTACCGTTGTATTGATTTTCTCTTATAACTCAGGAATTAGATGAAAACTCATTACTTGGCAACAGACATATGTATATATATTCTCCAGACCATATATTTGACAAAATATATAATCATTTCCAGGTCCAATTCCTAAAAAAGGCGGTGGACATTTTGTGCCAGTGCAGGCAGACGTTGATGTATACGTACGTGTTCGCGTACTATCTGCGTAAAAACAACCAGTCGGTTATATTCGAGGACAACCAGCGGGACCTCGAATCAGCTACGGAAACGCTTTCCGAATATCTCGAAAGGGATATCACTAGCGAAAATCTCGCCGATATTAAGCAGAAAGTGCAGGACAAGTACAGGTTTGTAGAAATATGGTATACGTAAGTTGGTGAATGTCACACACCGAAATTACAGGTTTCGTGCCAGAATATTACGCTCATACAGTGACGCGGTGTTTCAATGGAACTTGCCATTGTCATACATGCGTAGAATTCGTAAGTTGGTTACTGCAAAATGACATGCAAACATATGCAAATTCTGCCCAAGATACCGAAAATAGTTGATCAACCTTCTGTGCCCATCAACCAGTAATTTTTATTCCAGTCTTCCAAAACTGACTTACTTAAGATTAAGTCTTCAGCTGGGCTCCATGTCCTACAGTGTGTTTCATTGTTGTTCCTAATTCTATAATTAGACTCATGATGCTATCTTTATGAGTTCTTCAAGACTATTTATATTTGTATGAAAACTTCAACGCATCCATCTCAAGACTTACTCTCGCTCAAATCTTATGAAAGCAAATTGCGTCCGTTTCACTAATTATTTTTGTAAAGCATGTCTTAAAGCACTGTTCTCTGATGCTAAGTAAAAATTTCACGCCCACGGTTTTATTTACGTAGAAAAAAAAGTGTGTGCGTACAAAGTACACATGTCAGAAGTGAAACTTCTTTGACAAACTAATTTTTAACTCTTGTTCATATTTATACAAATCTAAAACTTTAGATTTCCGACACTTATAGGCAGGAAAAAGGAAGATATGTTAGGAATTTAATGAATTTAATTGTCATTAAAATATTAAGTGTCGAAAATAATAAAATATTTTTTTTAATTTATTTCTTATATAATAAAAACATGTGGCATTTTAATTTACAAATCATCATTTGAGATTTTAATAAATTATTTTGCATCAAATATAAAATACTAATAAATTCTCTTTACGAAATTTTTATTTTAAAAATAGAATTTCTATAAGGTAATTCGCCCTTCTCACTCTCTCTCAATCCGTATCAATCACTCTATCCCTTTTCTTCGACAAAAACGCTGCACATCTTCGTGACGTTCCGTAAAAATTTTACCCTCCTGCGCCTAAAGAAGTTTCACTTCAAATTTTGTAGTTATTTGTTTTGTTAATAGCGGTCAGTGAATACTTTATTTATAATATTCGTGTACTGCGCAGTTCCAGTGATGTTTTCGTCGCTAAAGGTGGACCTTTTTCAGATACTGTGACAGCCGGCGCAAGGTACTCCTAGAGCACGTGCACGAGGGCTACGAGAAAGACTGCTGGGACTACACTGAGTAAATGATTCTCTCGCACATTATCACACCACACACCAAACACTTCATGCAGATTTTACTAATTGTCTAAGCGATAAAAACCCGTAGGAACCAATAGGTCAGTCCTAAGGGATTCAAACTGAATTTCAATTTAAAAAAATATGTTATTTATTTTGTCGCTAGTTTAATTAATAAAATTTGTAGACTAAACGGAATTGTGTAAATATAGGCAACGGGTTGGACTTTTATTCGTAATTCAGAGGGAAATTCTTTTTTAATATTGACTACTTCACTTCTGCCTAAACAGTCTTTTAACCTATAATTTAATTATAGGTATTTCAAATTTACGCACTCAAATGTCATAATAATCACGTATTTCGAGCGCTTAGTGTTAGTTGAAAGTGAAACGTAACGGAACTTCGATATATTATAAAACGTTGCCAAACCGTGTCGTTACCATGGTTACCATTTTTTTACACGGAGAAACGTAACCATGGCAACGTACGATCTCAAAATTATGTTTTATCAAAATATGTCTGCCCGTCTAAGGTTAAAATTCAACTGTGTTTCATTTACAACTAGCATTCAGTACTGTTTGTAACATGACAATCCGATTAGGAATTAGATTGACGTAGAAATGTCATGTTCATCCGATGCGAGCATTGTAACATCATAGTTTTCGCTTGTATAATAATTAATGTAAGAGTATTTTTGTAATATCGGATCTCCCATACTAACATTTCGTATTGTAACATAGATGGTAATAGTTTATTTGTCTGATCTGACTGGAATGGATAAAAATCCGTCTGAGGTAATTTTAGACGTTTTATAGATTAAGAAGCCGCTTTATTAAAACATGCGCTGATATTGCCCTAAAGTTTGTCTATGAATTTTGGTAACATTTATATGCAGTATCAAGTTTTATTATAAAGCGCGTTCTTTTACCTAAATTGTATTTTAGTTGCAATGTAGTTTTTATTCAGGAATGGTATAGTTAAAGTTATTTTATTTTCATGAGTAATATTTTCATTGACTGGTTTAGTTTAATTGATCTATTTTTAACCGGAATTCTCGACTATCAAAGCTTAAGATTATATGAAAAAAAACTCAGGTATAATTTGTATGAAGGATTAAAATGTCTCTTTCACACTCTTACATGATGAGCAAGACGGTATATATAAAGCTTAAAAAGTCAACAGATTTCGCTTGAAAATTTAGTGCTAATATATGTCATACATTGTGCGTTATTGCACTGCCAGTAAATGTGTTAGTTGTTCACATAGTGGACTTTTAGTATCGTTTTGCGTCTATTTCAGATGTCATATGTCAACTCTCATTTGACATATGTCAGAGCGGGCTCTACTTTTTTAGTTATTATATAATATGACTAAAGGAATGTTTGCATTATTATTTCTGAAATAGATGAAACGATACACAAACACACATACATTGTACATATAATGGATGCTGTATAAATTGATATGTTTAATATTCATTATTATATTATGAGCATCTTGTATGTGTGTCTTTTAGGACACAATAATTATCTTAAGACGGAAATAAAAATAGTAACATCGATTTTTTTTATTTTCCTTTCCAACATGTCTATGAAAATTATATCCTCGAAACTCCTAATGGCTAATCTCTAATCGTCTATTTCTAATCCAGATAGACACCAATTGGTTCCATAATCGTGGAATTGGAATTACTTTATTATTATTAATTTTACGGTGTTACATAGATTCTCACTACATGCGTTGAATTCATAAGTTTGTTACTGCATAATTACAAGCGCAAACACGTGCAAAATCTTACCAAGATACGTGCCGAAAATAGTTGATCAACCTTCTGTGCCGAACAGCCTGTAATTTTTTTTGCACAAATTTATATGAATTAAGATCTTGGATCTTTTGTAGCTGCAAATTGATGCGTTTAGCCGCCTTAGTACTTAGTAGTTTATTGATAATTGATTTGTAATAAATATTGGCAGCATAAGCTACAGTTTTACCTCCACTTTTACCTCCAATAATGAAATTAGAACAATTATACAAACCTATTTATATGTCAAAACCAAAATGCTTGCTATACCACATTTATCCGCCGCTGCCGGATATATTGCACTAAATACTCCTTGCTGCAATATCGTCGCCAGTAGTGTTTTGTCTTAGTTCTGAGTGGCAGAAGTAGGCCTGTCTGATAGGGCTTAGTGTAAATGTGTCATAAGTATTACGTCACGAATTTTGGGGTTCTTTTGTAAAACGTTACGATGCGGGGCAGGGATTGAATTACGCGTTATTGTTAATATTATTTTTGACTTCCCAGTACATTACACCACATAATGGTAACTTTTAGGTATAAAGAGTCACTAGGTGGTCACGAAACGTTACGTTTACGTTTCGTGACCACCTAGTCAATAATCTCCAAAAATTGCGTGACGTAATACTTGAAGTTTGAACGCTACCTTAAGCGGTACACACCTTAGTAGAAAGTATCTTTAAAATACATTGTTGCTTCAGGGATGCTCTGGCTCCGTCTCCCACGAGACCTGGTAAGGCCTGATGAAGTATTTGGTGAGTGTTTGGTATTCGAGTAAAATATCTCGCCAAGTGCACTCAGGAAACAAATTGATTGACAAGTATATTCTTAGTTAGCGTTTACCCAAAATTGTATGTAGTATTACGTAGTGTAGCAGGTTAATAAGTTACAACAGAACAAATGAATGTTCTATCTCTCTCGTGTATCTGAACGAACGTGATAAAAGGTTGTTTTGTTTCAACTGTTTTAATTTAATGTGATTAAATAAAAAAATGTTTTCAGACGAGCAAGTGACATCCCAATAAATTCTAAATCAAGTGTGTAAAGACTACTTTGCTATTGTTATTGTCATAAATATTGTGATTTACAAAAATGTACAGTTATACTCATATATATCTTATATTATTTGAAAATAAATTTCAATAAAAATAGACCCCGATGTTTTAATAAATAAAACTATGTTGTAAAGCAGTCAAGTTCTATATTTTATCGTTTACTTAAATTATTTTGTACAAACTTCAACAATATATATAATAAATACTCAATTAAACCTCTCATACAGCAAACTGAACTCACTTTTTGTCATAAGTTTATTTTAAAGAAAAAAAATACAATGATATTATAACTTATTGTCTAAACTTAATTAAACACAACTTCTTTTGTGCCAATATGCCTAATAGTAGATAAAATGTTTGGTTTTACCAACACAATTATTTTTACATTCTGTAATATCAACAAAAATATAACTTATTGACAGAGAGGAAATCACTTAGGCTTCTTAAGATTTCAGCTTTCTTGAGTTCGTAGATTTTATAAGGCAGGCAATCGCAACAAACTTTACTGTCCTAATGAGCTTTACATCAAATCAAATTCCGGTATAAGGCTAAGTGATTTCCTTGTCGTCACTCTCAAATGCTTGAACACGACGATGTTATTACAGCATTGTAAGGTGAACAGAAGTCGTTAAAACATTGGGTCTGAAGGCACGAGACGGGTGCGAGCGATGGGGAAGCTCGCCGGCCCACGTCCCGTGCGACATTTACAAAAGTATCTACATATTAATTGTTATCTGTAACCGTAATTATTATTTTAAAATGTGTGCCAAAGTTTAAGCGTCTCATTTAACTTTACATTACACCGACTTTTGCAAAAATCTAGCACGTTCGTTTTTTCACAATGCACATGTAAAAACGAATTGAAACAACCAACACACAACTATTCCGTGACGATTTCGTAATAAAAAGCGAAACTCGAGCACGAGTTAAAGTTATTGCTTGAAGCTTAAATCGTATCTGAATCGCTGTTTTAACATTAGGTATATTAAAATGTGTGGTGAGGTGCTCCTCCTGGCAGTAAGCGATATTTATACTCGAGTAAAAAATTTACCACTCTCAAGATAAACGTTCTTCACTCATATTGTGCTAGAAGAGACACTGACTGAAAACTACATTGAACTAATCGAGCAAGTACGAAGATGGGCATACGTAATCACGTCTGCTTTGAACACAAGTGTCGAAAATAATGGTCATATTCTACCTTACTCGGTAAGGGACGTTCGATTTCTTAGTAATATCAATTTAATATCTTACTGCTAATAATTACGGTCATATTTTTCAGATAGCCGAATCGGTTCGCTCGACAATTGATGCATATACCGAGAAAGTAGATAAATCGATGTGCAAGAATAAAGTACATAAAAGCAATACCAGCCAGCTGGTAATCTGTATATTCACGAGAGTGCCGACTGTAATCATGTGTACTGTCGCATTTTCCTAGTTCCATATTGTCCATCAATTTAGTCGTTCCCAGAATAATAACACTTCGGCAATGATTGTGAAGCAGTCTCGTGAAGGAAAGTATTTGTGTGACGACAGAGACCGCAGCGTGGGGAGCCGCGCGGCGCCGTCGCCACAGGCGCAGGTAATGTAACCCAGGGGAAGGTAATTACATTAACTACGTGAAGGGTGCGCATTACGTAAAATGGCTCGATTCCTATGATGCGATTGATTTAGGACGGAAGTGAACTCTGGTACCAATTTCACTGCTGATTTGCTAAGCTTATAAAGACAACGTAGCAAAAATTTTCTAAATGTCATTTTTAATTAATTTAGAGGCGACCGACCTCGACTCGAAAGGTTAAAAGTTACATTGTTTTGGTACAATAAGAAGCTTAAAATTGGAATTATTAAACTATCATGGACATAATTGATATGAATCGGCGTAGCCATTGCTTATTAAGCGTAGATTATAGCATAGGTGAGGCGACGGTGCGCTGGGTTTCTTCTTAATTGGGAGATCTTTTTAAATGCTTTAAAGTTGTTTGACTTATGTTGTCGTTGACCTTACATCGCCCCAGATATCAGCCATCGCCACACCCATCGGTAATATATTCGATTCGCTAACATCCGATCACGGATGATTTAAATAAATGGTGTAAACATTAACATGCACTGATCTCAAAATTTGTCTCGCTGTTTACAGTAAGAATCACAATTTGAGCTTAGGTTTCCTCACAACACACGTGCCGGCTGCAAATTGATTCTTCAGTCGATTCGAGACGCATTTAGACTGAGCTGTATCAAGAATCACTTAATCCAAATCTAAACACTGTCCGACGTCATTTCGGGGAAGATAAACGACGTCCCACAGTGGTTAAAGCCGGCCGTTCTCGATCTGACTCCAAATATACAAAGGTAGTGAGTTATTCTCAATATAAAAATAAGCATTTTGAATTTCATCAGTTCATCCGATACTTACAGAACTAGTGACAAAAAATAGCGTGCTCGCTAAAACGATTCTCTCAAACACTGCTCCACTCCGGGGACAGGAAAGTAACGTGAGACACTAAACGATATCGACGAACGCGAACATCGGTCGCAAAACAATCTCATAAGCTTCGGCCACACGAATATGAAACACTCGGATGAACACTCGCGTGCCACGCGCACGGCTATCGTCCCGAGGCGACGCCTCGCTCGCCCGCCGTTTCTACGTAAATATCTAGCGTAAAAAATAATTAAGTGCGCTTGGGTGGGCTCAAGAGCTCGGGCAGCGGTGCGGGCAGCGGCAGGGGCGCGTCGTCGATGAGCGCGGGCAGCAGCGCGAGCGCGAGCGCGGGTCAGACGGGCGCGGGCGGCGGCGCAGGCTCAGGCGGGCGGGGAGCCTCTCCGCCTCCCTGCAGCACCACGCGGTGCGCACTGCCGCCCGAAGAGTCTAGTAGCACGGCCGTCTCGGCGCCGCCCGCGCTGCCCTCGCCACCCGAGCCGTCCCCGCCGACGCCCTCTCCTGCTGGCGAATGTGCGCGCCGATGCCGCCGCCAAGCGTGCTGGATCAGCCTCGCGCAGTACTCCTCACGTTGTCGCCATAGCGTCGAGGACACCGGCTCATAGCCGACCTCGCCCGGCCGACCCACGATGTCTCCTGGTTCCTCGATAGGGTTGCCCTTTCGGGCGAAGAAGTCTTTGGTCAGGGCGTCCAGAATGTCCACGCAGAACATCATGTCGCCGCGACAGATCGGAATGTCCATAGATATGATTTTGTATTTATTCGGTTTGTGAATCTGTAGTGGAGGTTCGAGGACGTCGAGGAAGTCTGACAGTTGTTCGTAGCGGATGTACTGAGTTCCTTCCGGATCGAATCTTTGCCAAATTTCATAGTACATGTCGTAGTCATCGTCCGTCAAACCTTCTTGCACGTCTTCGGTCGCCTGTAATTAAACAAGTTATGTACAAAACTAATCTAAGAGTTTCAAGCATCTTTTCACTGAATTAAAATGTACCTGAGAGTAATTCTCGAGAATGACAGCGATGTACATGTTGATAACGATTAGGAAAGATATGACCAAATAAGACAGTAAGTACGTGATCCCGATGGTCGCAGAACCACAGTTACCGGGATACCCTCGTTCGTTATCTGGTAAATCACACTCTTCTTCGTTGATTATTCCATCTAAAACGCCATCCCATCCAGCTGACGTTGACATCTAAAAAAATTGTATATAATTTAATATTAGGATTATTAAGTAATGATTTCCGTAACTTTTATAGTTTTGTTTATGTTGTATTATTTATTATATTATTGTATTATTTTTTAAATAGGATAATGATAATATATATTTTAAATGAAGACTGCATTCACCTGGAAGAGTAGGATCATACTCTGCACGAAAGTCTTGAAGTTGTAGACGTCATCAAGGCCGCCTTTATTCTTAACGTGCATAAAGAACGACATTCCAAATATCGCAAAAATAAACATGACCAAGAAAAGTAGTAAGCAGATATTGAACAGAGCTGGTAGTGACATCGCTAAGGCAAACAGTAGAGTTCTAATACCCTTAGCTCCTTTTACGAGACGCAACACTCTACCAACTTTTGCCACTCTCACTACTCTCAATAAAGTTGGAGATACAAAATATTTCTCAATAATGTCACTTAACACCAGACCTGCACAAATAAACATTATTTTAAAATTTACTTAACAATTCCAATTTATAAAAAAAAGATTCTATACTTACTGAGAATAGAAAACATGACAACGACGAAATCAAATAGATTCCAGGGTTCAACGAAATAGTGATAGCGCAAAGCAAATATTTTCAATAGACACTCTGAGCTGAATATAACGATGAAGATCATATTTAGGTAATCTAGGATCTGGCTGAACGTTTCTGTTTGTTGATAGTGATCTAGTGTCATAGTTAACATGTTGAAACCGATGAACAACATTATAATCATGTCGAACTTCTTATCCGTCACAATCTCGAATACTATCGCTTGTGGTCTCCACTGAAATCAACATATCACGTCAATTAGAAGAAGTTTTTATTACATTATTATATTTCATTATTTAATCTAGTAACCTTCTCTATTTACAACTATTTATCGACTTTCTGGCTCATTGATTGAGCATGATTTATCCTAAGTTATTCGAAACCCGGTGAACTAAATCTATTTCAGTCTGAAGCGGACTTGCTACATTGACGGATTGTGGGACATAACATATAAACTTTTTAATGAATAATATTCACATATAAAAATACGTAATAGTCATGTAAAGTGCTGATTGTTAATCACGATTGGGTATAAACCTAAATTTGTTCAAATTAAAGCTTACTCTTGGTCTAGGAATAGCTTTTAATGGTTTCTTGGATCCCATTTTCTTCATAGCATTATAATATTTCTTCTGATCCTCAGTCATGAACATTTCAAGACTTCCACCAGCCTTTTTCTTTTGTTCGTTAAAGTTGTCAATGATTACTCCTATAAATAGGTTAAGGGTGAAGAAAGACCCAAATATAATAAAGAACACGAAGTATAGGTACATGTAGATATTTGTTTCTCTGATGGGCTGGCGGCCGACCTGCAAGCAAAAATATTTAATGGCATTAAATACATAATATTTCTATACAAATTCTCTATTTAGCAAAATCGCTTAACCGATTTTAATCAATTGTTTTGCAGTTACTCACTAAAACTTCTATTTAGATGTCAATAGAGAGTACCACCAAATTTGTCACAAGCCCTTAAAAATCACTACCTCGAATTTATAATTTTGTCAATAGTAGGAATTAGATTAAATATCGAACAAGATTACGCTTACAATGTATCTGACAGAAGCAATTGCATTACCTCTCGCGAGTCGATAGCATCATTCATGATTTGTATCCAGCCTTTGAACGTTGCCACTTGGAACAAGCATAGATAAGCTTTTCCGACGTGATCGAAGTTCATCGGTGAATTTTCCCAAGTGTAATTTTCCAAAATGCACGCGTTACGATCGGGAATTATTTCATGGCTCAGAGTTGTATGGTTCATGTCGACACACTGAAATTTTAATAAAAATATTGTTTAGAAATAGTAAAGTGGAAATAAGTCCCATAATCCTGACATAGAATATGAAGTAGACCACAGATCTCTATGTATATTTCTTTTATAATACCTAAATAATTCATAATTAGTGGCATACATGCCAACTAATTTCTTGCCTATCGGCAAATAGGTCAGGAAAAAAGAGAAGATCCAAGATTGTTTGCAATCATGATGCAAGTCATTATTAAAAGATATTATAGGTACCTATTGACCATTATATTATATAAAGATAATTATTTCACTTAACTTTGCATGGAAAACATAAGTTTGTTTTGATATTCCTAATTACCTACGTAAAGTAATTTTTTACCTTAAAATATTTTCCAGCAAACAGTTGAACTCCCATAATAGCGAAAATTAGCCAGAAGATAAGACAGACGAGCAATACGTTGAAGATGGATGGAATGGCTTGTACTAACGCATTTACAACAACCTGTATTGAAAAAAAAAATTTATCAATAGGAATATTGAAGATATTTCATGTGATACTTAATTATTCGATTTTCTATATTTTGTGATCTTCTCAAACTAGTGCAGCTAAATGTGTGATTAGCAGAAGTAACTAGGTATGCTTTGAGATTATTCAACAAATACTTAATTGAAATTGGAATTATAAACAAATCGTAGCCAGCATAAGGTCAAACAAAAGCCACAAAACACAGAAATCTACAGCCATGCTTTACAAACAACGAAGATACAAGCGGTGCATACTCACCAAATTCTGTACTGACATGCGGCTCCGGTTTTCAAATAAGTACTGATACGAGATATCTTAAGTGCATCATTCCATAACTAAAACTCTAATCTACCTTCAAATGATGAACGACAAAAAGACCGAAATGAAAATGGTAATTCCAAAATGACGCCGAAAACTTTAACACAACGAATGATTTTACAAGCCATTCAGGGGTGCCACGAACCTCGAAATGATTCAGATCCAATACTCTACAGTCCATAAATTTGAAAAGTTGAACTACAACGAGCTTGAAAATGAGGACAAAAGATGTGTAGGTGGTTTTGTAGGGTGATTGTGTTTCACGATGTGTAATGAATATGTGAAGTGGAGCCTCCGAGGTACCTACCCTCATGCCCTGCATGCGACTCATAGCCCTGAGTGGTCGAAGGGCTCGGAGAGTTCTCATCGTTTTGAATGCTTGAATGCCTCCGGCGCCACAAAGCGCCGCAACGAAGTTTATAAGCGACACCTGATGAAATAACACTTGTATATGATAATGTATACAGTTCATGAAACTACTTTATTACCGAAAACTCTGAGAATTTAGATAGACCTTTCAAGGTAGAAGACTGACAATCCTTTAGGAATTATTACAAGAAGGATAAGTAATTCAAGAAGAAATCTCACTATCTAATTGAAAAGCTCTCAATTGACCAAATCTTCTTCTCCCGAAGATTCAAATTGGCGGTATAAATGTGAATGGGTAATTACAAGGTGTTTAAAATATTAAATACATCGAAGGCAATTGTGTCGTTTTCATTCATTGTATTAAACTTTTATTGTAATTAATTCATAAAAAACTTTGAAAACGACACAAAGTTTGCAGCGCTAAGGTATAGTATGTTTCACACCATGCACTTCAAACCAATTAAGAAATTAAATTCATTATTAACAAAGGTGTGTTAGGAACGGGTAAAGAACATGAAGCAGATCACAGCACACATCAAATAGACATAGAGAGCTTTCCATGGCGAGATTACACCTCGACAGCGACGAACATCGAACAATCAAAGCCGACACGTGTCGCGTTGCCCATGCTAAGAGCTGGTAACAAATGGGCATCGCGACAGAAGTATTGAGTGTCGAAGAGGCGCGTACTCACGCGCATGCCCTCCCATCTGGAGACAGCACGAAGGGGTCGTAGAGCTCGCAAAGTGCGCATGGACCGAAACGCTGGGATGTCGTCCGCTCCGGCCATCACCGCTCCGTGGTTAACGAGTGACAACTACCGTCATTAAATTAGTACGATAATACAAACTATATCTTACGTACATTTGCCTTTGATAAGAATAAAGAACATGAAGTAAATGTACTTTAGACTTTGGTAGTCGAATCGAGTGTTACGATCCATACATACTAAGCTTATAATTATATAAAAAAGTCGATAATTTACCATGACAATAATGAAATCGAGCCAGCACCAGGCGTTGGTGAAGTACTTCTGAAATCCGAGAGCTAACCATTTGATTAACATCTCAATAAAGAATATTACAGTGAATATACGATCCATGTAATATAAGATGTCTTGAAGAATTGGTCGATGTGGTAGATGGACATCTTCTAACGCCTAAAAACAAGATTTAAGTAAATAATAACATATTTAATATAATAAAAAATTACGGGGCAAACCTCAATTACCAATGCCAAACTACTAAGTAAAATCATTGTTATCACAGCCGTTTCGAAATAGGTATTTTCTATTAATCGAAAGGTTTTCAGTCTAAGGGTTGCCCAGCCTTGCCAAAATGGAGACTCGTCATCTCCGGCTAAGAAGGGGAAGCGCGCATAGCAAGGTTCTGGACAACAGTCCGCTGGTGTGAGATCCACTACATCCTCGTCTGCGGCCACCTTTATATCTATTTTTGCTAAGCCATCAAGTTTTCCATCCTCCTCTTCTTCAATCATTTCTAATAAAGAAATATTCGGTTATGAAACAAACATATATTATAGCGGTATTGTATGGCGGTAGTCAAATTAGAAGATTATTTATGTACCTTCTTCTAAACCTAATTCTTCTTTACTTGCGTCTTTCTTTTCTTCTCCGTCTATCGTATCCGCAGATCCTTTATGACTTTCGTCTTTAAATGATCTTATTTTATGACTACCGTAAGATTTTTGACTAATTGTATCATCATCCTGAAAATTCAAATATTTGGAATATAATCGGATACATACAGTATAAATTTGGGTTTAATTAGAAAGTAGGGACCTGTATCGGATAACCATGATGATTTATTTCACTGTTTATTCGATTGTCAGTATGATTATCCGTTATAGCATTGATATTATTCATCAATATATTTCCTTTTTTATATTTATTGTCACCTGGAAAATAGAGTTTAGTTTTAATTTGCTTTTTAATTAGCTCATATGCACGTTTTGATTTAAATAGTCTTTCATACCTGGTATTGTAAATTCCATTCCGTCACCTATAGCTACCTCCACTTGATCTTTTAGTTTCTTGTCTTTGAATAAGACCCCGTCTTCGATATCGGCACCCAATTCTAGTTCATTGTCGACTCGTTCTGAAGAAACACAGCGGGCACATAATGCCGCTTTTAAGCCTACATCCGTGCGTCATTTGTCGCCGCCAACAGCCAAGCATAGAATAGAGATCAGGACAAAATTTTGTAAATAATTGCCGAATTTGATACAACTCCTGTGATTATTATTGTGTTAAGCATGTGTGATGTCTTGAATATTTAAATATATTATGTACTTACATATTTATCAAAAATGCTCAAAAGCTAACACTTCGATTGTTTTCTTTGATTGTATTGAACGACTATATAGTTTACGATATAATTATTTTTATCATATTACTTAGACCTAACATTTAACACAAATTAACAATAAAAATTTAATAGTAATAACCACAGCATGCACAACAAACAAAGCTAGTATAGTATATAATAAATACTTACCACTGTAATACATATGGATATAATATATGAAGCGAATATACTAAATATACTGTATGGAGGTAAGAGTGTATCGGGAATATTATAGAGGACAGCTCTACACTTGACTGCTAGGGCACAAGCAACGCACAGTGTTAACAATAACAACCATTGCATGTCATGCTTTATTGTATACATCGATTTATATGACTTGTTACTTTAACACATATAACACACGGATTAATGTAATTGACTATTTATCCTGAAATACAATTAAATTACACACAACATTCAAAATGTCTACTATAAACTCACCTGGAGCGTGGATAGCAATCTGATTCGTCAATTTGCTTTTGACTATTTTTAAAACATCAGCTGCGTTTTTTTTTGACCCAATCGATAAATCGGGATATTCTATTAAAAGCCTCCGCGATTTTGTTCGTGTCCTGATCGGCTGTTGGCGTCGATAGACTCGAGGAACCAAAATTTGACAGTAACAGGGCCAAGAAGAGGTTAAGTACCTGGAATTCGATAAATGTTTAACGCATTCAATTGCTTTATGTGTACTTATTTCTAGATCATAAAACATACCACAAGATTGCCAATAACGACCGTTGCCAAGAAGAAAGGTATACAAGAAACATCTCCAACCAGCATGCAATCCCACATACTCTCTATCCATTCTCCACATAATACTCGGAATACTATCATGAAACTGTGCATGAAATCCGTGAAGTTCCACCTTGGGAGCTCTCCACCAGGAAAACGGTCTACGTAATCTGTATACGTGATAATCGTTCGTCAATAATGAGTTTATAAATAATGTACCTACTATCATTTTTAATCGATCAAAACAATATTTTTAATTCAAGGTAAAAAAAGTTTAATTTATACTTAACTGATTATAAAAATATTAATCATTCGAGTTAGACTGATACAAGAATATTAACATAAAAGAAATAAATTTTGTATAAAATTTAGAAAATTTTAAATGTCGCTTAAAAATTTGCTTGTATAAAACATTCTTTATAGGTTAGATCCTAATTAAAATTAAAGCGCTTACGAAAATTGCATATTACGCATAAGTATCAGAACGTAATTTAAAATATTTGGTAATTAATAGCAAGCCATCTTGTAACATGCCTCTGGGAATTGCAATTTATAACAGGAAACCTGCATATCTTTTGCTCAGCATACAGCCATATTAAAAAAAATATTGTTACCTTTATGAAAAATACATACAACATAACAAATATATATACAATAAAGATATAATAACTTTAAATTAGATCATGCATAGAGGCCTTCTACTTCAAAGGGGCAAACATTTAACAAGAATTCGTATATTTAAGGTTATTACAAGGCACTAATGAAAAATGAACATTAAGATGTATAATGAGAAGATGAATTATAACGGATAGGAAGCTAGCTTAAACGTTTCACAAGTGAGGCGCCATCGCTAAGGGGCAGCAATAGATACATACAATAGTTAGTCTAGCTCACGTGGGGTCGCAATTCACAACGACGTTTGCCAATCAAACAACATGAGCATAACAGTGTGACGCACATCAACACAATGAGCTCTAGACAATCTGACGGCGATCCTACCTAAAGCGTGGACTATTCGAATTTTGAAAATGTAATTTACATTCCACACTTTAGCAATTTCAGTGAATATATTTCGCGATGATTTTACCGTGTCAACCCGAGCGACTTATCTTTTCATAACCCAAAGAGAATTTTTCTGACAGTTCGATGCTTGAAATAAATTCACTGGACCGAATCGCCGCATCAACAACGTCCAATATAACATCGAACATGCACCACTCCCACCGATCACCACTTACCCACATAATTTTTCCCGAATAGTTGCATACCCATCACGGCAAATATGAAAATAATGATGCACAATACGAAGGTCAGGTTGCCCAAGGCACCCATCGTCCTACCCATTATAGAGATGAGTAAATTAAGAGTCGGCCATGACTTTGCCAATTTGAATACTCGAAGCTGCAATTATAAATTGTGAAACAAGGCGTCACACAAGCTCGCTTGCCGGCGCATCACCTATGCTACAGCGGCCTCTGAAGACCTATGAGCACTCAGCACGCGCCGTCGTGAGTGATTACAGGTCTGAACTCTGACTAATATTAGCGGAATGTGTGCTACAATATCTCTCCGATTATGTGCATTTATATTGATTCATGAGTGGGATATATGTTGACTATTGTCTATTATTGCGTTTACTACGTTTTGGGAGAGCGTTTTGATTGATATTATTTTACGATCCATAGATCGTACTTGTGTTATTCCTATCCTTAAAGTGACATAGATCCCATCAGTAATAGACCTGATGCAATACCCTTCGTAAGCGAAGCTGCATGTCATTTCTATTTTACTCAATGCAAAGCTTAATAGTTATGATTGTAAGCGTGATAGCCTTATAACGTTTATCGTTTAGGCTCTTTGTGAGCCATTCCGTGTTATAAAGCCACAGCATAACTGAATTTTCCTTAAAAATAATATTCAATCAAAGCCCTGTGTTCGACAGTCGATAGTGTAAAGCTGAATAAGAATTGATAACTAAGGCTTATATGTTCTTAGAGATGCTAAATTGTTTTTCAATTGAACCTGTGTAGTTCTTCCCAAACAACTGCATCCCCATCACGGCAAATATGAATATAATGATGCAAAGTACAAAGGTCAAGTTCCCTAAAGCTCCCACAGTCCTACCCATTATGGATATTATAAGGTTTAGCGCCGGCCAAGACTTAGCCAGTTTAAATACACGTAGCTGAAAATATTTTAGGAAATGTAAGAACATAGACATGACGTATATAACGAAGAAAGTAGGTAGCGGTGAAAGCACCAGCTGTTATTACAAATACCTGAAATTGTCTGTAAATTACTTCCTGTTAAAATGGTTATCGCCATTATTTTCAAGTCAAATCGTATGTTAGATACATAATTAGTATAAATTAATATTGATTAGCACTTACCAATCGGAATGAACGTAATACTGACAAACCCTGAACTCCTTCCAGTCCTAATTCCAATAATGATAAGGCCACAATTATAAAGTCAAAAATGTTCCATCCTTCTTGAAAGTAAAATTTGGGACTCATTGCTATTAATTTTAGCATCGCTTCAATACCGAATGTAGCAGTGAAAAACTGGAAACGATATAATCCAATTTTTACATATTTTCAATAACAAGACACAATATTAATTTTCTCTTCTGCATGCACAATTTAGTTTAAAAACTCTGCTGGTCTAAAACTACAACTTGATACTTACATAATTACCACTTTTCAACGCTCTTTCCATATCTTTGTCCATGTCGTGATGATCCAGTGCCATAAACAGAGTATTGACCACGATACACAACGTGATGAACAGTTCTACAAACGGATCGAACACCAAAAGCGCGACGTATTTCTGAAACTCCAGCCATAGCCAGCAGCAATCCCACACACAGAAGAAGTCTATCCCTTTCATGAGCCACTCCAGCAGTCTCTCCTTGAAGGTGGGCCCTTCATCGTCATCTTCAGCTGTTGAGAAGTAGTATACTGACACTGTTGTGTCACGTTTACCGGAGTGTGTGTGGTGTGAGGAGAGACAAAAAATAAACATGGTTAGTATTCGCTCATTATTTTGAGTAGCCAAAAACCGAATACACATAGCCAATACTACTTAGCAATATTCATATTTTTTGAATTTTATTGGCTGTCATTTATCTCTCGTGGTTCAACTGTTCAAGATTATGATATGGCTTGAACTACGTGCTAGGATTGTGCTTAAAATAAAGAAAATTTTCACACGAGATCACATCTCATTTTCTGCAAAGCGAGTCACTATATTTTATACTACTGTAAGTACTGCAATGATCTATTAATGATTCATTTACCTTTTTATTTCCCTTTTATAGTAAATTAAGTCAAAAAATATGAATATCGAGATTTAGATTTTACATGAATAGCAGAAGCGCATCAAATCGCGTCCTACATAGTACAAAACAGATTTTACTAGATTATCGCTTTTAGAACACTAAGTGACATTTGTTAATGATTTTAAATAATTAGTGGTAATTGCTGTGTTCATGCAATTCAATTAAATACGTTGGTTTTATTATATATTTTGTGAAACACGTGCATGGCTACGGTTAAAACAATGGGAAAAAAAAATATATAAAAGCGTAAGACTTGAGACGGAATGCAAAACAAAAGAAAGTGGTATTTGTGTAGTTTGACAGGACAGTGAAGGTGCTTCATTAGGCCTCTAAACAATATAAATGACACCCAATGTTTATGTATTTTTGCCAATTATGCATTTTTGCATAATGAGCAAATACCGCAGTGTATACTGTCGTATGTTCAGTGTGAAAAGTGTAAGTAGTTTGTGTGTTAAAAGCGAACAGTTTGTATAAAATGTACAAATAAAAACAAGACAACGATAATAGCTGATACAATAGACAAGACAAACGATAAGTTAACACAGACATAAAATGCTTTACTTTTACCATGTACGCATTGGACTCTATTTTATAGAGCTAGATCATACAAACATATTTTATGGCCGATAGTTAATTGATATTGATGGCCCTTTATGGTCCCAATGCATACATGACTTTGTTAATTAATTAGTATTTATATACATACACACAATTTATTTATTAGAAACGTACCATTTTGCTCGCTCGCTCTACTTTGCCTTCCAGCTTGTTCAATTATTTCATTTAGTACCATAACATCTGAAATACATATAAATGATCGATAAACTGTCGTAAAAAATCAACCATATTGGTTTTGATATTGGTTATAATAATATATGTAATAATATTATTATAACCAATTGTAATAGGAGGCAAACGGGCAGGAGACTCACCTAATGTTAAGTGATTCATGGACACTCACATTGCCAGAAGGCTCGCAAGTGCGTTGCCGACCTTTTAAGAATTGGTATGCTCTTTTCTTGAAGGACCCTAAGACGAATTGGTTCGGAAATAATTCAGTAGGTAGTAGTAGTATCAGAATTTTTATTTTACCAAATAGAAACTTAAAAAGACCAGTCTCCCATGCCGTTAATACTATAATATATATTGTGAAATTCATACCTCTCATATCAACGACATTTGGCTGCTGCGATGTCGCAATGAACGGATTATCATTCGACTGTTTTAGAACTTTGCCAGCCTCGTCAGTACATTCTGTTGTACTAACTTCCTGAAATTGTTAAATTCTCCTTATATTTAAATAAAAGCTAGCAATATTCGCTAATAACAATGGAAAGTGCTTTCAGCAGCAATATATCATCATTATGACAGTGTACGATAATGAAACAACTTGTGAGATATGTAAGTGTGTCACGCTTGCAAATAATTAGTCGACGCTTATAACAAAAGAATGATAAGCTCATACATATTCTTTTAATGGTCGAGATACCAGCGACGACTCTTGTCTGGGCAGCGCGTAGGCGTGAGGTTGGGAAGTAATGCTGTGGTTCCTGGACGCTGATCGACCTCTAAGTTTGGCCTCCTTGGTTTGAGCTTTTCCCCCTAAGAGATCGCCGTGCGACGTATATGACAGCCTAGACTGGTGTGATGTATAGGAGGAATGTCTTGATCCTAAAACATGTAATAAATGCCTCAGTGACAGTTGCAACTGTCAGAATTCTATCATATAAGAAAGGTAAATTGTACACTTGTAAATAAAATGACACCAAATGTGATCTAGATAATGATAACATACCCAAGTTCGCATAGTAGACTGGTATTATAATAGCGCCGTTCTCCTCTGACATAGGCGTAACTGCATTTGAGTCATCAGCATAAGGCAGATGTTCCTGTGCGTCCAAGTATGTTGATAAAACAAGTGGTTTCCGATCGGCTCCCGGTGGATACCTATTCCTCCCGTTCGGCCTCAACGCCATTTGATGAGATCCTCGGGAACCACGTCGCAAATTGAACGGTGATCCAGGTAGTGACAAAGAAGCCTGAAGTCACACACATAGTAATATTTATTTTATAATAAATTCCTTAAACCTACTAAGTACTTTTTGAAACTATTAAAATTTTTACTTTAACCTTTCTTCCTTCTAGAAACTTTCATTTGGATTCGAGTTATACTAATATTTGATCATTTAACGAAATCAACTTCCTCAATTCAGATCGAGTGAAAATGTCATGGAAACTGATCACTACTTGATTTGAACTCGCAGAGGCTTTGTCTGATCGTAATTAAATGAATTATCCAGAAATATATCCAAAATATCTTTCATGTGCTAATAAACAAGTAGAAGGCGAAAAAAAATTCATGAATGGAAACTCGAAATTTTGGGATAAAATAATTACAAAAGTGCTGGAGGTGTCTCATTGCATCAAAACATATGCACACATGATTTAATGCTAGCGAACTGACACGAGTTGGTGCAATTAGACATTAAGACAACAAGACTAATAGCGGAATATAAGGACAAGATAAGGTATATAGTTTAGAACATCAAAAGGAAGGAAGGGGATCACAAACACCAATGAAGAAGAGGACAAACCTGTGAGCCCTCCCGCAGTGGCCCATACGACAACTGTCCGTATTTATTAATGCGTTCAGGATGGGGGACCTTTAATGCATAGAAAATACACTTTTTAATTTATTTCCGACTTACTACTATTTTACTTTAAAACATAGATCACTATGAGAAGGATAGATAATAAGGAACGATATTGGAATAAAGGGATTGTTGCAGCGTCCAAGCAGTAGAGTAATAAATGTTAACGATCTACGGCGGTGCTAGAACGATATAGAGTAAACATAAACAACGGATGCAGATTAATTAATATGATAACGTTACTGAATAAAAAGAAAAGCGGTAGCATTGACCAAAAGCATCAGTTAGTCTGGTAACTTTGTTTATAAACACATGAAGTATTGACGGCCATAAGACGTACATGCACTCTCGCATCTCTAATCCATCTGAGCTATCATATGGTCTATAGTCATGATGACTTGTTAATTTCTTTCTGTGAAAGCCTCTGCCCGTCTCTCATCGAATTGAGGAATTAATGTTTAAATATTTGAAGTAGATATTTTAATGACAAAATAGTTATGTTGACCGAACCTACCTCTGCTCGATGTTAGTTTCAGCTCGGCCGCTTCGATCGCTCACAAAATGAAAGAAACAATCTAACATGACAATAGATTATTTCTCCAATAGTATTTAATTTTAATACAAATATGACCTTTCTTAGTCTAAATAATGGTACTGATTATGTTGGTGATTGATATAAATCAAGTATTGTATTACGAAATACTTTATAAAATATTATTGGAGATTAATATAACCTATGATGCAAACGCTCTAATGAAGTGTTAGATTAGATGAGTTATGACCATGCCTACAATGTAATTTTTCAACAAATTAACACAAATATATAATAATCTAATGCACGTTCTTAAATTATAATGAATACAAGTAATAAATATTCAGTTTCATGCCTTTATTGTGATCTGTTTGAGGAAATAAGAAGAGTAAGTCACTGCAAGCGTAATGTTTGCAAAAAGTGATTTAAAATAAATTAAAAGACCATCTAATAGCATGCCTCGAAACCAAATTTAAACAAACCAGTGTTCATAGAGTTAAAATAACCGTGTAGTAATTTTCGTAAGAGAACAAATTAAATGTTTAATAGACAAACATTCAGATATGAAAACAAATTTATCGCAAAAAAATAAAAGTGTTCATTGGAAGTGTTTCTTTCGAAATTATGTAAAAAATCATATCTGCATACTTTAGGAAAATATTGACATTGAAAAGGACAGACAAAATTAAAGCTCAGCGTTAGACACATTTAAACATAATCTTTTCAACTTGATATAACAGTTAAAATTAACTTGTGCAAATATAATTTATAATGTTTTTTACTTAATATACTAATTGTAAGTGCAAAAAGCCCAGTGATTATTATCAAGTTAAAAAGAAATAACTCAGCCGACAATGATTTAATTATATATAAAAATTGAAAAAGTCTCAGCGGCAAGATTAATCCATCATTAATTAAAAACCTTTATCGAGTACTACTACAAATAAAGCTCATCTCTTAATGATTCTTACGTATCTTAATGATGTTCTTAGCTCAATATCAACACTGAAAAGTATATTTTTTATCCTGATACCTTTTCATTTATAATATTAATCTAAAGATATTATTATAAAATATTTAACTTTAGCTAGATTTTATTGAACCAGCATTTTTTGGAAATTGTAAAAAATTCCACAGTTAGCAAATTAGTTTCGTAAAATAAAAATCACTGTCAGCAGAGATATCACGCGTGGGTCTTATACTCACCATGCTGACCTTCCTCTGCCGGCGTGCTGTGTCGTGGTGGGTGTCGTTGGCAGGCTTGTGCGTGGGCTGAGTGCTCACCGAATCCTGGAAGGGGTCGCTACGAAGGGACATGCGTTCCCTCGTATTGTCATCCTGATTGCCCCTCTCCTGGTTCACGAACAACTCGTAGCTCTGGCAGGAGAAGTCACTGGGAGACTTGGCAGGATGTGCTTCGGCGTATGCGGCTGCTTCCGCCGCGGCGGCTTGCTCGCGAGCGTGTTGTTCTCTCGCTTCTTGCTTATCCGCTCGAGCCGCTGCCTTTTGTTCCGCTTCCTAATGCAAAAATCAAATACCGTTTAAATTTGTACGAAGTTGAAGTTTAAATTACATATAAGCACTGATACTATATTGCCAGTTACATATATAACAAAACGAAATACACATTAATTAAATATATTATGTCACTTAGATTAAATCTTGTGTGCTCACCCTTAGCGCTTCTTCTTCTGCCTGCTCTTCCTCCTCTGCTTTCTTCTGCAACTCATCGTATGACATGGCGACGATGGCCAAGATCAAGTTCACGAGATAGAAAGAGCCGAGGAAAATGATCACAACGAAGAACAGCACGTGCCATGAACCAGCAGACCTTAGAACCTGCACGTGAATAATTTCACATTACTGTGGTTTTGAGTGATCTATTGATATATCCAGTGGAGTCGTACAATTAATGGAAAAATCTTGTAACCACGAAACCATACATTTACAACTACATTATTTTCTATAAACTATACCTTTTATTTTGAAAATAAACACTATAGGAAATTATTCCTATTATATTCATAGCAACAATATTTTAATTGAATTTTTGACAACTAGAAACATATTTTGAATAAATTAACGATTTTTTTTGCGAAAAATATTATCCCTATATCCTATTAGCAAACATATTATTGGCAAATACGTCATTCAGCAGCAGTTAAATATATTTAAATTTCGAAATTTCTCATTTTTGTCCTTTAGATTTAAGGACGGAATATTATAATTGTTTTTAATTCAATTAGTTTCGTAACCTTCACCTACTTCAAAATTTAGAAAATATTCCAGGCAATAATGTAATAAACTTACCAGTTGATATAAATTTTCCCAGTAATCTTGCGTCATCAATCTGAAAGCTGATAGAAACGCCCAACCGAACGTGTCGAAACTCGTGTAGCCGTAGTTTGGGTTTGGTCCGTACCCTTGTAAACATATGTAGCCTGGTTCACATGTTCTGCAAACAAAAGTAAATCGTTTTATATTCTCAAATAAATTAACTGGAATTCTCCGAAACACAAAGACCACCTTATGAGGCATGGCCTACTATGGCAAACTACATACAACATTTGAGATTAGAGTTACTACGTGAAGTTATTTCATATTATGGGAAATAAAAAAAAAACGAGCAAGAGATTAATTGCAACGTTACCGTCGACTGATCATTTAGCTCACAAAAGTAGTCTTTGATGTATGTCTGTCTGCCCCACGTTACAATTACTCATCGGTACTTTTAAAGTGCTCTTATATAAGTGAGTTTAGAGTTATTAATAAATCGATTGAATGCAAAGGGCATTCATCGATGTAGATTTATAAGTCGTGATTTTATAACGGAATTACTACAACGTTGAGGCGCGATCTTCCATTCATATCCTGAACCGAGCTGAGGTGCTCATCTGTTTGTGGGCAAAAATTGATAGTGAGGTGTAATATTTGACATCTCATTATCAAGTTCAGCCCACAGACGGATGAGTTACGAGTGAATATGCACAGAAAAATCTACACGTCCCATTATAAACTTATATAAATATAGATCAGATACTTTTACATTAAAACACGTTTCTATTTCAATCTTCTTTTAGGAACCTCTCTTTCTTGGCAAAGGCCTCCTCCAAATCCCGCCATTCCTCTTTGCACTGTGCTACTCTCTGCCATGTCAAACCTGCTTTTTTATTTTGTTTTATCCACCTTCTAAGTTGTCTTCCTCTTTCGTTTGTTGTATCATGGGCACCGGTTTAGTACTTTTTTGCTCCAATTTTCTGTTCCTCTTGCCATGTGCCCATTTCCACTTTCGTTTATTTATTCTTAATGTAACATCTGTTACCTTGTTTTTCTTAAAGCTGTATTATTTATTTTGTTTATTCTGTTCTTCCCTATCAGACATCGTTACATTGATGTTTGGCACACCTGTAGCTTTATATGCTGCACACGTCCCATTATAAACTAAGGGGTTTTTTAATCTTTAAATCAACATAAGACACAAACCATCTCAAAATAGTAGACTAAATTGCTTTAGTCTAGACTTATAAATAGACCTTATAGACACTGAACATGCAACATACCCTGCTCCTGATGAGTTCCCGCATAATGGATAGTCGTCATTTTCACTATACCAGTTCGCTAAAATAAAATATGTGAGTAAATATATATCACAAAGTAAATATATATCAGTTATAAACAGATATCTTACTTTCGTTTTGACAAAATCTCTCCCAGTTCTCGTCAGTCAAATTGCCCCAACTGCCGTCTTCGGGGAATACTTTTACACATTTCTGCGTTAACACTCCCATGTAGATTTGTAGGCCCATTAACGCAAATACAGATAGGGAGAACATTGTCAAAATAATCACGTCGCGAAGATTTTTCACAGACTCTATGACAGCACCAACGATAGTCTTCAACCCTGAGGAGTAATCGGACTTATTATTTGAACATTTGAAAGGTGCACACGCTTCAAACCTCTAGTACTTACGTAGCTCCTGAGACTTAGATATTTCATTTCAAACTGCTAGAACTACTGAATCTATTTCAATTACACTAAACATATATTACTAAAGTAATAGTAGCACAAGGAATTACCCGGTACGATGGCCACAGTCTTCAGCGCTCGGAGAACTCTGAACGTTCTAAGAGCGGCCAAGTTGCCGAGATCTATGCCCATCGTCACATAACTGCAACACACACCCCACACGACGGCTAGGTTAATATAACTAACTACTTTGTCTAAACATTTACTAGTTACAATAGTGTCACCGTCTCAACTACTTTCTGTAAATACTTTCATATTATCGCTTCGTTGTTGACAATTGGTACAATCCTGTCTTAAATTAATCTAGTTTTAATAAAATTTCTATACATAAATTCTATAAAGAGACATTTAAGTAAATAAACAAAATCTACATTTTAATAGTTGTTACATAATTCTACAATTTTTTATTATAAAATTGTCTACTACTCACGCTAAAGCTATAACTACGAAGTCAAGCCAATTCCATGCATCTCTAAGGTATGTGAATGGCTGTAGAATGAAACCCCTGGCCATTACTTTCACCGCCGATTCAAACGTGTAGATTCCGGTAAAGATAACTCTGGAAAAATTCACCTCCATTGTGGAACGCTCGTAAAAATACATAAATATTTCTCATATTCAATTATTATATGCGTTAAGTTAATAAGAAATCTAGTTGGCATCAAATATGGATTGAAAGATTCTATTACAATAGAAATAACAATTGACTACGTTCAACTAGTTCTAAATGAAGAGAACATTAAAAGAGTACATACCAATGTTTTAAGTGTAAGGACACGCCTGATTATGTGATTAAAGTTGACAGTTAAATAATGTAGGCTAATTTTACACGTCATAATTATTACAAACAGTTTAATTTGTGCTACATCACAGAATATGAGCTCACAAATGCATTCCGTTGGGTGCACTTGAAATCAAATTGTTAAACAAAAGTTTTATGATCATGTTAAGGAAAAACATTGATTTCGAAAACGTTGTCTAGGGTTATTCAGTCAAGTTATTGATAGGACAGTGATAGTGTACAATGTTCATGTATTGCCATGTTCATTACTTAAACCCGATGAGGTGTTAATAGTGTTTTGCCATGGTCACATAGTAGTCGATCTAAACGCGAAAAATCTATGGATTATACTTCTGATTATCTAAATAGTATTTATGTTACGTACTAAACTGAACGCTAAAAATTTTGAATCTATCGTGCATTCTACGAAATATGATTAGATGGTATAGTCTTATAGATTAAAAAATAATCAAAATAAAAAACGGTACTCACTCAGTACTTTCGACGGTTGGCGTGGTCGGCATTATCATTAAGATACAATTGACAAGGATCGTTGTTATGATGAACAGAGAGAAAAGAGGGTGTACAAGTATGTATATAGCGACCCTTCTTATCGGGTTGAACGGATCCAACATCCATAACGCATCTGTCGCCGAAAATCTGAAGATATCTCTACCCTTGCTTATGACTACGAATGTCTGGAAAGAATTTTTTAAAGGTTACACGGAGAGAAATTAGCAAATGTATACAGTTGATTTACTTTCTGAAGGTCTAATTCAGGGACAAATGTCAACGCAGTTGCAGCTACATCAATAATACACAAGGTCAGCATGGTGGAGTTATAAGGAACGAAAAGTGTCCCATGGCATTTAAATTTTTTCAAGAAGAAAAGAGTATTTAGACCATTTTGTCAACAGTTATAAATAAATTAACTGTTATTATGCCATTATGATACTTAATATGACATTTGCATACCTATTTTTTAAATAGCAGACTGTGCGATTTTTTTTTATAATTAATCAATCTGAATGGACCACTCTTTGTAATTAAAAGATTATTATTATTCTTAAAGTTAGTTCATGCCGTATTATCTATACGTGAATTGCATCATAGACATTCGAGTCTTAGACTATTTATTGATTTGTCTATATTTGAAACTATTCACATCTATCCCACAACTGAGGAGAAGAATAAAATATCAAATTGCTTACGGTTTGATTCTGGTAGAACGGATCGATGTCCTCGAGAGGCGTGGAGGAAAGTTCAGCGGGGAAGGATCCCTGCATCCGTACGGGCAGGGGTAGACCCTGCTCGAGGGTCGCGTCCGGTTGAGGACCTTCGTCTTCGTCCTCGTCATCGTAACGCACCTATATCACTCCAAACATGTCAAAATGTGTCAAAATTCCGACATAAGAGCGTCATCACATAAGCAAGCTATTTTATAATTCCTATAAAGGTATCAAGTGCAATCAGCGCCCATGCATGATCACGCTCTTACATTAGAGGTGGGTATTTTTCGCCTTTCTAACTCAATATGCAAGATTTCTACGAACGGCGTTGTAATAATAATAATACTGTTGTCATTTAAAAAGTTTAAACGATAAGGAGTTACAGCAACGAGTATTATTACGATAATTGAGCATGTCTTGTGCGCTGTAAGCTGTTTTCATTATGATACTGTCTGTGTATTCATGATGCGTTTGTTTGCCAAACTAGAAGCGTATTGCATAACGTTCCCCGCTATTGTGTTACCAATCCGAATTGTTCTGGTTTTATTGAAATTCTTTGGACATATCTTTTCAAGTCTTGATTAATACTATATATATAATACTCGTTCCAGATGACCCAAAATGGGTGTTTTATATGATATTTTAACTTTGTTGTTTATTTAGATACATCAAAATGTAATTAAAATTTTATCATCCCCAGCGTGAGTCATCACATACACAATATATAAATATAATAATATTAACATAATTATTAAAACGAAATTGTAGTTTTCTTTTAACTACTATTTAAGGGCAGATAGCTGTTAAAGGTTTAGTGGAAGTACATGGCAATGTCGGATGGCGTCAAAATAGGGGGTCGTCGGTTGCACTAAACTAGCCAGGTTAGACCTACATGACCGCAGCCAATGAAGTGGCAATCATGAGCCAATCGTGTGCAATGCATGATAGGGTGATTCTATTGTGGTTGTGTTTCTTTACGTTGGTGACATTTTATGTGCTTTAACCTAATTTTCACTCGAGGTATGGTTTTGATATTAAACTAGTCGTTAAGGTCCGCAGGGATTATCTAGAATAAGGTTTTTCGGGCTAGGATTTCTCTGAATGGCATCTGTTTGTATTTGTATAAAATAATGTTCATGATACTTTGCAAAGTAATAAGAAGCTTTTAACTTCTAAGGTTAGCTGTCACTAAGCCGTCACAGCCAAAATTGGTTTTCATGAACAGATACGATTTTGCCGAAAGCGATGTGTTTTTAATGCGATTAATATGCGAGATCAGAATGCAAGGCAAGTTATCGCGTTACGCCAATAGATGTAACTATTCTTAAATTAATTTCTAATGAGGCGATAACTTGCTGAAATCCGCTAAAACGAGCCGTAAAAAGGTAAAAGGGGAAGCAAGCAGTCTTACTTCTTTTTTCTTTTTCGTCCGCCCCAAATCGGTCTGGAATAGTTTAAAAATTCGTCATATATATTCTTCAAAGTTAAGTTGAGTGTGCTTCATAACCTATACGTAACTGTTGTAAAGTATGGCAAATTGTATGTTTGTATGGCGGCACTAGACATGTTAGCACACTCATAGCGATACGCGGTAAGGGAACTATGTTTACCTCGCCTTCAGCGCGTTTCTTTTCGAGTTCTTTTTGCTTGGCATGCTCCTCAGCTATGCGGGCTTCGATAACGGCCAATGACTCTCTAGTGAAAGGTCGGAACAAACTTTGTTCTTCCTCGCTGATCGAGTCCAAGTCTTCGGACATTGTCTATCGAACTCCCACTGAGTGAACTGCCTACTGAAAGTAAAATTTATATTAAGTAATTAAATTATATTAAGAAAAAATTTCGTTGTAATACGGCAAAATAAGCTTTCTCAAACTGTATCACCGAAGCGCAAAAGACGTGGTGAAATTAAACAAATTCATTAGCTTCAATAACTTCAAGTAAAATAAAGTATAAATTCTCATACGTTTCAAAACATATACTTTAATGTTATTAATTAGATGTGTGAGACATTGTAGGACAATGAGTCGACCACATGGCGCTGTTTGAGTGCAATTTATTTTATGAGTACAATCATAAAAAGGATTTCCTAATCAAGTCATTTCCATTATAAGATCCATTATACTCGGGTTACGTACTTAATGGCATTAAGTGCCAATTTTCAACACAAATGCTAAATACAAAATGACTGTCGTATCTTATAAACGATTCTAAAATGGTTTATTAAATTCAGATTATTTTCCAGATATGCTGTTATTATTAAATATGTTAAAGTAAATAAATGAAATTCACTATGACTTTTTATGCTTATAATTCTATTTTAAAATCTATAAAATAATTATAAATGTTTTTTTCCCACGAACAAGGTAGCGAGGGTAATAGCTTATACATAGCGAAACAATATTCTGAAATCTTATACATATTTTAATTTATGATAAAGAAAAATGGTAGGTAATAAGTTAACGAAACTTTCCATTACGTTTTTATGCATTATATATATTACGCAATAACCTGTAAATTGATTTTGGAACCAATACGAAATTTATCAAGAAGAGAACGAACTTGTTCTAAATAGAACGGTACGGCTCTCAGCTTGAGCTGAGCTTGGGCACCCATGAGCGGCAATATCATTTAACATTTAAAAGGCCGGCAACGCATCTCTGGCATTGAGAGTGTCCATGGGCGGCGGAATCACTTAACATCAGGTGAGCCTCCAGCCCGTTTACCCCCTGTTCTATAAAAAAAACAACCTTTTAGCCCGTTTGCTACCTGTTCTACAAGAAGGAGCAGTTACCTGCTAACAGTGAATGGGCGGGTGTGTATGGTAGGGGAAGCGCGAGCGACACCTCTCCCTGCGCCCGCGATCCTCCGCCAGCCACCTGCGGGCCGAACGCCCTTCTGCACCGTAATTAGTTAATTTATGAAATTGTTAGTAGGTATAATTGTATTGGTAGATATTTTGTTATATGTTATACGTTCCAAGTATTTTCTTCAGTATGCAAAATTTTAATCCATGAATGATTGGATTTGAAAATACACCTCTTCTCTTCTACGTTAGAGACCAAATAAACTAAAATTATTAATTACTAAGAAGTCTTATTCTGATAGAAATGTTGAGTAGACGATCTACTTACTACTAATACTAGTACAAGCCGTTTCTAGATTTAAGAACTAATTAGTTACTTACAAAACCCTTATGAGAACCGTATTTAGGAGATTGCTTATGTCGTTAAGAATGATGCGTATTGGAAATAAGTACAATAGGATTGGGCCCGAAAAATATTTATTTAAAAAACATACCTGTCGTCCACGAGAGCAGTGTGGTCGCGGCTGCCAGTGAGATGAAAGTTACCACGTAATCGCTGATAGGGACAGCCAGCAAACGAGCGAGATTTTTCATGTCCGACCTAAACATAGATTAGCTCTAAATATCATATAAGTTATATAGCCCCTATGTGCATATACTACGAACATATATACAGATAAACACAATTTAAATTTAGACTTCATAAATAATAGAAATTGAATTGAATGATTAAAAGTACAATCACATATAACTTTTTTATTAATAATAACCAATTTAAAAAAAAAACTAGTCATCGTAGCTACCCCCTACGGCGTAGCCCGAAGTGTAGCTACAAGCACTGACGTATTTATTACTCGTATTATTAAATATTTGTTTTTACCCTAGTTTATCACTACCCACACTAGTTATCTTTTTGATGTAATTTAGTCTTTTTTAATAAAAGGAATAAGCGTTAGGAATTCTCATTTGTTTTGCTGGTGTGGTATAAAAGAAAAAATATTTTTTTTTTAATATTTACGAGTATAGTTCTTAATATTTCTCAGTATTACAACACTTTTGGCTTTTTACGCTAAACAGAATATAATATCTAACCGTATAATAATCCTAGGCGCGTTGTGGTTCAGAGGGCGCGCCGGGTGGTGGCCGCGTCGCGAGCAATGCGCGCGCGCTCCTCACTGCAGCGTCGGCGCGCGTGCATCTGCGTCCTACCGCCTAGCTGTCCAAACAATTACAATTAAAGTAAAATTAAAGTAACCTTAAGTATCATACAAGTAAGTCGTAGGGTGGGCTGTATATTTCGTCGTTTTATCCATAAATATATCTACCTGAAGACACTACGAATCTGGAAAGTAATAACCTCCACCGACATTAGCAATCGATTACGTTGGCTGATCTTTTGTTTAAATAAGTATATTTTTTTCTTTAAAGTATATTTTAAGTAAAATATTATAAACAATTATTCTAGACCTGACTTCCAAAAGATTCACTTCTTTCTCACTGATCTTCTACGCATGTAGATACAATACTATACGAAAATTGTAATAATTGAATAGAACAAGCAATTACGATTCATATTTCCTACAATGAACCCTGGACGACAGATAATTACGTATATACATAATCTTGAACAATGGACTTTCAAATGACCTGAGCATATACTAAACAAATAAGAAAGCTTTCGGTCAAGTGGAAATTACTCAGTATTTCGAAAATTTATTCAGTGACTAATGATAAATCAATACTTTCATAAAAATATACCTAAACCCGAATCAGTTATATTGTCAATATTTACGTTATACTTATGTTTAATTTATTTTTATAAATCTTTGAAAGAATGACATTTGCATACAATAGAAACCTTTGTTCAATAAAAACATTGACCATCACAATAGCAATTAGCATCTAGACACAATTAATACTAAATAAAGTAAAAACTAAAGCTTTGTTGGAAGATGAACATTTTTTTTAATTATTTTATTTATTTGAAAATTTAATAACATTATTCATATCAACCGCTAAACTTTGCGGCTTCAAAGCCTACATCCTAAAAGTGAGGCAATGGGTGGCGATTAGTATAAATTTCTTGTGTACCGTAAAAAGTAATTTATATGTAATAAAGTCAATAAGCAATTTATATGGATTCTTGAGATATTCTTTTACAATTCACTGTTCCACGAGCTACAACAAATTACATTATGTCACTGCGTGAAGTATGAATATTGAATATGTTAATTTTCATTCGCGATATCTATATCTATAATAGGTTTATTTAACGATTTATTATTTCAATGAAAGAGTGTTATTAGATATAAAACAAGAAAAGGGGATTGACTTGTATATTAATACACTAATCAACACTTCAATTAAATGTATTATTAATTATCTTTTTGTAATAGTGCCAATTTAAATAAGAATAATTGTCATTTAATATATATTAAGGCATTTTGGAATCTGTTATTTACAGGAATTTATAATGTGCTCCAATTGCGAGTTATACATTCTTCTGATTTAAAAGTTACTGCCAGGCAACGAAGCATGCATTTTATTAGATGTCACCGGGATTCTATGCAAATGCAATGGTATGCTAAATATATAAAGATACATCGTATGTTACATGTTTTAAGGGTGCTGATGCTTTGAAATCTACATTTTTTTTTAATCAATAAATTTTTAGTAATAAATTTCATTTAATTGTATAACCTTGTCACAGCCCGCCCTAGAATATCAGTATAGGCGTATGAAGAAGGCTTAACAAAGATAGCTAGGCGGTTTTTTATTTAAATAACATAAATCGCAATAATATAATATAGAAGAAATTTATTTAAATTATTATTTTCTACATACGAATATTATAGTGTATTAGAATGATTCGGCTGCTGGAGCTCTATTGAGACTCGCTATAGTATGTGTAGGAAATAATATAGCGTAGACTAAAGTGCACTATCAATTCCAAAGCTCGGATATGACAGATATGACCTGGCATTACTTTTTTCTTAGGAAAATATTTTTATATTTTTCGGTCCCATTCGGGATTATAGTCGACACTCAAATACCTGTTGTAAACAGTAGTAGTTTTTTTCTATAAAGAAAACACTGAAGTACAACAACTGAAGAACAAATGCATAAATCTTATAGTAATAGCCACTTTATAGTTCACGTTAATAAAACTCAATGCTCATTAGAATTCAAGACTCGCTATATTGGAAAATGACTTTTCCAATGAAGCGAGTCTATTTCCATTCTCGTAGCGTTTCATTCAGGGTTGGAAACTGACACTGATGCCATTTTCCGCTTTCCGAGAAACATATTTTGGTTGTACATGTTCAAATAAATGACAGTGGTAATATTCTGAATTCAACTCAGTGGTTATTAATATTACATTAATATAAGAGATTGTATGTTTATTTTAAACGTTTGTATGTATTGTATGAATTGAATTCAAACGATTGTATCAGTGAATTCAAATAGCACTTATATGAAATTCTTATAAAAAACTTGTTTTAATAACTTTTGGTGGTTATAATGTATTTTATTTTAAATATTTAAATAATATACTAATTAATTAATTAATAACAAAAAAAAAACAATATCTAACATTTAAATATAATAACTAATATAAATTACAGTGGTAATATTATGAATTCAATTCAGTGGTTAAAAAAAATGCTATTTTTTAAAGATAATGAGTAAATATTAAGATATAATCTGCAATATTTGAATGCACAGATGCAGAAATTGTCTCCATAATCCGGGGTCATGGGAGTCCAAATATAATTTTTAGATCATTTATACAGGCTAAGCTTAGAAATTTTATCTTTCATTTATACAACGCTGGCTTATAATTAATTTAAATCAGGAACTCATTCAGGACTTTCAAAAACCCCTTTTGAGCTTTCATAAATATCTAGTTTTATTTATTTTACTCGTTTTTATCCAGTCGTAGTTACTGAATATACTTCTTCTTTGTACGGGTAAGAATAATAGTAGTTTATATATTCAGGCACTTCTCATTTGAATTCTTCGCGAATACAACAGAATAAACGCTACTTATTCAGCTTGATATATTCGGTAGTGTACTGATCAATTTTAAAAAAGCATTTCTAAGCGCCTATAGGGTACCTAATACGCATTATTAAGGGAATAAGTATTTATAAATAGGAATTACTAGTAAAAACTGAAATTTGTTGTTGGAAGTGTAGTATTTTTATTTTTTTGTAACATAATGCACCGTAATTGTGACGTATTTTAGAATAGATAGATTGTAACTAATACTTTAAAAAATATATTATATTTGATGTGATAAATTGTTTGGTGTACTTTAATAAATAAAAATAAATACCGGAATTCAATAATTAATTTAAAAATCTGAATGAAAATTGTCGTTAATAATGGTCTCCAAGCAAAATTAGTTTTAGTATAAAACACGAGGATCTCTTGCATCTATGGTAGTTTTGTTTAATTATATCATTTGAGAATTTCCTCATGCACCCAACCAAATTCAGTTTGTACGTGGGTAACACTGAAAATGAAAACTAACTAACTAACTAATGAAAACCTTTTTTTTAATTTCAATTTTAGAACGCTTTGGTAACCTAAAGTAGCATATTGCATTCATTTGTCATTTGTTTTTGTGAATTGGCGGCAAATCTAAAACTCTTGTTACACGTAAAAATGACCCTAACGCGAGAATAGTTTCGGTCAATGATTTATTATGACTCGTTGTGGGCTTACTCAACAACAAAGCTATGAAAGGCTGCGATTAGCATTTCTTAATGAAGCCCCATCTCGTGCCACTATTTACAATTGGTTTCACGAGTTAAAGTGTGGACGTAGCAATATCAATGATGATCCGCGTGAGGGACGTCCTCTAACAGCGACTACCTAAGATAATGTCAGTGCTGTGCGTCCCAAGATAGAGGAAGATAAGAGATTGACCTATCAGCAGATATGGGCAACAATTAGGCGTCAGGAAGGTTTGTACCAGAGGGATTCCCCATACTCTTACCGACGACCAGAAACACCTTCGTATGGACTGGTGTCGCCAAATGTTAGATAAGTTCAACGGCGGTGACTCAAATGCTGTATTTGACATCGTCACAGGTAATGAAAGCAGGATATATTGCTACAAACCCGAAACCAAAAGACAATCAGCTCAGTGGGTGTTTCCTTTCGAGGATCGGCCAACTAAGGTAAAGAAAGGAAAAAGATTATTGCCTCTTTCTTTGGTCGGAAAGGTCATTTCGCGGCAGTTGTGCTAGAAGATGGAAGGACAGTTACTGCAGACTGGTATGTCAATCACTGTTTGCCTGTTCTCTTGGAAAAAATTCGACAGCAGCGCCCTCGAAGCAGGATACTCCTTCAAACGGACTGTTGAATATTTGAGTATGGCAGGTGTCGAGGTAATGAGTCATCCGCCATACAGTCCTGACCTGGCACCATGCGACTTTGATTTATTCCCAAGAAATAAAGATAAAATTCGAGTTATTCGCTTTACGAGCCCTGAAAATGCGGTGAAAGCGTACGAAAATGCCATAGAAGAAACCCCTAAGGAAAAATGGGCCCACTGCTTTTCTCAGTGGTTCCATCGAATGCGACGATGTGTAGAGAGGAACGGAGATTACTTCGAAAAACTATAAAAGTATTGGCAACATTCTACTTTAAGCCGTTTTTCATTTTCTAAAGATTTTCAGTGTTACCTCGGTATTGTAGACACTATATATATATAAATATTTATAACTACTTTAATATTGATAGCAAAACATAACTGTAAAACGTCTTTAGTGTTATTATATTAACATATAACATTCAACTGGTATAGGTATCTCCTTAATCATGATTGTAATGACTGTATAATAGTCTTAACAAATGAAGTTCTCATTTGTATTAGTTAAATACGCTTTGTATTACATTATATCTTGTTAAGTTAAATTAAGAAGCACAAAAGCTAAATCAAGGGTGCGATCGAAGTAGGCACGACATAACATGCAGATTGTCCGCAAAACCTGCAATTGGCAAAACAAACGGCGCATGCGTGAAATACTTTAGTAAAAAGATTCTTTATTTTACTGTTAATTATTAACGTTGATGATTTACTCTTGAGCGAGCTTTAAACCGTTTTATATTATATTCTTTAGTATTTGTCTATGCTATAGAGCTTAATTAGCGAATAAAAAAGTTAATTCCTGTTTGCGGGTGCAGTTTATTCCTGACATTAAACTCACTTTAATATTTTAAGTTAGTAATAATGTTTGTATAGGAATAGCTATTTAGTTGTTTTCGAAACCAACCAGTCCAGTACCAGTCTTAGAGCAATGACCTCGCCTTTAACCTATCTATTCCACATCGTATCGCGTTGGTTATCTAATATTC